TAGGTACATACGTACTTATTAAAAATACCACTAGGTATGAGTAACTTGCATCCGCGGAGCGTGTAGCGCAGTAGAATTTGTGCTGTAAGTAAGAGCCCCTCACATCATACAGTATGTACCTGTGCACCGTCATACAGGTGGCAGCTGCAATGCCGTTCACAAAGCGGCTGAATATGTTAGTATCTAAAGTTGAGTTTCCAAGTCTCCCTACGGGCCGTGCCGATAGTGATTTATCTATATCATTATTTTATGCTGGGTAATATGTTTGTATTCTTCTCAGATTGGAGATTGGAAGGGGTTTCAATGTTATTATTAATCTAACCCTAACTGCCTAGGGCTGTTATACAAAGTACGTTACAGCTGCCTCCATGTACTTAGTGTGTACACACCAATTTTTCAATGCCCGCTTGGGCCCTTTCCTAAGCCAAACAGGGTATGGGATCCTCTCGTGACAGTCTGCAGCTTAATTAGTGACCCAGCGTTGAGTGAGTGTTCGCTGTTAGACATATTGCGGGCGAGTGGAGTAGCCTCGGAAGCTGTATCCTCATCCCACTATACAATGTACTCCGTAACTTGGTCTTCTTCCTCTTTCTTTTTTATGCTTTGCTTTGCTTTTATTTTTGATGTATATTACCACATGTCACGTGTATGTCCGTAATGCACGTTGTGAGAAAAGATCTTCGTACGATTATTTGTGGAGAGATTTAGGGTCTTCCATGCAGGGTAAAGGCAGCCAGTATCAATAGTTTCGATTGCAAGTGCAAGCACTGTCAGGCACAGCCCCACTGTTCAACCCGAAAGCTCATGTTATAGGTATCACTTCGAGCCCAACCCGGGGTTATCCTAGATCGATTTCGATCTATCAATTATCTCGGAACGCAGGTTGGGAACAGGAGAAAGGGGTACTCCATACTCGTAGATCTCTTCTTTTTTTTGATCTGCATAACATCAATCGACGCGGGTACGGAAGTGTCACTTGATATGTACATAGTAGCCGATAGGTTGCCCAGCCTGCTGGAATCCGGGATTTGCAGACATATCCCGGTAAGCCCCGGGGATTTTCTCTTTACAAAGTAGGTTATGCTGAAACCCTTCGAGAGAGATGTGGCATTTGATATACAGCATAGTAGCAGTAGCCTTTTTGCTTTGCATCCTGGCTTTCTGTTGCTCTCGTAGAAACCGCACGAACCTCCTCCCGTTGGGCGTTTGTGGGATGGAACGGCCCGGTTCAACAGCTGTCAATTATGCATACGCTCGAGCTTTCTTTGACAAGTGCCCTCGGAATGGGTAGCTTTAGGGAGCAATGCGACACAGAACAATCGCCTGACCGCTTCTTGAGCCCCAGGGCCGATCCCATTGTCTGTTGCCATCCGTATTCCTGGGTCCTATCATGGAGGCGGCGAAAATTCCTCACCTCTTTGCTTTTTCACAGTAGAAGAAAAGAGATACATTCGGAACGGGGCCGGCAACTTATTCTATTGGCTGCTTCGAGGCACTGGGGATTGAACGAATCGCAGCGGTCACGTACGGAATACTTTACATATGCGCTACGTACTTAGTAAAACAATGCATGGGAGCAGAGGGACCGATCTTCATTGGTCCACTTTCAGCGACACTTTGACCCTTCTTTCACTAGATATTGAGCTAATGTAGACTGGGTGGTACAGAGATACTATATTGTAGATCTCATTTAGGGAGATCTATTGTTTTGTCACACACTAGCTCCTCTTGGATGTTGACTGGTCACAAGAACGTTCGAGCATGCTATATTTCACTTTTACTTGAGCCTTAAATGTTAAGTGAGAATCCTTACCATGTAGTACATGTATTTAGAATGATGGACATGACCGTAAGTCCATAAATTCGGTGTATCTTCAACCAATCTTATCTGCAGCCTCGGGCAGGTCAAGCCACAAAGGACCTGCGGGATGAAGCTCCTGCCTGAAACAGCAGTTCAAGATATTGGCAATCAAGAATATTCAGCCATTATATTGTAATTCTTTTTATTCTAAATACATTTCCGATACAGCGCAACAACGACAATTCGTTTTTGATTGCAATTACCGTGCTCCATAGATATATCCAGGTAGCTAGCATATTACGTGTGGATTAGTGTAATTTTTTCATGATAACACGTTTGGGAAGTATCCTCAAACTAGAAGAGATATTCTACAGCGATGGCCCTGGGAGCCTTGCTGACAAGCGGTGTCGTTTGACCCTGAACTCAATGCATGACTGGTCAGGGTCTCAATCTGCTGAAGCGCCAAACTCCGCGGACAAACAGACCCTCTACAATGACATTAACGGACATGTTGTAGTCATTCACAGTAGTATTCAATACTCAACAAGGAGACATATGTTTCCCTTTCGACTATGCTTCCAAGTAGTGAAGTAGACCATCGCTTTACTGATTAGTTCTCGGCCAAGTCATACCTAGAAAAAGCTTCAAGATTACAGCTTGCGCCATAGGGTTGCTTATGGCATAGACAATGTCTTCTACCGACATATGTTGACATTGGAAGATTAATATAGCAGAAGTAATATGTACGAACTGGAAACACTGTTTTGAGTGCTTGCTACGAACTACTGTGACTTGGTGATTCTCTGTCTTTACTACTTTGGATGGGTTTGTTCAACTAAAAACTGCTATACAGTCGGAAAATAAATTATAATAATTAGAGTACCGAACCCTTGATATTTGAGTTTCCAAGGTGAGTTTCAAAATGCAGAGGTCAAGATATACAGCGAGAATGTTGCATGTGCCTCTCTTGGTGCTGCAGAAAGTGTTGAGATATAAATGCATACGTACATTTGGAATTTTTAGTCTTGATAAAAGACGGGCTGCACCACGAAGCCTGAGATTTTCCATAACATTCATCGATTGCGAACAAAAGACAGTCGGACTTCTGTCGAAGGGGAAGCCATACTCTATATAATCACAATACATCCATGGATTCCTACATTGACACCAAGGGCTGGAAGGAAGCCTGAGCTACCAGGCACCACACACAGTTTGCAATGTTTGAGACGAGCCCGCGGCTACATAGTGTCCCATTCTTGTAGGAAAATGTCCACTTAGGAGAGTTATATACTGAGCAAGCTAGGTTGACTTGACCGGACCACATGATTTATTCACACCCGCAAAACAAACACAAGGCCTAGATCAATAATTGACCAGACCAAGTGGGGTCCTAATCGCACGTAGAACATGCAATGAAGGGTACTAGCACAAGTATATATTAGATAGAGACCGAGGGGTCGAAAAACCACCCAGGTATACTTCAGCCCTGGAGACTAGGCGAATTACACTCGGCTACGGTGGCCAGCCCAGAGAACGCTGTCGTACTACGCAGCGGCGACTACGTTTTTGTCCGAGCGTGAGGGCGCGGGCGTCTATACCTGGTGCAGATCAACAAGAGATGTTGTTGGCCTGAAATATATTCACCATAGACTTACCCAAATGCCTCCTCACAGCTAGAGATCGAGTGCCACGATTTCTGACCGGAAGACACGATATGTACGAGGCTGCCGTCGGGAAGCAAATTCAAGACACCACGGGGATAATTTCAGACAACTTGATTCGACATGTCAGGGAATCTCTCATGAAGGTAAATGAAATTGATTCATTTGCTTAGCCACGAGCCTTTTTTGGACTCGCGTGCTAGCTGTTCCTGTTCATCTTTAAGATTTTAAGAGAACCATTCCCAGCCGTTTTTCCCATAACGTTCGCTCCACCGTAAAAGGACAACACCGACAAAAAGCACGCTTAGCGCTTGGCGGCCTTCTGCTGGGACTCCTTGAGGACCTTCTTGACGATCTTCTGCTCCTCAATCAGGAAGGCACGGACAATGCGGTCCTTGACGCAGCCAGCGCAGCGAGAGCCACCGTAGGCACGGCTGACATTCTTCTTGGGGCGCGAGATCTGAGAGTACTCGCGGGGACGGAGGGCAGGGATCTGTGATAATAAAAAAAAATTGTCAGTCGATCCGACTCCAAAAATTCGGCGAGACGGTCGTATGGAAGTTGAAGCGTGTGGCGTTTCGGTTGGACATTCGTTTGTACACCCGTCCATCCAGACAGAGTTTTTTTTTCAAGTCGTTCGGTTGGCCCACACACAATCGCACACATCCCACACGACCGTTCAAAAATGTATCAGGGACGCCGGGGGAGTACTCACACCGGGGAGCTTGATGCCGCAGTCACCGCACTTGGGAGCAGTACCCTTCTTCTTCAGGTGAAGGTAACGGAGCTCGCCGCCGGGGGTCTTGATGATGCGAACCTTGTTGGACCGCGTGTTGTACCTATTGAAAGCAAGAAAAACTGTCAATAATTCGTTCGAAAATGTGATAGCCATCCCGCTACTAAAATCATCGTATAGATCATGGTGGTGCGAAGGATTGGGCTTTTGAGAGAATTTTGAACGTACGGGTTCCGGCGGCGCTGGAAATCGAGAAGAGTCAGATCAATAATTTCCGGTCAGGATTTTCTCATAGAACTCACGTATTGCAGTCTGTTGTTGGTCATCTTGACTGTACTTGAACTGGTCAAGGGCGGCAGTTGTCGGAGTTGTCGTGAAGCAGAGTGAAATATGTCGAGATGGGTTTGTGTGGGTTTCTGCTTCAGCCGACGCTAGCGCAGATTTGGCGAGGTTGCGCTAGTCCCGATGCGGAATAGTGCCAGTCGGAGCCGCCACTTCTCAAAGTTCAACGGAGACAGGAGCAGAGATAGTCACATCGCGTAGGGGATCGTGGATCTCTATCTTTGTCGCGTTTACATCTTAATTTTCCATCTCCCCATCACCCAGCTCTTTTCTTGAAGTTGTATTTCTTTTTTACTAGCTACAGATCTTGCTACACATGACCTTCAACCTGGCTTGACGCGACTTGGAACCAACACAACCTCGACGAGGGAGGGTTCCATCCATCAATTACCATCATGGCATCATTGCCTCCCCCCCTCCTCCCCCTCCAGGATGGGGTGCAGCTCCCCCTTCTATGCCAATGGCGCCGCCGCCCCCGGGATACCAGCCGCCGGCCGATCCGAATGTCGCAAAATTTGCGCAGAAGAAGAATGAATGGCTGCGCACGCAACGCAATCGGTTTGGCGAGAAGCGCAAAGCAGGATTTGTCGAAACACAAAAGGCCGATATGCCACCAGAGCATCTGCGAAAGATTGTGCGAGATATTGGCGATGTTTCACAGAAGAAATTCACCAACGAGAAACGGAGCTACCTCGGTGCGCTCAAGTTCATGCCTCATGCCGTCCTCAAGCTGTTGGAAAACATGCCGATGCCTTGGGAGTCGGCAAGAGAAGTTAAGGTGCTTTATCACGTCAACGGCTGTCTGACTTTAGTCAATGAGACACCGCGTGTCATCGAGCCTGTCTTCCACGCCCAATGGGCAACGATGTGGATGTGCATGCGTCGGGAGAAAAGTGACCGGAGACACTTCAAGCGGATGCGATTCCCCCCATTCGATGACGAAGAGCCGCCTCTTTCGTGGTCGGAAAACATTGAAGATGTTGAACCGTTGGAGCCCATTCAGATGGAACTGGACGAGGACGAAGATGCTGCAGTTTATGAGTGGCTCTACGACCACCGTCCTCTTCTCGATACCCCGCATGTGAATGGTCCGAGCTACAAGAAGTGGAATCTGTCTCTTCCCCAGATGGCCACTCTCCATCGACTTAGTCACCAGATTCTGAGTGATGTTGTTGACCAAAATTATTACCACATGTTCGACTTGAACAGCTTCTTCACAGCCAAGGCCCTTAACGTCGCCATTCCTGGTGGACCCCGTTTCGAGCCTTTGTACAAAGATATCGATCCTAATGACGAAGATTTCAGCGAGTTCAACGCCATTGACCGCATCATTTTCCGTGCCCCGATTCGAACTGAGTACCGGGTCACCTTCCCTTTCCTCTACAATACCCTGCCTCGAAGCGTTAAGGTCGCTTGGTACTCCCATCCCCAGGTGGTCTACGTTCGCACCGAGGATCCCAACCTGCCGGCTTTCTATTTCGATCCCGTCATCAACCCGATTTCCTCCCGCTCCGTCGCGCCTAAAAATATCACTGTCAGCCACGAAGACGAAATCTTCGGGGCTGGCAATAATGAAGACGACGAATTTGAGCTTCCGGGTGAGGTCCAGCCCTTCTTTGATGACGAAGAACTTTACACATCCGACACCGCGTCCGCCATCGCCCTGTGGTGGGCCCCTCACCCATTCGATAAACGATCCGGCAAGATGGTTCGTGCACAAGATGTGCCGTTGGTCAAGCAATGGTACTTGGAGCACTGCCCACAGGGTCAGCCTGTCAAAGTCCGAGTCTCATACCAGAAGATGCTCAAGACCTACGTTCTCAACGAATTGCACAAGGGTACACCTAAGGCTCAGAGCAAGCAGAATCTCATGAAGACTCTCAAAACGACCAAGTTCTTCCAGCAAACAACGATCGACTGGGTTGAGGCCGGTTTGCAAGTTTGTCGCCAGGGTTTCAACATGCTGAACTTGTTGATTCACCGCAAGAATTTGACTTACCTCCATCTTGATTACAACTTCAACTTGAAGCCTGTTAAGACATTGACAACCAAGGAGCGTAAGAAGTCTCGCTTTGGAAATGCTTTCCACTTGATGCGTGAAATTCTCCGGTTGACTAAGCTCATCGTCGATGCCCAAGTCCAATACCGTCTGGGTAACATCGATGCCTTCCAACTCGCAGATGGTATTCTTTATGCCTTCAACCACGTGGGCCAGCTTACCGGTATGTATCGGTACAAGTATAAGCTGATGCACCAGATCCGTTCCTGCAAGGATCTAAAGCATTTGATTTATTACCGATTCAACTCTGGCCCCGTTGGTAAGGGCCCTGGGTGTGGATTCTGGGCGCCCGCTTGGCGAGTTTGGCTTTTCTTCATGCGTGGTATTATTCCCCTGCTTGAGCGCTGGCTTGGAAACCTGCTCTCTCGTCAGTTTGAGGGTCGTCATAGCAAGGGTGTTGCCAAAACGGTCACCAAGCAGCGTGTGGAGTCTCATTTCGATCTTGAATTGCGTGCCTCGGTCATGGCCGATCTCATGGACATGATGCCCGAAGGTATCAAGCAAAACAAGGTCAACGTGGTTTTGCAACATCTATCAGAAGCCTGGAGATGTTGGAAGAGTAACATTCCATGGAAGGTTCCCGGCCTCCCCGCACCAATTGAGAACATCATTCTTCGTTACGTGAAAAGCAAGGCCGACTGGTGGATCTCTGTCGCTCATTACAACCGAGAGAGAATCCGCCGTGGTGCCACGGTTGACAAGACTGTCGCAAAGAAGAACCTTGGTCGACTCACGCGTCTCTGGCTCAAGTCCGAGCAAGAGCGTCAGCACAACTATATGAAGGACGGCCCTTACGTTTCTTCTGAAGAGGGCGTCGCAATTTACACCACCATGGTTCACTGGCTGGAGTCTCGCAAGTTCTCCCCGATTCCCTTCCCCAGTGTTTCCTACAAGCATGACACCAAAATTCTGATCCTTGCACTCGAGCGGCTGCGCGAGTCATACTCTGTGAAGGGTAGACTGAACCAAACCCAGCGAGAGGAATTGGCTCTTATTGAACAGGCCTACGATTCCCCTGGCACAACATTGGCGAGAATCAAGCGATTCCTCCTGACACAGAGAGCGTTCAAGGAGGTCAAGATTGACATGAACGATAACTACAACAATATCAACCCTGTTTACGATATCGAGCCCATCGAGAAGATTACCGACGCTTATTTGGACCAGTATCTTTGGTACCAAGCGGAGCAGCGCCATCTTTTCCCCGCTTGGATCAAGCCCTCCGACTCTGAGGTTCCTCCTCTACTCACTTACAAGTGGACACAGGGCATCAACAACCTGTCTAATGTCTGGGAGACCGCGGAGGGCGAGACTAACGTGATGATCGAGACTGAGCTGTCCAAGGTCTATGAAAAGATTGACCTTACACTGCTGAACCGGCTGCTCCGTTTGATCATGGACCACAATCTGGCTGACTACATCACCGCGAAGAACAATGTCCAACTCAGCTACAAGGACATGAACCACACCAACAGCTATGGACTGATTCGCGGTCTTCAATTCTCGGGCTTCGTGTTCCAGTACTACGGGTTGATGATCGATTTGTTGCTCCTTGGTTTGCAGAGAGCTAGTGAAATGGCTGGCCCTCCGGGAAGCCCCAACGATTTCTTGCAATTCAGAGATCGTGCCACTGAGACAAGGCACCCCATCCGTCTGTACACCCGTTACGTTGATAAGATTTGGGTCTTCTTCCGATTCCAGGCCGATGACTCCCGTGACCTGATTCAGCGATTCTTGACCGAGAATCCTGACCCTAACTTTGAGAACGTCATTGGATACAAAAATAAGAAGTGCTGGCCTCGCGATTGTCGCATGCGCTTGATGCGTCACGATGTCAACCTTGGTCGTGCTGTTTTCTGGGACATGAAGAACCGCCTCCCAAGGTCCATGACTACCATTGACTGGGATGATACATTCGCCAGCGTGTACAGTAAGGACAATCCCAACTTGCTCTTCTCGATGAATGGATTCGAAGTCCGGATTCTCCCCAAGATGCGGAATATGAACGAGGAATTCTCGGTCAAAGACAGTGTTTGGTCCCTGGTTGATAACTCCACCAAGGAGCGTACTGCACATGCCTTCCTCCAGGTCACTGAAGAGGATGTTCAAAAATTCAACAATCGCATCCGACAAATCCTTATGTCCTCTGGTTCGACCACATTCACTAAAATTGCCAACAAGTGGAACACTGCTTTGATTGCTCTTTTCACTTACTACCGCGAGGCTGCAGTGTCGACTGTCAACCTTCTCGATACCATCGTGAAATGTGAAACTAAGATCCAGACTCGTGTCAAGATTGGTCTTAACTCTAAGATGCCTTCTCGTTTCCCTCCGGCGGTCTTCTACACCCCCAAGGAGCTTGGAGGTCTCGGTATGATCTCTGGATCTCACATCCTCATTCCCACCAGTGATAAGCGCTGGTCCAAGCAGACCGACACTGGTATCACCCACTTCCGAGCGGGTATGTCTCATGACGAGGAAACCTTGATTCCAAATATCTTCCGATACATCATTCCCTGGGAGGCCGAATTCATTGACTCTCAGCGTGTTTGGATGGAATACTCGCAGAAGCGTATGGAAGCCCAGCAGCAAAACCGCCGCCTAACATTGGAGGATCTAGAGGACAGCTGGGATCGTGGTCTTCCCCGTATCAACACTCTCTTCCAGAAGGATCGAAGCACCCTCAGCTTCGACAAGGGCTTCCGACTTCGCGCTGAGTTCAAGCAATACCAGCTGATGAAGAGCAATCCGTTCTGGTGGACTAGCCAGCGACACGACGGTAAACTCTGGAACCTCAATGCCTATCGCACTGATGTTATCCAAGCATTGGGTGGTGTTGAAACAATCCTCGAGCACACCTTGTTCAAGGCCACAGCTTTCCCATCCTGGGAAGGTCTGTTCTGGGAAAAAGCGTGTCTCGCCAAGGGAACTCGTCTGTTGCGATACGATGGTACCAAGATCAATGTCGAGGATGTGCGCGAAGGCGACCAACTTTTGGGTCCCGACGGAGAGCCTCGCCGTGCATTCAACATAGTGAATGGCACCGACCGCCTGTACCGCATCAAGATCGGCGGTGAGAAAGAAGATCTTGTGGTGACGCCGAATCATATTCTGGTGCTTTATAGAGACGATGGGGCCTCCGATAGTCCCCAAACCGCAGAAAGGCAAACGGTGGAGATGACTGCTGCGGACTTTGCTGCCCTTTCTACCGAGGAAAGAGGCCTGCATAGCGCCTTCACATCTGGGTTTGAGAAGGGCGTCGAAAGTTCAGCTCCCAAGATCCACAGTTTCAAGATCGAGCACATTAGCCTTGAACCCGAGAAGACCGAGTGGGCTGGTTTCCGAGTCGACAAAGATCAGCTTTACCTGCGCCATGATTACCTTGTCCTGCATAACAGTGGTTTCGAAGAAAGTATGAAGTTCAAGAAGCTCACCAACGCTCAGCGGTCCGGTCTAAACCAGATTCCTAACCGTCGATTCACTCTCTGGTGGTCGCCGACCATCAACCGCGCCAACGTCTACGTTGGTTTCCAGGTGCAACTTGATCTGACTGGTATCTTCTTGCACGGCAAGATTCCCACCCTGAAAATCTCGTTGATTCAGATTTTCCGTGCCCATCTGTGGCAGAAGATTCACGAATCGGTTGTTATGGATCTGTGTCAAGTTCTGGATCAGGAATTGGAGCAGCTTGGCATCGAGGCCGTTCAGAAGGAGACCATTCACCCACGTAAATCTTACAAGATGAACAGCTCTTGTGCGGATATCCTGCTCTTCGCAACGAACAAATGGAATGTTACCCGACCTTCACTTGTGTTCGATACCAAGGACGTCTACGAGCCGACCACCACAAACAAGTTCTGGATCGATGTGCAGCTCAGATATGGTGACTACGATTCTCACGACATTGAGCGGTACGTTCGTGCCAAGTACCTCGACTACACCACGGACAGCATGAGTATCTATCCTTCTGCCACTGGATTGATGATTGGCGTTGACCTTGCATACAATCTCTTTTCGGCATATGGACAGTACTTCCCAGGCCTCAAGACTCTGGTTCAACAGGCCATGGCTAAAATCATGAAAGCCAACCCAGCTTTGTATGTCCTGCGTGAGCGTATACGCAAGGGTCTCCAGCTGTATGCCTCGGAGAGCAGCCAGGAGTTCCTTAATTCTCAGAACTACTCCGAGCTCTTCAGCCCGCAGATTCAGCTCTTTATCGATGACACTAACGTTTACCGCGTCACGATCCACAAGACCTTTGAGGGTAACTTGACCACCAAACCCATTAACGGTGCAATCTTTATCTTCAACCCTCGGACTGGACAATTGTTCCTGAAGATCATCCACACCAGTGTCTGGGCAGGCCAAAAGCGTCTGGGTCAGTTGGCCAAGTGGAAGACAGCCGAAGAAGTTGCAGCCCTCATTCGGTCTCTCCCCGTGGAAGAGCAACCGAAGCAGCTCATTGTCACCCGTAAGGGTCTTCTTGACCCTCTCGAGGTCCACTTGCTCGATTTCCCCAATATCTCCATTCGTGCATCTGAGCTCCAGCTGCCCTTCCAGGCTGCCATGAAGGTTGAGAAACTGGCCGATATGATTCTCCGTGCGACCGAGCCTCAGATGGTACTTTTCAACTTGTATGATGAGTGGCTCAAGTCCATCTCGCCGTACACTGCCTTTTCTCGACTCATTCTCATTCTTCGAGCTCTGCACGTCAACATCGACAAAGCCAAGATCATTCTTCGGCCCGATAAGACCGTTATCACTCAAGAACACCACATCTGGCCATCCCTGTCTGATGAAGACTGGATCAAGGTTGAAGTGCAATTGCGTGATCTGATCTTAAACGATTATGGCAAGAAGAACAATGTCAACGTGCAGAGTTTGACCAGTAGCGAGGTTCGTGATATTATCCTGGGTATGGAGATTAGTGCGCCTTCTTTGCAGCGACAGCAGGCGGCGGAGATCGAGAAGCAGCAAGAAGAGCAAAAGCAGCTCACTGCTGTGACAACCAAGACTCAGAACGCTCGTGGTGAGGACATCATCGTCACTACTACGTCTCAGTACGAACAGCAATCATTTGCATCCAAGACAGAGTGGCGTACTCGTGCAATCGCCACCTCCAACCTCCGGACGAGGGCTAACAACATCTATGTCTCATCTGACGACATTCGGGATGATGGCTACACCTATATCATGCCTAAGAATGTCCTCAAGCGATTCATCACCATCGCCGATCTCCGAGTGCAGGTCACGGGTTACATCTACGGTAGCTCTCCACCAGACAATGACCAGGTCAAGGAGGTCCGCACCATTGTCATGATTCCACAAGTGGGTAACACCCGGGATGTCCAGCTGCCACATCAATTGCCGCAGCACGACTATCTCCAAAATTTGGAGCCACTTGGTATCATCCATACGGTTTCTGGCAATGAACCGCCGTACATGTCTGCGGCGGATGTCACACATCACGCACGCCTCATGAACGCCCATCCTTCGTGGGATAAGAGGACCGTGACCATGACCGTCTCTTTTACTCCTGGATCCGTTTCACTTGCCGCCTGGGGTCTCACTCCGGCGGGCTACAAGTGGGGCGCAGAGAACAAGGACACAACCTCGGATCAGCCCCAAGGCTTCTCTACCAACATGGGTGAGAAGTGTCAGCTGCTCCTCAGTGACAAGATCCGCGGCTATTTCCTTGTGCCCGAGGATAACGTCTGGAACTATAGCTTCATGGGTAGCTCCTTTGGTAGCGTGGAAAAGAGACCTATCTACGTCAAGATCGACACCCCGCTTAAGTTCTACGATGACCAACACCGTCCCCTGCACTTCCAAAACTTCGCCGAGCTCGAAGACATTTGGGTTGACCGGTCTGACAACTTTGCGTAAACATGTGCAGCTGATCGTTGCAAAATATTTTTTTCTTTTTCCCAGCGTTTGTCTTTTGTTTCCCCCTTTTTTTCATTTGGGTTCTTGTATCACGACAACCTTAATTCATGTATTGCAGCGAGAAACCTGAGGGAAAAGCAGTGGATTGTTTTCTGTACAGTACGAGTTTCCTTTTGCGAATACATTTTCTGTCACTGAATCTTTTCTCTAATAGCTCTCTTGTATACGAGGATGCAGTTGGCTTCGAAATGTAGTTGATATCGCCACTTTCTCTAATATTGCCGCGATGTGAAGGTTGTATAGGCCAATAAAACTATAGATATCAGCCGAACATCCGAAAGCTGTGTATAAAAGAACAAAATATATAACAATATTAAAATCGAGGTCCAAGGTCTCCGCTTTGATGCAGACCCTTCTCATTGACAGACGGCCCGCATGCAGCTAGTAACATTTCGGCAGTCCGAATCACATATTATTCGACAAATCTAACGGGAAAGGGGGAGTTGTGTGGCTAAAAATTTGATACCACCTCAATCTCCAATCTTTTACGCTGATTGTCTTCTCCCAACTTCATAGGATGTCAAGTCCAAAAGCCAATATTGTTTTCGAGTGTTGCACCCCCCTGCTCTCTTGTTCTGTTCTATTGGACATATGTGATTGACTCCCGCAGGCCTTGGCTCCGAAGAAACCCGGTGCAATAGAATATCTTGCCATGGCTTACTCGACTAACCTATACCGTATCAATCAGCCGATACGAGATCTCCGCCTCTTTTACAGCAAGACGACGTGGAAGATCGGTCCGACGAATGAGCTGTTTGATTTGCTATGTCCCCGGAGTCTGACAGGCTTCACCTGTCTGCCATGTCCTTGTTTGTTATGGCTCTTGATTCTTGACCCTGGACTCACCCTGGTCTCCATGTTTTGCGTTTGGTGTTTATCCACATTAATAGGCGCTCTTCCAACAATACTTATGGGAGGTTCTACCGCTTCGAAGGTTTTTTTTTAACCCCTCCCCTTGACGTTGGGAGTTGGGAGTTGGGAGTCTGTGCGAAAGCAGAGCGGGAAAAACTCCTATGGAGACCGGAAAGATGGGACACAACCTGCCTATCGCGAAAAATTTGACAGTGGTTCAGAATCCTCTTGCAGTCCGGTCCACTGGAGACTAATGGAATCAGCCCGGCAACGCACGCTCCAAGTTGGTCACCGGCACAGATTTGGATTTTCTCTCAGGGGGCTCTCCGGATGTTATAGATGTCTCCATCGCTTCGTTTTTCGTTCACTTTTCTGGGAAATCTTGGTTATTTCGTCCTCTACATTATGACTGACCGATTCTTCCACAAGACCTGCCTACAATTTGACCCAAAGTAACGATATCTATTCACTTCTGCATGTTAACGCGTTGAGGCCTTATTCTTCTTTGTTGCGATTACATATACAGGCAAGTTTCTCTTCGCATTGTTCTCCTATGCAAGATCAGAGGCCTTTTCTTTTGTTTGGCTTTCAACTTCAGAGAAACACTTAAGCAATAAACACGCCCTGGAATCGTTCACCTCCCAGCAGCCACTCAAGTCACTTGCTGGGGCTGCAAGCTTTGGTGTTGCTTATACATGTCTGCACCACCAGAGGGCCCTTATCGAGGCTCCATGGTTAACTACAGTCCTCACGACAGCGGGAAAGATGCGAACCGGGATGATATCATCTCCTACGGCGCACCTCCGTTGCTCGTCCAAGATAGATCTGGATTTCGTTACTCCGATACAACCCAGCCAACCTATGGGTCTCCGTCGACTTTGATCACAGACCACTCCCTACAACGCCAGCCCTCACATTACGATACACACGAATATAGACTCTCTCCAATCCAGGGTAGCAGAAAGCGACAATTTATCGACAATAAGCCTGAGGCCAGTGGAGGCACTGATCACAACTATGGGTACCGACATATCTTGCAAAATCTACCCATGGGTGACCCGTCGGCTTCAGCAGGCGGATCGACCGACTTGACGTACGCTGATCATGTCGGGGCTTCATCTTCTCACCAGGCATCGAACCAGGACTACCTCCAAAGTTCTCTTCCGCAACAGCACCACCACCATCGACTACCACCCCAATCATTGGCAGCTATGGACCATGGCTCTGAAGCCACGGGATCATACTTACCGCAAATCGACCGCAGTCACTTGACCCGTCCGGGCATGCCTAAACCATTCCCTGCGCCAAAAGCCCCAAAGACCAGATTCAGTGCCAAGGAAGATGCGCTGTTGATAAAATTAAAGGAAGAGTTCAAGTTGTCCTGGAAGGATATTGCGTGGTTCTTTCCAGGGCGAACCCAAGAAACACTGCAAGTCCGTTACTGTAGCAAATTGAAGGAAAAAGTCGTGGGTTGGGATGATGATTGGGTATGTACATATTATTCCCACACAACTAATAAACTGGGATTGTGCTAAGTTTTAGGATAGGATCTGAAACTGAAAACGGCGCTGGGAAGGTATGAGGACGACAAATGGGAGTACGTTGCCAAGAAGCTTGGGACTGGTATACGACCAGCGGCGTGTCAGCGGAGAGCCGAAGAGCTTGGATGATGTTGGAGTTCCTGTTTTGCTAGTTTAGGGGAACTTATTTATTATTCTGTGACTTACAGTGTTGGCCTAAGATATTGTCAATATATCCCACCCCGTGCCCTATACAGAGAAGCCCTATGTATTCCAAAAACGGACATTCTGCCGCTAGCTGAACAGACCGCTTGTAGAGAGCTCCCGCCAATCAAAAAAGGCTGACTCATCATTAGTCGCGGTCATATTGGATGGCCCATCAACCAATCACAACCCCTCGGGCCAAAGCGGCTTCAAACTCGCCCAACCTCAAACCTCCAAACTCCCTCTCCTGCCCCAAACGCCCCGCGTCATTCACCCCATCAACTCCAGGACAATGTTCCTCCAACGTACAGCCTCCGCCCTCGCAAGGCGCTCGCCTGCCCGCGCTTTCACCCTCGCCCAGCGCCCCTTCTCTTCCTCCATCATTCGCTGTACGTGACTCCTCAAATGGCCTGATCGATCCGGCCTTCGCACAACTGCTCCAATCCCCGCGCACCCCAACCACAAGGGGTTATTTGCAATCAATTGGTATAAACTATCTATTCTAATTACCAGCTAACGCGAAACTTTTATAGCCAATGAGAAGAAGTGGACTCCCAAGCAGGAGGGCAAGATCCTGACCTTCGATGGTTAGTGCTTTCCCCGACCCACAGCAGTCAATTGCTTTTCTTCTAGCCCCTACCGTTCGAGATGTATTCGTATAATCGCCTGCTCGAGAATCTGCGTGCAATTGGACGCCAGAAACCTCAGGTGCTGGTCATGCGGATACTTTTCCCGAGCCACGGGCCAGGCTCGTCATTCTACATGAAGGGAATATCTACAAAACACAATACTAATTTACTTCTCTTGCCTGTATATAGAGATCAAGGTCGAGGATGACCTTGTCGCTCCGGGTGCCAAGCCCGGTACCATTCCCACCGACATCGAGCAGGCCACCGGTCTTGAGCGTCTGGAACTTATCGGAAAGATGCAGGGCATTGACATCTTCGACATGCGTCCCCTTGATGCCTCCCGCAAGGGTATGACTCCCTTCCTAACTTCTCATTGCAAATCATGAATGGATGACCAAATACTGTCGGAATCGCATGATCATTACTTTGGGACGAAACCCGAGACATTGGCTGACCAAATGGGTGGATTTATGCAGGCTCCCTCGAAGACCCCATCATCGTCAACGGCGCCGGTGACGAGCAGTACGCCGGTTGCACCGGTTTCCCCGCAGACTCCCACCAGGTCAACTGGTTGACCGTATGATCGCCCTATCCAAACCCAGCTGGTTCAATATTTCCAGCTCCAGAGACTGACTCTCTGCCTTCTAGGTCTCCCGCGAGCGCCCCCTCGAGCGCTGCCTTGAGTGCGGCAACGTGGTCAAGCTGAACTACGTTGGACCCGAGGAGGACCCCCACTCCCGTATGTTTTCCGCTCTCTTTTTTACCTATAGTATATGATAGTCCGTTGGTTATGCTAACATTCTCGCTCTCAGACGACCACGACCACGGTCACCACCACCCTCCTCACGTCGAGCCCAAGACCTTCGCCGACTACGTTAAGCCCGACTACTGGTACCGGTAAATCTTTAATGCCGATTTTCTGCTTGCGCGGCGGTTTTCTTTGGTTATTGCTTGAAAACCCCAATACAGTGTGAACATTATGCTGCGTGTCTGTCCGTCCCTGTTCTGTCTCGGTGACTCCTCTGTCTCTTTTGTACTATAGTGCTCTAGTAGATGAAATGAGAGTGTTGGTGGGGTTCTTACTTTTGACTTATGATTATCTGTTTAGGTTTGTAGTTACAATGAGATGGGATACCGCGAGTAGCCATGTTGGTAGACCTTTGATATTGGTGTTAGGGGTACTGGTATCAGAAAAGAAATACGCTAATTTTTTCATAGATGAATGTTTGGTGGCACTGCAGCTCTCGGCCATCGCCGAGCACGCGGTGCCGAAGGAAAATTTATCCATATATCATATCACTTTTAATCTAATGTATCTAGAAAAATGCGGTGGGTTAGTAGAGCGCAGCCTCGACATCCCGGGAAGTAGATAATGAAACATTGTGCAAAGCCTCGTCCAAAAAGAAGCAAGATCACTCATATGCTTGTACAGGACATCGTATATCAGCCGATGCCTAGCGACCCACGAAGCGAAGTTCGATGAATCTGAGAGGAGGGTAAACAAGGGCTGTCCAACAGAACCCGACGTAAACTCCCATCTGGCGAGTAATAAGTTAGAATCAAAGACACATCATGGGAAGTAGTGTTCAACTTACATCAGCACCGTATTCGCCGACCAATTTGGCAATGGGACCGATGTACCACACCTGCGCCATACACAACACAGCGCCCACCCAGCCAATGATAAAGGCAGCGAAAGCCGCAATTCCAAGGGGGAGCTTTGACGGATCCCGCCAGATCGCCCAGTTGTATCCAGTGCGAAGACGGAAGATGAACCGCTCCTCGAGGACAATAGCAATCCAGATGACAACCCAGTAGCCCATCAAAGCGAGGAAATTGGTGAAGATCTCAGAGAGGTTGCTGCGGCCAACTAGCGCGCAGACAGTATAGATAATGACAGCAATGGTATTCCAGATGACGCGCGGTACTGCCTCGGCGTAGCGACCGAGGATCTGGAAGTCGATGCCGGCGGAGTAAGTGGGCGCGACGGTATTGGCGATCAGGCCTAGAGCGCAGATCACAGAGCAGAACTTGCCGAAGCCGTGTAGCGGGCCGAATCCTTCGACGATTAGTGCTCCTGGGCCTTGTTCGTAGGCGGCGGAGTACTCTGGGTGTGTAGAGATGCCCGTGGCCAGCCCAACACCGCAGATCAGGGCCATAGTGAAGGAGACAAGGAGGCCTCCTAGAGTAAGGCCGAATAGTTTCACGCGAGAGGTATTTTCGGGGTAATAGACGAAGAAGTCGGCTGCTAGTGGGGCGTAGGTGACTGCGGCGCTCAGACAGATGGAGAAGAAGGATAGCCTGGAACCATGTTAGAAAACTTAAAACTTCGATGCTTAGGTTTGAGGTGCAGACTCACCTATTGCCAGCTACTGTCCGGGAATCACCGACAGAGGTGGTTGACAAGTCAAATTTCACGGATGACACCCCGAAAAGGATGAAGACCACAATTACTTGTGGCAAAAAGGCGAATCTAACATGATGTCCGTCAGTGACACTGTTCCTTGTGGCAACAAGCTCTCAAACTAACCGTTCATAGTAGTGGAAGACTTGGATGCCGAATGTGGCCACAGCCCAGCTGAGAACCGCGATGATCACGATGCCTATAATATCAAGATTAGTACCAGTATTGATTTATAGAGTTCCCTGGTTCGCCGATTACTCACCGACAGCTACGGACATGCCGCCAGGAGAGACGGCAGACAAGATTTGTCCGCCAACGACGCAATCGATCAAGCCGTATCCAATCATCTGAACAAGGTTCAATAGAACAATGATCTTGCTAGGCCACCAGCCCATCGAATACCTTCCAAAGGCCTGGTCATCAATTAGCCCTGTCAATCGAATAATAGTCCAACAGATTCACGATGTACTACGCACCAATGTCCGAATCCCAGAAACGGGCCCCCATGTGGCCATCCAAGAGGAGACGATGGAACCAACGCAGGCACCAAAGACAGCGCAAAGCGCCGAGTCCCGGAAGCTGAGACCATACACGGCAGGCCCTAACATCCCGAGGGTGATGTTATTGGGCGCAAGGTTGATGGAGATCCAAAGCAAGAAGACTTGCAGATACGACATCCACGTGAGGCGCTTCATGCGCTCATCCGCGGCAACTCTTTCAATACCCCGTGCTTCCAGGTTATACTCGATGAGCTGTTTCTCAAAGGCTCTGATAATGGAGCCCAATCGTGATCCGACGGGATTGCGGCGATTGGTCGTGGTCTCGGCGTAGATTCCCTCATCCTTGTTGGCCATCCCGGGGGTTTCAGTCGTCAGGTCTTCCTTGTTGGTGTGCACCGCTAGAGCGGTGATTTCATTTTCCGATGCCATGCTGCGTCTCTGTTAGTATCACACCTAATCGCTGAGGAAAGAAAAAGCGCATTGAGTCCTTTCGCTGGAATTACCCAGATCAAGTTTAACCGTATATTCTCAGAACGACAATTGTCGAACACCGGTCTTCATGCAGGAGGTTTGTCCTAGATACCTTGATCGTGAGAAAATACCACGCTACTCGTCTTCATGGTAGCCGATCGAGGTTGTGTTACCTTCCGAGAGAAGAGTCACTATGAACACACTGTAGCGTCAGAGGAATTGGTTAATGTCAGGCAATCACAGGGCTTTTACCTGAGGCTCACGAAAACAAAGCAACAAGTAACAAGTTCACCTATTAAAAGCACCTAATTTCCAGTGGGGGAAAAAAACGGGGGGAGAATTGCCGCGGGGAAAAAAAAAGAAGATCGCCCGCTTTGGCTTTTGCCGCCACCTCACCTGTAGACATTGTAGACATTTTGTTCTATCTATTTACAAAGTACATTATTCTGAAATTTCCTCATACTGGAAGTGGGAATCATATGGTATTGGTGGACACAAAAGCGCAAAAAAGAAATAGCGCTTGTCAAATCAAAATAGACGCCTTAGGAAAATATGGCAAAACAAGCGCAAGTGTTCATAGCGCATATAAACGAGAACCAATAAGATTGAAATCCAGATCACCAACTCCATCTGCCTTGTAAAATCAGTGGCCTCCAGCGGCCACCGATGAAACTTGCATCGCTCTGGAATTGATCCGGAAGAGAGAATGCCAAATTCATAAAAGATGCTAAGAAAACGATATCATCACTTCATCAGAGGCGTCGTGGTCAGACGTTCTTGAAATGCTCTTTGGCATACTGTTCGCAGGCCTGTCGGAAAATATTGAGATTAGATGGCACAATGACATGAAATTCCGATACTCACTTTGGCAGGCTTTCCCACTTTCTGACCGATCACCTTCCACTTGTTTGCCTCGTACTCCTTGATCGCATCGCGAAGCTTCACAGACTGTGCGACGTCAGAGGCGGATGCGACAACGGACATTAAAAGAAAATCGGGATCATACCTCATCTTCGGCAAATTCCGCGTAGTGCATGTCCTGCGTAAGGTGTCAGTAAGACGAGACATGGTATTACCAAATTCGCTTGATATTGCGTACCTTATACCAATGCTTCTTGACACTGCCCTCGGTTCGGGTCGGGAAAGTCTATAGGGTTTAAAAAAAAAGCCCAGGTCAGCAATCCATAGTTTCTGCCTATAAAAAGCCGCGCGCGCGCACCTTGGCGATTTCACTCCAACTGCGCCCGGCGTCGCGCATTGTTTTAAGCCTTTGCTCCTCCTCTGCAGTCCATGGGGTATTTGTGCGTCCCTTTTTCTTGGGCGTAGACTCGACCGTGGGAATGGCACCGGAGTCATCGATCACACCCGTAGGATTCCCTGAGGCTGACATCATGGCTGACGATCCCGAAGGAGAAGGAGGGCGTTTGCGCGAAGCGCCGGGGTTTTGTTGAGGTATAGGAGCAGTCGGAATCGGGATGCCTTCAAAGGTTGGGACGCGATGAAATGGATGGATTTGTTGTTGGGCAAGCATATGCGGGGGAGCGCTGGTAGTTGCCGACGTCTTGAGGCGCTTAGATGTCGGGGGGGGAACTAATCGGGTAAAGAGTCAGAGAATAGAAGAGACATGAGGTGGGATGAAGCAATATGGTAAGAACGCGACCAAGTGCACTTGACTTCCAGCCCAGTCTCCCTCCCACAGCTGGAGGCCGGACGGAGATCACAGACGAAGGGACTTACGACATGGTGAAAGACACACGTTTGCAATCACACTGTGCCGATTCATCTGTACATACAGAAAGGCCGCGTAGGGGGGTTAGCAGGATCTGGTACTGGCGCGCCTTGGTCAACTCTCGGGAAGCGTTACACTAAAGACGATGACACAGGCGCATCCCAGGCAGAACCAGACTGACAAAGGTAACAGGGACAATAGGAAGGTATAAGTCGCGACACAGAGAAGTCCAGACTCCGACCGGAGTGTTTTAACTCCTATGTGGGGGGGGGAGGTTAAGTCAAGGGGAAGCTCACAGGTCAAAATCGCATGGTCGAAGCGTCGATTCGGGGACCTCGAATTCTTCCGAATACGGGGAGAACATGAGGCTGGAAAGGTGGGTTGACTTTGGAGGGGAGGTAAGGTTGAGGAGAGGAACCCCCAAGAGAACAAAAAACCCCAGAGACTTGAGGGAAAAAAAAACAGGGAGAAAGAGAAAGAGAGAGAGAGAGAGACAAGGTTACAGAGAGAAGAGAAAGGAGGAAGAGGAGAAGAGGAAACGAGCGGGGATGGAGTCACCTCATATCACAACAAAGTAATAATAGCACTTTAGATATTTCTAGTTTATATAGTTTATATCTAGTCTATAGAGCTTTTATATTTATATATTTTATATGGGTTTAGTTTGATTTTTACTTGAATGTTTTGATTTTCAGCTAATCTCACAGTTAATTTCCTAGTATAACCCCCCTCTATTACTTCGATCCATTTTATGGCATTTTCTCCTTATATCAAATGTAGACTATTCATGCAATCAAATTAAAAATCAGTGTCGATTCAAATGCGCCTCCAACCACTTCCCCCTCCGGTGCATTCCACCCGTTCTTCCCTGGTCTAGGAACCGATGCCCGGACAGGGGCCCTGTCACAATTTATGGCTCATCCTATGATCCAATTCGACCGACATCAAAATGCAGAAGCAAAGATAACCACGTCCGGCAGCTTCCATGAGACATTTGGGCCGAAGAGACCCGCGAGTGGCCTGTTCCAGAATCCGGTGACCCGGCGAGATCTCACAACACCGTGCGAGGATGACAGAACACGCCCAATGCGAGTCAACGATGCGCCCGAGGGCCTAATTATTGCAAAGGCATCCAGTGGCCCCGGGAGCTCATCCCGCAATCACCAACATTCAAGTGACAGAAGTAGAAGTGTCCGTCCAACCCGAGACTTGGCAGGCTAGGTCAGCCACAAGACGGTTTCGCGTGAAGCCACCGCGTACCATCCCCTCTTTGTCCCCCATGCAGGTCGTTATTGAGAGCATGCACGGTATGGAGTAGAAGGGCTGGAGGACCCTATCAGCATTTATTTCTGTCTTAGTACCGCACGGGGTTCATCTAAGCGTGTATATATTCAAGAAGCCCAGCCTCTCAAAATCCTGCCGTCATTTTCTTTGTCACACGCAGTTCATCCCCCCTGTCAAATCTCCAATTGGTGACAATTGACAAGTTTGCTGATGACCAAGCCGACCAGGACTTCTACATTTCCTGGCATTATCAATTGACTAGGTGATATCAAGTGGTAATGACGAGTCTCTCCGGTTAGGTTTGAGGATGCATGCAAAGGATCAGGTGTGCTGAATGTCCTGGTGCAGCATATTATCAATCCAAATAGGTACCGCCAAGAGTTGCTGGTGGTAAATATGACTTGCATCACCTGTTTTAATAAACAGGAGGTGTTTCTCTATCGAATCTAGGAATCTCAAGTTCCTTGATCAACCCAGCCAAAAAAGACATGCACTCCAACAGATGGCTCTAATATTAGTGATTCAAGCACTCGGCCAGCATAACAAAAGGACTCGGACTCTTCGAATATGACCAATTCCTTGCTGTTTTTACTCGATCAAGATTCAAGCCGTTTCAACCGTTCTACAATGAAATAAAGTCATTCCGACCAGGCCAAACCTCGTTCTTGCTAAATCATAGTTCATTGCTCCCAGGAGCATGAGCAGTACTAGTTATGACTACTGGGTACTGCTCGTGTTGCAGCGATTACATCTGCTTTGGGAATCTTACCGCGTCGCCTGCATCACCTAGAGCATCTAGGCCTTCCCGCATCCACGGCCGCAAGCGCAAATAAACAGATATCGATTTTAACTGGAATCCTAGCTCATTGGTATCACTCCAGAAGCTTAAGAAGAGCCTCGAATCAACTTTCGACAACTCAAATATCTATCGAGTAGGTTGTACGTCCTCATGGCATTTACTCCTCAACATCCCCGCATCTTTCGTTTTTTAGTCCATTTCCTCCAAGAGTGGCTGGTGAACCCTAAGCTATATGACTTGCTAAGAGCAACATTAATCACAGTATGTTTGGTCCTTCGAAGTCCAATTGTCGAAATATATATTTTTTATATAAGTTCCACAGGTTGTCAGTACCCCCGAATATATACATTTTGAGACCGCATTGTTGAACAGCACATGTCAACCATAACTAGACACTAGACAACAAGATAGAACCAATAGCTATCAAATCTTTCGTCTAGTAAAATTAATTCACCATATTTTTTTCGCCAACCCCAGAGCTTCCCCAGGGCCAATTTACGCGCTGACGTCAACCTCACGTGAAAGGACACGCGGCCCGAGCTCATGTGGATCACCGATAACGAACTCCCCTAGTCACTCCAACAGCGCCAATATCCTTACAAGGTTCATTGCATCTCCCTTAATTTCATTGGGGGGAACATATATACACAAAAAACGTCATTTCTCTTCCAGTCTACTCGACACTTGATTCTCCCATTTCACCAGATACTTGGCGTCGACCTCGATGGTGATAGCTTGACAGGTGTCCACACCCCGCGTCCAACTCATTGTTTGATTGTCTGACCCCCTCCAGCCATGGCGGCCTGGAATATCTTTCGCATTCTTGGAGATCTGTCCCATTTAGGGTCAATATGCGTCCTACTCTGGGCTATCCACAAGAATAAGAGCGCCGAGGGTTCGTACATCCTTGTATCAATTTAATTAGAGCTTTCTAGATACCCTGCAAAGATTACTGACACAGGCATGTGATTTAGGCATCTCACTGCTCACACAGCTGCTTTACGGTGTCGTCTTCATATTTCGCTATCTTGACCTGCTGGATCCCCACACGTACACGAGCGGGACATGGCACGGCATTTGGAATGTCTCTTTCAAGCTCTTCTACATAATCTCATCCGCATACGTGATATTCCTGATGATGAAGGTATACCCGCGGACGAGAGAGAGGGAGCGAGCTTGGAAACTCGGGTTGTGGTCTGTGGCTGGGTCCGTTGTTTTGGCACCTATCTCAATATGGCTTTTCGAGAAAGAGGCTTACACTTTATGGTTCCTTGACGTAAGTTGGACAAGCCCAAAGCATTCATATTTTCCAGCTTTACTGATCCAACTACTTAGGTTTGCTGGGCTTTCTCCATCATTCTTGAATCTGTGTGTGTTTTGCCGCAACTCCTTCTCCTTCGTCAAACCACTGTCCCAACGGTGATCGACTCATACTACCTGCTTGCTCTGGGCTCCTACAGAGCATTCTACATCCTCAATTGGATAGTCCGCCTTTTCAACAAGGAGCCCTTCTATGACTGGATCGCCGTCGTGTTTGGCATTGTACAGACCGCCTTTTATGTCGACTTTGCATGGGTATACTATTCGCGCCAGCGAGTCAAGCTTCGCCATGGTGGTGTCGTTGACTCCGAGGACTATGGGAACAGTTGGCTGGTGAATCGCGTGGTGAATTTCCGGGCATCGCGACGCTCTGCAGACGAAGAACAGCACCTTCAAGACGAGGAAGGAGTGGATGGTCAATCAAACCACAACCGGTGGGGCGCCCGTGGTATTTCCATCGCAGCCGACGATACCCTGGAAACCAATGGTCACAATAAGGGACATCATGATGATAGTTTAGATGGATTTTCGGGGGACGAAGACGAAACGGATGATCACCGGGTGAACAATTCTCATTAAGGATTTGCTATGGGCAGATTCGCTCACATGGCATATATCAAGTTAAATGCTAAGCAGAGCCCTCACGGGCTCTAAAATGGGTTGCACGGGAAGACCCGCCATTGCTGTTCTAGTGTGGTTATTATCTCCCCGGGATTTGATACCCACCTTTGAATTCTCGGGCCTTTTGATAGAATTAGGAAATGAGAACATGTACTCTGTACTAGCCCCAAGTGTATGGGGGCCATTGTTGTTCAGGCTACACCGTTTCATGCTGGTAATTTGATGTAACCTATGTATCTTGATTTCTAATTACTTTCTAGTCTCTAGTCATTTACTGACTTGATTCTCTCCATATGGAGATCGGTACATAGTTTTATGTACTAGATTCTCAATGAGGCTTTGTTTTTTAGCTGCCGCTGTTATGGAGGCGTTTCTCGGTGTGAGAATATTACATTAAGAGTATTGACCTCGGAGCACCTGTGGACTCCGCATTTCATAAAGGAGCATTTTTGGCCCCCACGAGAGTATCTCGAATAAATATGCATGTACGGGGTAGCTATCACATAAGATAACCCAGAAGCAGAAGCCAGAAAGTGAGAAAATAAAGAGCCAATAGTCAGTGAATAATCAATATGCGTTTAGGGAATTCAAGCGTTTGCTCCACCTGGGAACGCTGATCTTCAAAGCCTCCGAGTTTCTTTCAACCGGTTACTTCCCAACCCAAGAAAGATACATGGGAGCTATCAACTCCCAATATTTCTCTAGAATTATGTGCAGATAATTCAAAAAAAAAAGTGAGCGTTTGATTCAAGGTCCAGACACTGGCTTTTTCTCGGGCGCTTAAAGGCAGGACGTGGCTCGAAGAGCTGACCCCGGAAACAAACGATCACCAGAAATGTGGAGATTTGAGATCGAAGAAAGAAAGAAAGAAAGGAAAAAAACTATGGTTTTTTTTTTGCTTGAGATATCCCCACAGAAGCAAGAGGAAAAAATGAAAAAAAAAAAAATCATCACAAAGAAAGTTCCAAGGTTGTTCTGCACCTTCGAGATGACCGGGGTTTACCGGGTGTCTACATCAGAGCGCTTAACCAGCGGTCATGAATTCTCCGTGGATAAAGCCACCAAGCGGCGCGTGGGGTCTTCTCAGCCTCAAAAAGAATTTTGGATCATCTATGGCCAGTCGAGAGCCGCCCGTCTTGAGCAACGCCTCTGCATGGGGAATGCATGGAGAAGGATCATGATCCCTCTCATTCCATCCCACAACCGGTGGGTTGGAACCTAGCGTCAACCTGAGAATTTTTATTTTCTTCTCTCGTGGCTGCCAAAATGAAACATTAATATAGAGTAGGCAGTCAACAAGGCTGACTTGGGATATGGGGCAATATCGACTTTGGGGGCTGTTGAACGTTTATGTCTAAATTGAAATATGTAGCCATGTTATAATTGACGGGCTTAGTATTGGGGTCCCATAATCCACTGGATCTCTCCAAAGCTCTAAGCGCTACGCTTTGTCTCCTTTGTGGAGGATCATCCACAACCCTAAGCAGCACAGTCTTTCCTGTTTATTTATTTAATAATTTTTTTGGCCCGTTGCAGTGGGTCTGAAGTCATGGACTGACTTTAATTCCTATTCACCATGCAGAGTCTGAGCCCCCCCATCCAGGGATGGGGGCGGAATATGGATATCAACATTGGACTATTGAGCCCGCAGCGCTTAAATATAGGCTCTCGTCAAGTCTTCATGAGTTTCCCTACATTCTAATGCGGCACAGCGCTCGTCGGCGGTACTGATCTCTGTTTTGGTGCTCTCTGAGCCTATAGTTCATACCTCTACTGATTGTTCACACCTTGCCTCACGAGGCATCCCGGTGCTGGCTGTGATATCGCTCAAAGTGGAGGACAGGCGGAATTGTGCATCTTTCTTGCTTTTAAATCTTCCCCTCTTTTCTTGCTCGCATGAATCTTATAAAATCAACTATCGTCGATGGTTGGGAATGTGAATATTTTCTTCAACATCTTCGGAGTGAAAGGCCTTATTGATATACACCTACAACCCTAACTGTTCAAACCACTCTAGCCTGCCAGCCACCTGCAGTCCCACATCTTCCCCTACATCGAGTTTCATATCTCGTTTCATATTCTGCTCCTCCGGCGTTTATTCTCCCCACTCAGCCAACGCAGTGGACTGTGAATCTTCCCCGTGTTTTATGTTCCGCTTGAGTGCAACCAGTCAACATCATGTCTAATCGCTCGGATATTCCCTGCTCTGAGGAAATGTCAGAGTACTATGAAGGCATCCCAGCTCATTGGCCCGGAATCCAAGCGGTATGTACATATGCACTTCTGATACACAACATTGTATGCTTCCGCAACATGAGCTGACCTATATACGATCTAGACCCCGTATGTGGGAGCCAACAGCCCGTACTGCACAGAGCCTCTCGCTCCATCCAGTATCTTGACACCGATCAGTCTTCCGGACAGCCCGACAATCAGTCACCACTCACATGGCTATGGCGCACAAGAATACCACTATGGCATGAATGACCCCATGTCAGCCCCACTGGGTCTTGGTATCTCTGCACCCTTCCCGAGTGATTTCCCCCGGTCTTCGGCACCCGGTTCTGCCTACCTGTACGCTCCGGATCCAAGTGGCATCCGCCATGGCATGGCACAAACGCCTATCCAGTCGCCACATGGCCCACCACCAGCTAAGCGCGCCAGACACCCATCCTCAGACACGCCCTCGCGCGAGCAGGCAAGCAACACGCCAATTAGCATCGCTCCCAATCCAGAGGGCCTTCTCCGAATGGAGCAAGATCGCCAGCACATGCAGCCATCTCCACACATACTCCCTAGGGTCCGAGCTCCAGGCCGCGGGCGACGCGACCCGCAAGCAGAAGACGAAGATGCCTTTGTAGAGGAGCTAAGAGATAGGCAAACGGCCTGGAAGGTTGTGCGTCAAGAATTCCGGGAAAGATTCAATAAAGATGCCTCTGAGGCACGCCTGCAGATGCGTCTCCATCGCCGGCTCCGGGAGCGAATGGTGCGCTGGGAAGAATCAGATGTGAGTATGTACCTCCCGTACCATGTGGCATAATCAAGTTGTATGAGCTGGAGCATACACGTGTTGAATCGTCCATGCTAATACGAAAATCTTCTAGATCAAACTCCTGATCCACGCCCATGGGATCTGGGCAAAAGATAAATTCCATTTCCTTTCAGATAAGGTGAGATTCCCTATGCTCGCATAATATAGGAAACGTTCTAACGTGCCTTTTGATCTTTCATAGATGAAAGAACTTGGTGGTACTAGACTGTACTCGCCCGATCAATGCAGAACTCAACTTCGACTTTTAGACACGAAAAAACAACATCGTGATCGCTTGAGTGAATCGCCATCTGCCATGTCTGATCCTGCTCCTATCACACCTACTGTGTCTCGAAAACGACCTCGAGCTCAGTCATTAGACCTGGAGACTGACAATGAGGAAGTGGCCTTTTAGATTCAAGCGTGCTTCTTCTTTTCTTTCTTCTTCTTCTTCTTCTTCTTCTTCTTCTTCTACTACTTCTACTTCTTCTACTTCTTCTCACTCCCTCATTGCTCGTTACTTTTCAGCTTGACTTTGTTCTTTCCCCTTTCAATGGTCTTTTTACTTCTTTTCTTCTCATTCTAAGATTAATTAGATCGACTCACCACCCCCGATTCTTGCCTTCACGATTGTCATGATCAGCCTTGGATTTGATAGGACTATGTTTGCAGAGCGGGAGAAATTGGCATCACACCATTCTCTATATATTTTATTCTTCTATTTTATCTCAAATTTCATTTTTATCCCTCTCACATTCTTCATACATTTGCAGTGTTCTATTGTCATTTTTTCAAGTTTAATGTAGCTCCTAGTACATATGATGCAGTAGTGGGTCGGATCCGGGGCTGTGAAGAGCTAAAAATTTAGATGATCTACGACCAGCTATTTTTGGATATCAAGTTGACCTATTGGGTATCTTCTTAAAAAGGAATACTGGTAAACAACAGAAGGGTAGTTTCGCACTCCGCGGATTTATTATGTCCTGGATGCAGATGATACTCGTAGTCATGCAATTGGCCATCGAATTCCTAAGGCTCTCATTCATGAAGGATGGTACTTTTATTTCATTTTATACATCATCGGCGATAGTAGCCCATGAACGAATAATGCAAATGAGGAAGATCTTGAAACCATGGGGCAGATGAGGTTTGCAGGCATGATAAAGAGTTAATGATTGGTCACAGCCATATATAAACTTATATTGTATTGACAAGTACTAGGCCATTATCATTGACCCATATACATCTTATGATGAGATAGGTTCCATTTCCCATTAGACAAGGTGTATGTCCATTGAAAAAACAAAAAAAAAGATCAGCAGTACCCATTGGGAGAAGGCAAAGAAAAAAAAAGCCAGGAGTCTAAGACAATTTCTAGGACAATGAGGATGTATGCCACGTGAAAGATAGCCAAGAGTATATAACAATGGCTCTGTCCTTGATCCAGATACCCTAAGTGAGGACCTCTACGTCTAACAAAGCAAGCAGGGCGAAATAGTCCAACCCTTTGTTATGCGCTCCGTTAAGACAGCGAAGCTAAACAAAAGGATTTTACTAAAGACAAAGGCTTTGTGATCAGAGTGAGATCTGGATGGGATGCTCTCTCTGGATAGATAAAAAAAAGACAAGCAAAGTGATTATTATCTGGAACTAGCCTGGAAAATGAAAGGCAAGTACTCCAAGTTCTCAAACACAGACTTAATATGTTTTTCGATGCTTTGCATAAGAAGACGAGATGAGAAGCCATTTAACCATCATTTCCAGAAACAACACCATCCAATCTCATCATGGATACTCCAGACTTTACAATACCCGACGACGAGCGCGTCAACGACGCTCCTAGCGAGAATGTCCCGAAGCCCAAGAAGACTCGCCGCAGCCGCTACGACCCTGAGCCTGACTGGTCGGCCATGGTGCGTGCCAAAGTCACGAAGTCTCAGCATCGTGTCGGCCAAGCCTGTGATCGTTGCAAGGTATGGCTGTTCATATCCTGATATCGCGTTGACTTTGACTTAGAACACCATACTGACGTATTTGTATTGATATCTAGCTCAAGAAGATGAAGTGTACGCCCGATCATAGAGGCTGCGCTTGTTGCATTGTCCTCAACATCCCATGCAAAGTCACCGACCGTGTCACCGGAGAGACCTGGGTGCGTGGTGAGGCTGGGCAAATGCGGGATCTTATCGAGAAGCTCAAAAAGCAGAACGATAACTTGAAGGAAGAGCTCACACAGCTTCAGCAGAAGAACGCACAGCTACAAGCCTGTCTGAATGGTTCATACAGAGCCAATCTCATAGATCACTACGAGGTATGTCTTTTTCACGCCTCTTTAATTCACATCTTACTGAAATATCCACGTTCTGATTCTTTTCTATGGGATTTAGGGCTAACTCAATTGCCAGCCGGGTCTTGACCTCATACTGTGACTATGACGCCTTTTTTGCCCGTGCTATTTATTAGACAGTGTATCATGCCTCGTGGGCTTGCTTGCCAGCTTGCATTTGTCCTGTTCTGTCCGAGATGAAGTATATGTTCGAGAAAATGGGGATCGCACATGGTCACAAGGTCCGTTATTTGAGTGTACGTAAATGCTTTTATTTTGAATACTGCGGACTTTTCCTCATGTATTCAAGTAAAGGGTGAGAGACTTCTTATAGTAAACAGTGAAAAGAAAAACGTTCATTTATTCCAAAAGGGGGTATATGTAGTGTGACCATGTAATCTCAACTCGTGCACCGTGTATCCAAAATAGAAATACGATGCAAATACTTTCGCCATTCTACCAACTGGCATTCTTTTTCCAGCAACAACAGATTCCTTTGCTTTCACACCATTCCCTGACAGACGCAGTGCTAACCTCGCGATCCTCGCCCACAAGTCCAAGCCCCTCGACATTGAGCCATGCTGTGAAATCTTCCAGGATGATAGGGTCATACATGAGAATCTTTTCATGCCATGTCGGTCGGCTACAGCTACCACGAGACGATGACAGTGGCGAGAGCCGAGGCTGGACGCGAACAGCTTGGGTAATCTGTGTAGATAAATCTCCCATACTAATTTCTGTAGAGGACTCTGCTGTGCGTGTGGTTTTGATGGATGCAGAGGATGACGGCCTTTTGGCTGAAATCTTGAAAGAAACAACCTTGCGCTTGGTCGGACTCGGTGATGGTGTTTTAGTGAGGATATCCAAGGAGTGGCTGCCTGCCTTGGAGATTGAATAGATGTCGGTATAGTGCTTTTGTACTTGACTTGGAGAGGGCATGATTTCTTCTTCTGAGTCTTGAATCTCTTCGACATCAATGAATGATGCAGATGTTGCAGTGATAGGCTGTCCTCTTGAGTTTTTCTTTGGGTCTGCCTGGTGATTGGGTTGTGAGGCAGAAGTTGATTCTATCGCGTCAAGCGATTTTTGGTTTTTTATAGATGTTGCAGATTTAGGCTTCACCGTCGCTCTCGCCTTCGCATCGGTGGGGTTTGGAACATTGTCCATTTTAGAGACAGGTTCTCTCTGTTGCTCGGGTTGGTATATAGGTTGACTGCCAGAGGTAGCATTGCTACCGTGTTTCGATTCCCAACATTGTTGAAGGAGATCGATCATCTTCTTGCGGCCCCTGACTGCCTTGAAACCATAGGTGGAAACCTGTTTAGACAACTCTGCGTCTGTAAATCCGGTATATTGTGGCATTGAGGGCACCAGCGAGGCAGTTAGCTGGGAACCAACCGCTTCAGTCGGGGTATCGTCGGCTCTCTTTGCAGGCTTTGCAGGCTTTGCAGCTTTTGCTCTAGCCTTGGGCATGGCCGTAGCTGTAGGTGCCAGGGTTTGAGCCGGAGCTTGAGCTTGCGTATCCGAATCCAAGCCCCTTTGGGTCAATGGTAGCGATGATGGTCTCTGTTCTGGGGTTGAATCTATGTCGGCGAATTCAAGCTCAAACCAATCACTCTGAAGAGATTTGTACTTTGTTCGTTCCACATTGTCATGGCTCTTCTTTGCTGGGGATTCTCCCCCACCCGTCAAGTCAACCACGTTTAGTGTTTCTGGTTGAATCAAAGATCCTTCGGTGTCTCTGGCGCCAACACACCACAGATTCCTGGTGCCTGCCAACCTTGATACAGAGTGAGTAGAAGCGATAGGTGATTCTTGGATTGCCCTAGAGTCCTTACTGCGTGTCCCCTCTGGATATGACAGATTTTCGGAGGCACGGATGGCTTGTTGGGTTTCTCGCAGACTCTGCGGTGAATCATCTCTTTCCAATTGACTGCAGGTACCAAACACAAGATCTTGATCATTCAGAAATTCGACAGCTGCTTCCGGGGAAAGTACAGTGAACGCAGACTCTTTCTCTGTCTCTTTGGTCTTTCTTCGTCTTCCTTTTGTCGTTCTGATGTCCGGGAGGCAATCAATCACCGGCTCATCCTCTTCTGCGTCAATTATTGAATATTGTGCAGTCATGCGCGCCGTCAAGGTGGTAAACTTCTTAGGCTTGCCCTTGGTTGTCTTTTTGGGCTTTCCCGATGTCATGTTCTCTCCTTGCGCACATGTCTGATCACTTGAATCAGAGTACCTTCCATTGAGCAATGCTTGGATTTCAGGATTGACCAGCTCTATCCGTCGACGCTTTGTTGGTCCTTCGCCATTCGCATTCTGCACAAGGTCCCGGGGATTCAAAGCCGACCCAGAGTAATTATAATCGGATAGCTGCTTGCCAAACCCACCCGTAATGTTCTCATCACGGTCCTTATCCTGGCTCCCACCATCGTTCACAGGAGCAATTTCCTCGTTAGCGGTCTCCCTTGGTGGTGTCCAGTCCATCCTTCTTCTCATTGCCTCGTCCAGATGCAATACCTCATCCTTCCCCAAAGAATTTGATTCCTTGGGAGTAAATTTCTCAGGAGAGTCTTCCGGAGGGGATAATTTTGTGGCAACCGTCTTCTTCCCGCCTTTGCTGGATTTATTTGCTGGTGAATCGCCGCTTGTCTTCGTAACTTTCCCAGCCAGAGTCATGTTTCCTGAATCTTTGCTCTTGGCATTCTTGCGAGGACGACCTTTGGTCGGTTTCACTGCGTCATATTTCGTGCCAACAGTCTCTGGCTGGGGGTCCCCAAGCGCAATTGTTCCTGGCGCACCCGCGGCTTTCATCGCCTTCCGTCGCGGTTTGCTTGATGCAGTTTGGTTGTTGGTGTCTGAAGTAGAATCCTTCTTTGTCGATCGCTTTTTCGGCTTCGTCACGTCCTCGGGGCACTTGGTGCTCGCAACTGGAGTGGGGAAAAAACGGGAACGCGTATGAGGTTTGGATAAATCGGCTGTCGGGAGTATTGGTGGTGGCGTTTCACCTCGTGGCAAGAGGTGAGAGACCTGTTTTCCAGCATGCCTAGCTGGCCCTGGCGACCGTGGTGGATTTGGAGAGGACGATATAATGATCACATCTGCAATGCTGGCCATCGTCGCGAGTCGCGTCTCTGGGTGTTTGCTTGATCAGGGCGAGTCGCGTGTACTGCTTGAGTTTGCTATATTAGACATCTCCCAGTCAACTTTTATACTGAGAGGAAAACACTATGAAGTGTATGCAAGTCGGATATGCTAAAGAAGTAGTGTTTGGATCCAAGTTCAATGTTTCGATGTAAAAGGGCCGATTGCGGTCTTGGCAAATTTCGAGTTGGCTACATAGTTCGGCCGGGCAACCAACTGCATTCAACCTCAACAGAGTAGATCCTTATGTGTATTCATGCTGAATGCTTGGTGAGATCAATTGATTTTCAATTTAGAAAGAAGAAAAAAACGTCACTTTACAGTCCCGTACCAGACTAAACAAACGGCCAGGATCATACATGTCGAACTATAAAAACAAGCCTTGCACTCTGGAATATTTCATTCAATTCATCATGATCTTGACTTCGTGCACTGTCTCGACAGAGAGATCTGAGATATCCTCTACCTAAAATCGGAGCCGAGGAATGGTAGACCTCTGGACACTCATGCGATCTGCTTGTGACTGATGATGGGCGTATTCTCAAAGTCAAATTGGAGCTCAATATATCCTACACTGGAGAATAATAGCGCGAGTTGGAAAATGAACGTATTTCCCACTCGTCCCATAGCAGACTTTAGGAATTTCGGGCACAGTGAATTTGGTTGCTTGATGTAGGCAATTTCTCATGATCCCCTTAATGCGATTGCACTCAACAAGGAATTTTCGAGTCGTTGCTTAGCCTCATCATTCTCCTTGGCAGTTGGGGAAGGCAATGCTCCTAGCTTGTACGCTTTCTTGATCTTGTTGATATCAGAGATTTTGGATAATGTCTGGTCATCAAAAGGCACAGGTGTTCCTTCAACCGAGCTGTCCAAGTGGGCCGCAACGGATTCATGTGTTATCTCCGGAGATACAGAGACCTTGATCACCAACAGGTCTTTAGTTGAATCGGAAATACCGAATCTACGGAATGATTCCGTGATCTAAGTCCGTGTTAGTCCCGGCTTTAGTGGCAAACTTGCAGCTAATCCCTAGAATTGGCAACCCACATTATTTGTAGGGTTCAATGAGAACACGATCTCGGAATGCACATTATGAGATTTCAGTCGGTTGTGCATGTAATCATTAACTGCTCTGAATACTGCAGCAGTGGCGTGAGCCCTTGACAGAACCTGTCGCTTGGTGTTAGTGGACTAGTTCCTGTTTTTAGTTCTCAATGATAGCTTAACATACCATGCTTGCATCAATGAATGCATACTCGAATTCCTTTTGACCGGCGAGAAGTCGGCCTTTCAGAGAGGCGGCATTTTGAACATCGCGATATAGAGCAACATGCACAGGCATCAATGGTAGATGTGGCAGGCTGATCGTCTCTAGACTTGAGGCCATGACTGGAATCGAACTAAAAACGAAGTGAAAGAAGATGACGTATTTGTAATCAGGCCGATCTAATAAAAAAAAATATAGTGGCCCTGGAGGTTTACTGTGAGTCTACAAACGCATCCCACTTCTTGATCCACGTGACTAATTCTGGAATTTTCCGGATTTAAGCGGTCGCCGGCGGAACATGAGTAATCGCCTCCATAGGTATCACCCGTGGACCGGACATTTAAACGTCTCCTCACTTTCGACTCTCGACTCTCCCCATCACAAATATGGCTTTCTTCCTACGGCGCCCGTTCGCTGTGTCCTCGGCACTTCGCCAGGTCCCTAAGCTCACAAAAACCGCCCGATTCATTCACAACTCTCCCATCAAGCCCACCCAAGCAACAAAGCCTCAGGGTGTTTCGTCCTCGATCTTCGCCAAGTCCCGACAGAACTTCCAAAATGCCTTCCGCCGTACATATATGCAGCAGAGCGCCAACCCTGCACAGGATGGTAACATGACCCAGAAACTGTTGTATGGCGCTGCCATTATTGGTGGTACGGTTCTGGCAACCAACTTCATCTTCAACCGTGAAACGAGAGAGGACGGCGGTATGCCCGCTTACGAGCAGAGCTACTTGAATCAGACTTTCATGCACACTGGTCTTGGTATTGGTATCATTGGTGTTGCTGCTCGCGCTCTCCACATGAGCGGCTGGTCTTATCGTCTTATGGCCATGAACCCGTGGCTCGTCATGGGTGTCGGTCTCGTTGGCAGCATCGGCTCCATGTACGGCACTTTCTACACTTCCCCAGATAAGTAAGTTTTTTGCCTCTTTTTCTTTTGGTTTTCCAGGGAAACAAAATGCGCTAACCTTTCAATTAGCTACGTCATGAAGTATGGCTGCTGGACTCTCTTCAACCTTACCCAGGCTGCTCTTCTCTCCCCCTTGATGTTCATGAATCCTGCTATTCTCGCTCGTGCTGGTCTTTACACTGTTGGTATGATGGGCTCAATCGCTTTTGTCGGTGCCACTGCCAAGCAGGAGAAGTACCTATACCTGGGTGCTCCCCTTCTTGCCGGTGTGACTATCGTTGCTCTCTCTGGACTCGCCCCCATGGTCCTCCCTGCCACTGCCGTTCGCACTCTGATGTGGTCTGAGCGCCTCTGGCTGTACGGTGGCCTTGCTGTCTTCGGTGGTTTCACTCTTTACGACGTGCAGAAGATTCTGCACCATGCTCGTCTTGCCGAGCGCGGCTTGATCAAGCGTGATGTGGTCAACGAGTGCGTCAGCCTCGAGTTGGACTTCATCAACATCTTCATCCGCATGGTCCAGATCCTGGGCATGGGCAACAACCGTCGTTAAACTACTTCATATCCGCTTTATTAACTGGATTACCTAACCCCGGTTTTTCCAATACCAGAATTGGTGTTTCTCTTATTCCTCAATCATTCGACAACCCCTGTATTTGAACCAATTGTTTTTTTATCTGTTTAAATTTTTTTTCTTTTTCCTTTCTTTGGTCTTTTAACGTTGATGCTTCTTCATACGGGCAAGCGCAGTTAATCGCTGTTTTGTACTTGCTGAAAGACATAGAACAGACAGGGTAGCGAATACAAATCTCCACTCCCTTGACATTTCTGCTGCATATTAAAATATAGCTAATAATGATTCGAGTCAGCAAATTCCAGTTTTGGAAGAGAAAATAAGATGCTATAAGCCACCAAAACAAGGAAACAAAATAAAAATTACCTACTAGTCAACTATTCGGTAGTGTTTAGTTATAGGTGAAATATGTAGCAATATCACTTTTGGTAGAGATTTAATACCATGACTGGTTTTCGTTTTCTGCAACAAGATTATACTACTAGCATTTTGTCAATTCGCTTAGACTCCGAAACAAGATAAATATCATTCGAACGTTTAGATACATGGGTACGATGGTCTCGAGCTTCTCAGCGCACCGAACTAGAAAGGGCAGGATATGGTCATGTGACTGCAAGCTTCTACTAAAGGTGAGGTTGCCCGAGACCGCCCAAGAGACCGCCCAATAATACCGCCCTCCGCCCTCTGCAGACTTCAGATTGCGATCCAGACTCAGGCTCATTGACCGCTACAGACGTGCAGACTAAACCTCCCAACATAATACCAACACAGCCACACCAATATTCTTGCACCCCTATCTTACAATATGTCGAACGAGATGGAAATTGACCCTCCTGTCGCGAACGACGACGCTCCCGAGCAGTCAGACCGCAGTTTTGAGCCACGCACCCAGGGGAACGCGGTCGCCGTGCGCAGTATCGAAGGATGGATTATCATCGTATCTAATATCCACGAGGAATCATCGGAGGAAGATGTCACTGAACTCTTTGCGGAGTATGGTGAGATCAAAAACTTCAGCTTGAACCTTGATCGGCGAACGGGTTATGTCAAGGTGCGTATCCTCAATCTCACAAATGCCTCTAAACCGACCCTCTAAAATATGGGAACTCTTGTCAACTCATCTCCAATGAAACGATTGCTAATACCATTATTCCGGCAGGGCTACGCATTGATCGAATACTCCACTCTCCCTGAAGCCAGTGAAGCTATCCAGAACCTTAACGGTTACAAGCTCCTTGAACAGACCCTTCGTGTTGACTATGCTTTTGTTCGCCCGCCCCCATCAGGCAAGAACAAGAATGGAGGGCCAAAGGGCCGGGCTACTCGGAATCGCAGCAGAAGCCCCAACCGGAGTCGCAGCCCTGAAGCTGGCGGCGACCGGGAATAAGCCTTCCTAGTGGGTGGAAACGATAAAATTTGACCGGCATACATTGCTTGTGATCTTCCATTTGATACCAGGGCTTTGCTTTCTCTCGTATCTTTTTTCAATACCTCGCTGTTTCGTTCGAACCTTTGCCCATCCTTCCTGCCAGAACTTGTCTACAAACGATGGACATATCATCTAGTATTCGCCGGCACGGCCCCTCTTCAGTCGAACCTGTATGGGTCCACAGGCCGAGTGTGGGTGTGCATGGGACACATACACACGAGAGGTACGTGCCGGCGCCACGATAGTTTGCCATAATGGTATGGAAACCCGCTCTTAAGCTTTGACTAGATTTATGCTGACATAGACTCAGAACCGAAGGCCCCTTTGATGAAAATTGAAAATTGGTGTATGAGCATCTGGTCAGCAAAGACAGCCCTGGACCCCAAAGCCCAGCCTCTGGGAGTAATGTACATTATGAAGAATGGATTTTCTTAGTTAAGCGACCTTTCATCTGTCCACTTGTCTTGCGACTCAACTCAAGACGAAATCAAAAATGATACATGATATTCTGTACAGAGTATTATACGATGTAGTATAGTTATGTAGCATCCCTCACGGGGTGAGATGCATCATGCGACAGCCATGTGGCGCCGGAATAGAGTCGATAAATAATTTTTTTGACGCTGGAGCTAGTACTGTAGAGTCAGAAGGCTTCAACTATCTTACTGATAATAAGGCTCTAATGCCACATAAACTGGATGTATATTGTACCTGGCACCTGACCTCACCTGCGGGTCTGGTGACTAAGCTTAACCCTCCCTGGCTCCCCCATTTTCCCCGCATGGCGCATGCGGTTATCGCTCTTCCTCTTTTTAGTCGCTTTCATTGCGCACTAACTACCCTCTATTCTTATAGGAGGACTCCAGAATCCTGTGTCTGGGGATCTGATTCTGACAGGATATACTTCCTGGTGCAGAAATGGCTCCCCAACACGTATCTTTTACCCCCTTGGGGCTATCACGATCTCTATACTGTATTCTTATGCTATTCTTCCTATCATTTTCGGCTGTGGCCAATGCGCTGGCGTATCCATCCCAGGAACTTTTGGGAATCTCTCCATCTTCCAATTTGATTGATGAACCCTCAGGGGGGCTGTCTTTGGAGGTACTAGATCAGCGCCGGAAGGGTCGAATCATGACCCCATTCTTAATACCTTGCAGGATCTTATCGCCGCCCTGCAGGTGATGCAAGACAGGTACTTTGTGCTATGGCAGGGCACGTGGCCTACCAGCATCGATTGGACCGCGGCAGTGTTGGGCACACACGTTTCGGCAGCGCTCTCGTCTCTAACCTCAGGTCCACTTGATATCCCCGACACGGATGAACTGCAAGGATTATCCTTCTTCGGGCTTGAGAATACAGTCAATCGGTTTTTCAGCCATACTTCCGCGTTCTACTTCGGCGAAAACTCTTTCAGCCTTAGAAACCAGGCGTACGATGACATGCTATGGGTTGTGTTAGGGTGGTTGGAAAATATCAAGTTCCAAAATCTTCACTCAGACCTTCACTATGTCTCCTCAAAAAACAGTTCTGGGGAACTTTGGTACGGAACCCAGTTCCAGAGCTCTGCTGCGCACAGAGCACGCATCTTTTACGAGCTCGCCTCCGCTGGTTGGGACAAAACCCTCTGTGAGGGCGGCATGATCTGGAGCCCATATTTGGCCCCGTACAAGAATGCGATTACAAACGAGCTCTATATCTCCGCAAGCATCGAGATGTACTTGTACTTCCCCGGAGACCCCATTGATGCCCCGTTCCTTGTCAACTCGGAGGGCACACAGCCCACACAGAAGAACCCACACAATCCTCTTCATCTGAAGGCTGCAATTGACGGGTATGAATGGCTCAAGAATTCAAATATGAGTGGAGTCGGCGGTCTTTATGCAGATGGTTTCCACATCAGTGGCTGGCAAAGCGCATCGAATCCCGGCTCGGGACAATGCGACGAGCTCAACTCTATGGTCTACACCTACAATCAAGGAGTCGTTCTCAGCGGGCTGAGGGGACTCTGGCTAGCCACAAACTCGCAATTCTATCTGCGTGACGGTCATGAGCTTGTTCACAAAGTGCTACAGGCCACCGGGTGGCCACATACCTCCAGCCAGCAGTGGAAGGGACTTGGTCGCGGGGGTGTGCTCGAGGACGCATGTGATTCTCGCGGAGTCTGCTCCCAGGATGGACAGACCTTCAAAGGAATATTCTTCCACCACCTGTCCGGATTCTGCCGGCCTCTTCAGCCGCAAGAGAAGCAGTTCCTGGCGGACGCGGTCCACAGACATGTAGCAGATGAGGACTGGACCGAAGTCTATGAGCAGCATATGAAGCGGTGCTGCGCATATGGTCCCTGGATTGAACACAATGCGCAAGCCGCTCTGATGACTCGTGACAGCGATGGCAAGTTTGGTACCTGGTGGGGCCGCTCATACCATCACCTGGACGCCAACAAGATCGTGGATAGCAGCACTATCCCGGATGGTGCTGTTGATTACCGCAATGCCGATTATGACCCCAAGTCCTCGACTACAGGCTCCACGCCAAAGGACTACAACGATCGTGGCCGAGGCCGCACAGTTGAAACACAGTCCGGCGGCATCGCTGTGTTGAGAGCCTTGTACCAATGGCAATCTTATGATGCTTTGTGAGCGAAGCAACTGAAAAGTTTTAAGGATTGGTGTTCTGGCGGTAAATAGACACCATTCATTGCATCCAGGGCTTTAGGGCTCTTTTGTACAACCTATACAGTCTACAATTACTGGGAATCATTACCATATCCTTCCAGTTCAATATCGGCTTCTCAGGACTCTAGACACAATCTCGACGCCCATATTAGGCCTAATTGCCATTATCTACAGTTGGAACTGCCGATCGAAACAGCGTAGCACTTCGGCGCTAGCCTTTTAGTCTGGTCCTCCATGGATCTCATATCCGGCACTGATCAAACTTCTAAACAGAATGATTGGCAGAAATGGGTCCCCAGCTCCCACCTTCCCCGATAGATCCATCTCCGCAAAGCATACACAAAACAGGAATTCAAATATGAAAACCGGATTACTTGATCGTCGGATCTGCAACAGGTGGACACTGGCAAGCGATCAAGAAGTGTCTGCGCTATGTGTCACCTACATGGGGTTTGGCAGGGGACATTACAAGACATTTGAGGCTGACGTACAATATAGACATGTTTCTGGCGATAGATACACAGGACCAATGACTCTTGCCATTTTGGGTCTGTTTATGCAGTACCCGTTTTGCTGGAGCATATACACGAGAAGCCTAACAACATCTCTGTGTTCCCGGAGTGAAACCTACGCAATGAATGAAAGATCTTTCATATTGTTTCTTCCACGGCGAACCCCGTTAGGTTGCCAATGACCGATGTTTACTCTCAAGCCTATACAATAATGTGAGACGGTGTGAGACATAGTTCTTCGGCACACTGTCCTAGATACGTGTCGGCTATGCATAACATGAGTATTAAACTCTAATCTGCGTACTAGGCATACTAGGCGGGATTCTACTGAAAAGAGATATTCAATCTTCAATGCATGGAATGATCGGAAGAAGCCTCTACACACATATATATTTTACTTCGGATCAAGCCTATAATCAGAAGTATCGGAGCGATATTACCTTGACACACACTAAAAACCCAAGGAATTCTACGATGATTGGACCTAAAATATTTAGCATCGAAGACAGGAAGGTGGCCAGTTAGAACACAAAGAGGGGCAAAAAGAAGCAAAAAGAAGGGGGAAAACCCACTCTAGCGTGCGACTAAACATCCTTGACGCCCCCTCCGTAATGGGGGACGAAAAACGCGTTCGTATAGGTGGGGTGTTCGGGACTCCGTAGGGCACGAATCAACCAGACGAAACGCACTTGCAGATCGGCGGGTACTTGGGTTTTGATCATTAGCTTTCTTTGAAAAGCCAAAAACAAAAAAGCTCAAAAGCATATGAACTCCGTACTCTGTAGTGAATACTAGATGTCTCATAAATAATAAGTTATAAAAGTAAAGTGGTCTGATATATTGATTTGTCTCAGTTGCCCACGTTTTTTTTTTTTTTTTTTTGGGGAACCATAGTTGAGCCAATATAAATGAATGGCCCAGTATAATTTATATCCCAAATACCTTAATGTAAATACACTAATACCAATATTAGAATAGGTTCTTATCATTTAGATTACGGCCTAAAAAGGATGTCACACGCACACCCCTCATGGGCTTCGGTGAAGACTTCAGTTACACTTGTGTGAGATGTATGTCTGAGCGTATACCCAGGTAACTGCCTAGGGCTTAAAGTCATCTGACAACGGGATCCAGGAACGCATCTGGTTTGATAGAGGGGTTGGTTGTTACCAACCGCATAAGCAAAGCCAAGACTTTGGGGAGCAGAGATTATGTACAATGTTGTCGGAAATTGACCGATTTTCAACCTCGAACGGTTTATGTTTAGTTTGATAGGTCTAACTCTGCACAAATAGCTTCAAGGGCAGGTAACCGATGTCGAGGGCGGAACACTAGTCCATATTCCCCGGACCTTGAAGGTGGCGTCGGCAATTTTGATGATTAGGGTGTCTTATAATATTGCCGGGACCGGGGAGCATGGCAGATTCATTCTCGCACTGAAAATGATTTGCTGAGATCGGCGTCTATGATGGCACTCAGTTTCACCTCCTTTTCGGCTAGCGATCCATCGAATAATAAGGGAGCATGTCAAAATCCACGGGAATGGATCGTCTGAAGCCCAAGCGTTGGGCGCACATTGGTTATGGAGGGGAGTGGGCTACGGACGGGAGATGGTGACTGGTTGCGGGATATTGCGACAGACATTGGGGGGTGCGGAACAAAGTGCAGTGCCACTGAACTCTTTCTCGTAAGTTAATTTTCCACATCAGTATTCTCGAGTGCTGCGAATCTACTGTTTATTTTTTTTGGTGGCGGTGGAGGCGGCTAACGAGGGGCGAACGGGGATTTTATTCTCGGATCTATTTTCCTGCTTCCAATACAGCCCTACATTGTATATTGCCATATAGGACACACCCTTGTTTGGCATTCAGAATTGGGAATATCTCATAAACAAGTGCCGTTTCCCGGGAACCTTTGTCCCTCGGTCGATCTTGCCCAAGGGCGGTTGTATCTACCCCTTGGAATTCTCACCGTACGGACCACCGAGGGAATAATTATACCTGTAGTATATGAGGTACGGAGTACGGAGTACTATTCCTCATGCTATCATAGGTGTACTCCATATTTTGTACTTTGTATAACTGCGAGGTATATCTGCGTGAGAATTACGTTGTAGGAGCCAATTATATGGCGTCATCTGGCTCTGAGGCTCGATCGACATTGCATGCCCCCCCCCCCCCCCCTGAAGGACGGGGGTATGGCCACATGTGCAATATTGCAATATTGTAGTATAATACGTTAGTATACAATATAAAAGATCGGATTTAATTAATTATTTTCCCCAAGTTCCAAGTTACCCGGTGGGATATCCGGGTATAGAATGCAGGAAGACCCAAGATCCCGGGACCAGGTGGCTGAGGTATATAAAATAAACAATCTACCTTGGAAGATAGAGATGTAGAAGTTATGTTTTCATAATACGTGTCAAATGCTACACGGAGCGAAACCGACCCTATAATGTACTGAGTACTTAGTCGGACCACGGCGCAAATAGGGAACAGCGGTGTACCGGGTACTTGTCGGGGAAGGTGGAAAGGGGAATCTAAGGAGCCACCCGTTAGTTCCTGAACGCCTCTCATTTCTAGAAAAATCCCCTCTTTTTTCTTTTTTTCCAAGTCAGTTTTATTACCTGTATAAATTATAGATTTGAAATTTATATAGATAGATATGAATTATATACATTATATAAATTATATAAATTATCGTTATTTTAGATGTAAAAGAACATCCATGGATAGAAAAGAAAAGAAAAAGAAAAGAATAGGGATCCAAGGGACATAGGTTCCTCCACCTACTGAAAAGGTGCTAAGATAGACAATTATACTGGAGAACTTTATGGGTACAGCTAGGTACCACTGGATACCGTACCCGTCGCACCACAACTCAGGTCACTCTGTTGTACCCCCTCTGCCGTAACGCCGATACCGAAACTCTCTTCCTTTTTCCCCCAAAGCTCTGTTCGGTTTTCTAACTCCTTCTCTCTTTCTCTTTCTTCTGTCTCTTCTCTTTGAACTTATTCCTACATCTCTATTCCTGCCTTGTGGCCAGCCTCTCTTTTCCGGAGGGAGAAAAAAAAATTTCCCATTCCCTTTAAACCCACTCCGGTTACCTTTCTCTCCCCTCTTCCCAACCTCGAATTGCATCCATCTCAACGCATTTCGAAATTACTCGCCTTGTTAAGAGTCGACCCCGGTCGTCTTTGAAAACAAAAAAATTACATCCTCTCCTTCTCGACTTTCCACCGACCCGGTAGCTACCTCAAGCGTAACACAGATTTCTCATCTGGGGTACATCGCTAGGGGTAGACCGTGGTCGTTCATCAGCCGCTTTTTTCCCTCCGGCCTCGTTTAATCCGCCAACCCCCCAATCGTGGGAGCTTCATTCTACCGCCATCCTGGACCTCCTTTCGATTCTGTGTGTCGCGAGCAGTAACCCTTATGGCATCAGATACAGAGATGACTGAAGCCTCTCCTGTTGATACTTTGCCGCAACCAAACGACGGTGGCCGCATGCATATGTCATCTCTCTCATCTTCTTCTTCTATATCCGACGCAGAAACCGACCGTCGAGGCCGATCAGAACGTCCGCGAATGGCGAGCCGCAAACCCAGTGCTTCGATCCTTGTCCCTCGGGACCACCCCGAAATTGAAATTGAGGAGGAAGAGTTTCCCCCAGACGACGCTCGTGCAATGAGTCCACGACGCAATTCTGCCGACCTGGAGCGTTTGGGCAAGGAGGCCCGACAGACCCTGCAGGAGTGAGTTTGAAAATGCAGTTCAAGCCGTTTTTCTACTGAATTACGCCCATTCGAAGATTTCCGTGGCTAACTAGATGACTAAAAAAAGGCAAGCCAAGGCTCTCCAGTCATCCCTCCAGGCTCTCGCCGAACGCATCGATGCGGTCAAATCGGACCATGATAAGTTGGAAACTGAGAACAAAATCTTACAAGACTACATCGGTGGTCTCACTCGCAACATGACCAAGAGTGAAATGACCCGTAGTACGAAAGCACGCAAAGCACAGAAATAAACCGGCTTTCCGAACAGAATGTCGCAAGGTGGCCGAATATCTCATCCCGTGAACGTCAATCGGGAGGGATCACCTGTTATTTTGCGGCAGGGGGTTCCATGCGTTACATACGGTCGCCGGTTTTACCGAATTATTTTTCACTTCACCACAAAATCCCTGGTCAACGGATTTCTCTTCTCGCCGCATATCTAAGTGGTTCAACGAGTTAAATACCCCAATGTCAGCATGTCACGGTCTCATAAAACAGCAGAGTTGGGGAATTTATGGACACAACTCTCTTTCCACAATGGAGTCAGCATTTACCCGGCAATCTTACGTCCATTTTTCTCACACATCACATCTGCCACCCGACTGGTTCGAGTGGCCCCGGAACACCACATTTCGGTTTAAACGCCACAAAGTCATCATCTCCACAGGCACCCCTGTTCAAACATTCGACTGGGGTGAGGCTGATTCCGAATTTACTCAAGGGGGAACTTCAAGGGATTGTTCGTGACATCATCGCATGCCTTGTATGGCCCGCCACCTGACTTCTTGGCATTTGATTTCCTGGGGGTCTTCATTACATCATCCTGTCGGTGTGCGACCTCCAGGGCTTCTATCCTATCAACGCAGTGTTCCACTCTGCCTCTCTTCAACCCTGTCGATATTATTGGCCCTTCTTTTTTTCATATTCCTCACTCTTTCATATGGCGTTATTTTTTTTCCTGGTGGCTCTGTGAACATGTTTCACTTGTACTTTTTTTCCTTTTTGTTATCTTTCGATGCATAGCACCTTGGGCGTTTCGGGGACTGGGACTAGACTCGATTTGATTGAATGGCTCTTGCTGGAGCATTGAAATGTTTCTTCATGGGCATTGCATGGTGACGGTCATCGCCACAACAGAACGGCGTGGGAAGTGGAAAGCATCTTAGGGGTCTACTGGAGCAGTCCATTTATCTTCTTCTCTTTCCTCACATGCCTTCTCGATATTCGGGAGGCTCTGTACATCTGCATTTCAACTTTTTTTTTTCTCTATTTTCTTCTACTGTCTCTCCGTTGGACTGACTCATGTCTCTGCGCGGGGAGGCAAAGTTGCCGGCTTTTGTCATCTTTGTTATCATTGTGGCTCTATTTCTGCTTCTTGCACTTGACATACCCAGGAGCGTGCATGTCTCAAGTCCTCCATTTTCCCTTTATTGTCCTCATACCCCTTTTCATCGAACCCGCATGGCTGGTAGCATTGTGGCTTCGACCATAGCAATGGAAACTATTTCAATTGAGACCGTCTTTTGTAGTTCTGTACAAAACGCATAAAACTTCAAAATATTGTTATACCAGAAGACAGATAATCCGACGTGGTTTAGAGCAATGCTAGAGAGATGTCATCCAAATAACTATTGAGTAAATGAATACAGTACGGCATGCATGCCTAGTGAAGAAAAAGCGGCGATCAACTGCGATGTGACACCGGCAGGCGCACATAAGCTCGATAGTGCCCAACTAATACAGCCACTGATATCATTGCGGCTTCGTCTGCAGTACACGGGCATATGCATGTCTGCACACCCCAGTCAGATAGAGTACCGATTCATTCTCCCCGAAATAATGTTGATTTGCATAGCATAGTGGAGAAATATATATTTTAAATTATCTATCCTATTTGTTATATGGGGGTATTAATACCTTGTAAAGACTGTTCTTGTTCTGCATATTGAATATATGATGCATACGGAGTATTCTTGTCTCACTTGATCGCTAATTGGTATGGATCTATATGTTAGATCGTTGTGGAGTCTCGCCCAAATCAATAAAAGTTTATTCACATATTGTTAGGTGTTCAAAGCAAGTTATTAGATGAACTCGTGTGTCTACCGATCGGTGTTCTTGATGTTTTGATCAGTGCCCACGCTGCCAACGGGGATGAAGATATTCTGGATAAGGGAGTGTGTTGATTTAGAGGCAGGTAGGATGACATTAGGAGCTCATTGCAGTAGAGTAGCTTCTTTCATCTGCACGGCCTAGTTCTAGTTTACTAAGACATGACAGCTCGCTATCTACCCTACGGCATCCAGGGCGATGTACAAAGACTCGTACACATAGTCATCCCTGCTACAAGCACAACGATTCGCAAAGTATTACCGGAACAGTGTACGAGAGATTATCTTTGAAATCACATCTAGTGAGAATCAAAACGCCACATGGCACATATACGGGAAGTGATCAATAGGAAAGGTGAAAAGCCAGGTTAGGGATCAGCAGGGATGCCCTTGTTGAAGTCCTGATAAGGAACTAATTTGAAGAACTTCTGTGTGTGTATGTGTTGGGCTGGGAGAGTGCGCGCAAGGGGACTCTTTGGGTAGTTAAGAGGCAAAGTAGACAAAATAACAAGGAGAATGAAAAAAACGAAAAGAGGAGACAGGATGGATATCCTCCAGGGCAGAGAACACAAGCGCCGGGCCAAAGCAACCAAGCAAAAGGCAAGTAGGCAAGTAGAGAGAAGATTCAAGGCAAAAATGGCCTAGAGAGAATCGACACTCAAGAGGTCAGAATATTTCTCACACCAACCCTTGCGAGTCACTGCGATACTATAAACCGACAATCGGGCCAATGCATCTCATCGTCCTTCCTCCTTCGTCTCCAATCTATGTCCTTGTACTAGAAGACCCGTCGCGCGCTCTCTTTCTCTCGGTTGTTCCATCCGTCCTGAGGACGCGTGTCCATCAACAAGGTCTTTTTAGGTGTTAATCATTTACTCGGCGGCGGGCTTCTCGGCCTCGGCAGCCGGGGCCTCCTCCTTCTTCTCAGCAGGGGCAGCGCTCTCGGAAGTGGGCTCAGCCTCGGACGAGGTCCAGAGGGTCTGGTAGGAAATTCGGGTTAGCGTATGGACAAATGGACTCAGCAGACGATTTCGGCACTTACCAGGTTGTCACGGAGGAGCTGCATGATGAGAGTGGAGTCCTTGTAGCTCTCCTCGCTCAGGGTGTCGAGCTCTGCAGAAAAAATATTAGCTTTAGCTAATGCACGTGACAAAATCTGCATTCAAACATACCAGCAATGGCATCATCAAAGGCAAGCTTGGCGAGGTGGCAAGCCTGGTCGGGGGAGTTCAGGATTTCGTAGTAGAAGACTGAGAAGTTGAGGGCAAGTCCGAGACGAATGGGGTGGGTAGGGGCAAGGTCAGTGGAGGCGATCTCAGTGGCAGCCTTGTAGGCCTCCAGAGAGTAGTTGGCAGCACCCTTGCGACGGTCGCCAATGGCGAACTCGGCAAGGTAGCGGTGGTAGTCACCCTTCATCTTGTGGTAGAAGACCTTGGACTCGCCGCTCTGGGCGGACTTGATGAGGTGCTCATCCAGAACCTCGAGGATATCGTCGCAGATCTTGGCAAGCTCGGCCTCGATCTTTTGGCGGTACTCCTTGATGAGAGTGACCTGGGACTCGTTGCCCTTGGACTCCTCCTTCTGCTCAATAGAGGTGACGATTCTCCACGAGGCACGGCGGGCACCAATGACGTTCTTATAGGCGACAGACAGGAGATTGCGCTCCTCAACGGTGAGCTCAACGTCGGCCGAGGCGACGACCTTCATGTTCTCGACCATCTCTGCGTCGCATTGTCAGGGATTCGTGCAACTAGACGATCTAGACTTGGAACAAACCAACCTTCATAGCGCTCGGCCTGCTCAGCGAGCTTGGCGAGGTAAACAGCGTCTTCGTGACCCATGGTGAATGTGTGTTTTCTACAATGCGAACTATGTTAGCCAAATTTTTGTTCTCACGTAGGTTTTCCTTGTCGGATTGATAGTGTTTTGAGATGAGTGCTGAAAATCACGCCATCGGGACAGTGCGAGTAGTTGATGGCGAGGGGTAGATATCGACCCTCGACCCCCTCTCCAAATATACAGAAAGGGCCTAGTTGGGTTTCCAGTATCACGTAGAACGTCTTTGAATCAAAATGTTGGGACTAAAGATCAAAGACCCAGATATTTGGCCGATCATGACGATCGTGGCGGTTACAGGGCCCTTGGGTCTTCCCGTGTGTCGTTGGGGGGTATCGCAGGAAAGCGGTCGCGGCAACGGTTCAACAGGTAAACACGAGAACATGTGGTTTCCGTAACTTGTGACGCGATTCCATGGGGTGGGTTTCAATTTGGGAAAATTGTAGTTTTCAAAGAGGTCTCTTTCCACCATGTTGATATGTGTGGATTTTGCGGTGATGACGGGGCATAGAAATAGGGCTAGGAAAGGGCAAATTCAACTGGGAAACAACAGGAAAACACTGACCTGGTTTGTAAAAAAGGAAAAGAAGGTAATAAGGAATAGCAAGATGGATGGAAGATGGAAGTGAGAGAGTAGGGAGTTGAGAGAGGAGGTAGGAAAGGAGGGGGGCAGAAGGCGGTGTTGGGATTTACCTGAACAACCCACTCTTCTTCGGGCTTTGTGGTCTAAAATATAAAAAAAAAGGGATTACTTGTGTTCACTTGGACATATTTTTTTTTAATTAACTAATTTTATATAAAACATACAAAATATCCAAGAATATATTACTTTTTGCCATATATATACACAAATCTTCTCTCATCGCTTCTGTGTGGTTCGGTGGGCCTCCTACAGCGTCATCCCCCATTCCGCATCCGCCAATCGCCCGGGGGTTCCTTACTTGCGCCTCAAGATTACATAGGATGTGTTCAAAGTCTAGAACAAATGAATATATTAGAGGGTTTACTATAACATATCACAAATGAATAAATGAAAAAAAAAAAAAGTGTCAGTAAATTTAATTTTGACCCTGTGATCAAAGTACATCGTATACCTCCATGTAGGTGCAAGTGGAAAGTCGAATGAGAAGACCGCGACTTATCAGAAATTTTTGTTCACATGACCTAGACTCTGACATAAGCTGGAGTCCCGAACCTTCCAAGGTTGGACCCATCACATGATGTTTCTTGGCGCGTAACGTCATTTGCTATAAGCTTGCCTTGCTTTAGTTCTCCTCGTACTTTGTTACCTTCCCTAAACATAACTTCACATATCTCACTTTAACCCCTCTACCATCCAAATCATCAACATGCTTCGCCAATTTGTCCGTCCCGCTGCTACTGCCAACCGGGCAGTCTTCACCCGCTCCTTCTCAGTAGCTGTCCCTCGCATGGGCGAAGGTGACACCGGTGCCCCCGCTCGGGCGGTGGTGCCTCTTCCGGGTAAGTGAGATCCAGGTTGACTGCGGAACTTCCACCCACCCCGAGTTCAATTACATCGAAGAGACAATCCCATGTCTGCCTTGCCGCAGTTAGATGACATCATATCCGTATTATCGCTAACATATGCCCCTCGACCAGTGATGCGTTCACCAAGCGTGAGGCTGCCCAAGAGAGCCTTTACATCCGTGAGAAGGAGCTTGAGAAGTAAGTTTTGCAGAGCCGAGAGTCTTCGAGCTGGAGCTGAAGCTAACTGATTTGACAGGCTTGCTCAGCTTAAGAAGAAGATTGGCGAGCAGCGCAAGCACTTGGATGAGCTGGAGACCCACATGTAAGTGCAAGTCAGGAAATACTTCCCTGTCTATTTCCCTTTCTTGTTAATGTGAATGGCATGGCTGACTGGCTTCTCTTTAGCGATGGCTTGAGCCGCAAATAGGCTCCATAGCCCCATTTTATCTTATGTTTAATATGAAGAGCTACTCCAATTACTGTGTATAACACCACCTCCACTCCAACGAGCCAACGTGCTTGCCTGCCCTGAGATCGTGCCGTTTTTAGCGCCTGTTCCTAAACAAGATATCTCTCCCATAATATATGGGGTTTCTCCGCTATTGCGTATATAGTGCTCAGTAGCTCGCGTGAAAATATCATCGAGAAGGCTCGGCAACATCAGCTTGTGTTTGAATTTATAGGCTTAATATATACTCCCTATATATATCTTCTCTGTCTTGGTGCAAGCGTAATGGATTCTTTTATTTTTCTGTGGATAATGCTTATAATTTCTTTAGGAAAACCTCTATTAAACCGACGAATTTGTTTTAGAGTGAATGTTTATCGCCAGGTGTATACATCGTTGGTAAACATCCATGGATTGTACATATAAGCACTGGTTGCCAACCGTCTCCACATAAAAATAAAGCGGGACCGCCTACCCGTACGGAGCTCCTTCCTATAATCCCATGTTTGCAATGGGAATCCAAATCAAACACCTGAATCATGGACTAAACCCCCGAAACATACCCCGCCATGACTCTCTTTGTCCTGCCAAATGAGCTTCTGCTTGCCATAGCAGAGACCCAAGACTCCCAAAATGACATAAATGCATTTGCCAAAACCAGTCGCCGGTGCTACATTGTCCTAAACTCCTTCCTCTATGCCCACAACGTCCGGGAGCACCAAGGGAGCGCACTCCATTGGGCAGCAAACAAAGGACAACTAAGAACAGCCCAAGAATCACTCCGACAAGGAGCAGGAATCGAATCGAAGGACAAGAAAACAGGAAAATCGCCATTGATACAGTCCACTCGCTGTGGCCATGCAGACATCGTTGCTTTGCTGTTGGCACATGGAGCCAACCCGCACGCCAAAGGGGGCAGGGGGTCCCAAGACGCAATCACATGCGCTGTGATCCGCAACAGAGCAGCTGTTGCTAGTATTTTGCTTGATAACGGTGTCGATGTGAATTCGACCGGCTCGGGAGGCAGCCTATTGAACCTCGCGGCTCAGAAATCTCCCCACAGCTGCGAGGCAGTAGCGAGAGTTCTTATCGAGAAAGGTGCCGAGCTGGAATCTATGAATTTCTCGAAACAGACTCCGCTGCAGGTAGCGTGTCAGTCTGGCTCTGTGGAAGTGGCCCGATGTTTAATAGAAAGCGGTGCCGATTTGGATATACGGGATCAAGATGGCATGTCGCTCCTGCATCTGGCATGCTTCAGTGGAGTCGAGACCGCCAAGTTGTTGTTGTTGTTGTTGTTGGAGAAAGGAGCCGATGTCGAGGCGAAAGACGAGAAAGGTGAGACACCACTGCATGTGGCATGCTGGAATGGTCGGGTAGACAGAGCAGCGTTCTTGCTGGAACAGGGTGCAAACATAGAGGCAATATCGTTAAACGGAAACACACCATTGCTTCGGGGGGTACTCTGGGAGACCACTGTATACAAAATCCCAAATTTGCCCTCGATAACCGCTCTCTTGTTGGAACGAGGTGCCAATCCAGGACGGGGAAATTATTGCAACATCACACCATTGCATGTTGCGACGTTGAAAGAAAGTTCAGGGCTTTTCAAGATATTGCTACAATACGGTGCCGACCCAGAGCCGAAGACCACAAAGGGCATGACGCCGCTGCACAAATTAGCGCAGAATGGCTCTTTGGACTCCGCAAGGCTTTTGTTACAGAAAGGTGCTGATGTACAACCAAGGGACAAAGAAGGCAATACACCATTGCACATGGCAGCACAGAGAAATGATGTGGAATTCGTTAAGTTACTACTCGAGTCAGGCGCTGACCGGCTGATCAAGAATCACAAGGGTCAATTGCCTATACATCTATCATCAGGAGCAGAGAAGGCAGAACAAAAGCAGAGAAAAGTGATGGATCTCCTGGAGGCTCAGTCCGAGCACCAACATTAGCAATAGTGGCCAGAAGGACATATTATTACAACACACGAGAAGAATTTGTCAATCCTATTGCACTGGATTCTACAAAGGTTTGAAGTTGTTAATCACAAAGCGCGTGCAAGCATTTTATTGTGACCGACTATTAGCATTCCCTGACTACAACAGTACATTCCCCCAAAGCACATCGAGGTGCCAAGTAGCCAATAACTCCGAGTTCAAATCATTAGAAAAAAACCATCCGCCCCTTTAGCGGCCTTGCATGAACGAGCGGTAGAAATCATCAGCGGTGTTGTTGTTGCCCATACCATTGTTCGGATAGCCGTATCCGAGACGCGCAGAGATCGATTGGCCTGCTTTTTGCGCGGCGGCAACCTTGGACTGCAGGTCTGAGGTGCCTTGGTCGATGACCTGCAGCTGGGAAAGGTGTGCGTTGAGAATACGGACAATCTGCGAGATCTATAGAGATACGTGAGTAAAATTATTCCGAAGAAAACGGGGTCAATACTGGTTTGTGACGTACCGGCTCATCTGCCTTGTTGGTCTTGGTCAATGTGGATGAGGCACCGTTGACCTCTTCAATCATGCTGGTAAGATCCTTGCCCATTTCGTCCAATCGTTCCGAGAGCTTCTCGGCCAGTTTGTAACTAATGGCCATATTAGCAAAACCATAGATATGAGATGTTGTGTTGCAGGTTGTACTTACGTTGTCTCGCGCTCTTGGTCAGGTCCTTGAAGAGACTCTCCAGGGCCCACCTGCTTGGTAACCATCTCGTCGACTTCACGCTCGTATCGATCCAGCCATGAGCTGAGCTCATCCTGTTGACCTTCGACTGCTGACAATTGGCGCTCAACCTCCTGGGTAGCTCGGTCCGCATCAACAGTGCTGCCGTACAGCTTCTGAACTTTGGTACCATTATCCACCAGCAAACGGTCCCACTCGGAAACCTTCTCCGCCTGCTCGCGGAAGTCCTTTTGATATTTGCCGAGATCTGTGGCCCATCGGGTGATTATCTCATCCATGGTCTTGTTCTTTAGACGTGACTGGGCTGGAGGAGCGGGTCCCGTGGTAGACTGGCCAAGGGCGGAGGGCCCAGCTGGAGCAGCGCCGGCAGCGGTTGTAGTCGAAGCAGGAGCCGGGGCAGCGGTAGTTTGACTACCAAGGCCACCAAGGGGCGCCGAACTGGTTGAGGTCGCTGGTTGAGTCGAAGGCTTAGCAGCAGCTTGGCCAAACAGGCCGCCCGTAGGCGCAGCAGGTGTAGTAGTCGCAGGCGCGGCAGTGGCCGCAGTACCTGGAGTAGTTGTGGGAGCTGAGGCCCCAAACAGGCCTCCTCCAAGAGGAGTGGTCGCCGGAGTAGTCGAGGGGGCAGCTGTGGATGTGGCACTTCCGGTGGAGGGGAAAAGAGACTTTTGAGGAGTAGCACTCGACGTGGCGGGGGCTCCTAGTGAGAGAGTTGTGTTTGCGGTGGAAGCAGGAGTGCCGAGGGCCGGGAATGCAGACTTCGGAGCGGAGTCGCCGCCGGGAGCTGCCATATTTTTGAACAGAGAGGGTGTCTGCGAGCTTTGCGCACCACCTGCGGGTGCAGCTGCACCGAAGAGTGGATTGGAAGTAGTATCTGCAGCAGGCTTGGGAGCGGTTGACTCGGCCGGCTTGCTTGCACCGAATAGACCTCCGCTGGGCGCAGCAGCTGGTGCGCCGCCTCCAAACAGCGACCCGGTTGCTCCCCCTCCGAACATATTGTTAGATGGCGGCGCCTGTGAGGTAGTAGGCGTGGTAGATGACGGCGGTGCGACAGGGGTAGTCGAGACCGGTTTCGCACCTCCGAACAAACTGCTGGGTGGGTTGGATGCTGGCGGGGGGCCAGCAGGGGTGGTGGAGTTGTTGCCAAACAGAGCGTTTCCCGCGGGAGCAGGGGTAGCTGTTGGGGCTGCGTTGCCGAACATGCTCTTTGTGCCTGCGCCACCGAACAGTGCATTGCCAGGCTGGCCAGGTGTGGTCGATTCCGTAGGCTTGTTGGGAGTCTGGTTGCCGGCAGCGGCGCCGAAGAGTGAGTTAGGCTGCGTGCCAGTTCCGGATGGAGCCTTGCCGCCGAAGCTGAAGGCCGATGTACCGCCGTTGGTCGCATTGGAAGCGCCTGCATTGCCGAAGGATGGTGTGCTTTGGCCAGTTGCGGGGTTTCCTCCAAACATCGACGGCGATGCGCTGTTGCCGGTGGACGAAGCTCCAACATTACCGAAGAGTCCACCACTGGACGCATTGTTATCCTTATTGGCCCCGAAAGCATTGCCCGCTGTGCCAAAAAGGTTTCCACTAGAGCCGCCAGTAGAGGCCGGTGTGCCGAAAGAGAACGACATGGTTGGTGATCGAGCTAGAGGATTGAAGAGGGAAAAAGCTGGATGGAAGGAAAGCACCAGCGACACACGGAGCAGGGAGGTGGCCTGCAGAATGGATCAAATGATCCAACAATGAGAGAACAGAGCTCTTGATCGAATGGGTTAAGACAATGAGCCTAAGAGTGAAACGAGAAAGGCAGGACAAGAAAGTCGAGACAATAGACAATAATAATTGGAAGGAGTTTGGCAAGCACGCGCTGAAAAGTTGATGCCTGGAATAAAAGGCATTAATAATGCCTGAATAAAGTGGCTAATTTATTGATATCTGGTGCCTAAGGCAGATGTGTTCTGGACTCACATCGATCGCAGGGAAACAAGTCGTCACTGCACACTACACACGGCCCCATTGCATTTTGATTTATTCAATCTCTGTGTGCCCCTTCTTTCATGTTAACACCCTGAATTCAAGTTGCAATCATGTCGGAGGGGCCGTCCGATTTGTCTAGTTCGCATCTAGAGCCCCCCAGTAGGACTACGGAGATTCAAGATCCAGGAGCTGGCGACCATAGTACATAACCCTGGATATACTTTAAATATTTGTTTGGCACTGACATTTTTTTAGTAACTTCTGAAAGCGACGATGAACACTTCTCAGATGCCAGTGAAGGCAATCCCCAACTCCAGTCATTTCCACGATCCGGTCGCACTTCCCCTGTCCCGCGAACGCGAGTCGAGAGGGTTGACAGCAGCACCCAACATGGCGAGATTCCTGGTACAGCAGCATTCGAAAAGAGAGAACAGGATGCAGTTCCCGATGAGATCGAGGTTATTCCAGAAGGCTCACACAGCCAGACGTGTTCGCCTGCGGGGTCAGAGGACCAAACCTTGAGCCCTGAAGACTTGCCGATTCCGCGCACAGTGGTCGAGAAGGTGGACCCAGATGAACCTAGCCATGGCGAAGTCCCCGGCACTTTGGCACGTGAGCAGCGCCTCGCCGATGCTGTGCCCGACGTGGTGACCAAGGCTTCAGATTCCGAGGCCAGCCCGACGCCGCCAGCACTTGACCCTACACCTCCTGAGCTTGATGGCTCTGCAACAGATATTCCTGAGACACGACTCGAGCGGGTGGATACAATACCCGCCGAGGAAGACTTGTCGCCACACCCACAAGCTCATAAAAGCTCAACAAGTGACGCATTACCCGACACGGTAGAAACTGTCCCGGATGTCTCAATATATGATACAGACCTGAAAAACAAAGAACTCTCATTGGAGGATGACATGAACGACGACCACGGATATGAAAAGCAAGAAGCGGGGGATGATTTTGATGAATTTGTAGAAGAGCAAGAAGACATGGGAGATGATGATTTTGGAGATTTCGACGACGGCTTCCAAGAGCCCAGTGCAGAGGAAGCTCCCACAGACGAAACTGCGAAATCTCAGCAAGCCGCACCTCCACCTCTTACTGACTTCGACACATTCAAATCCACCTCCGAACTCCTCGATTCCCTCCAAGACACCCTCAACCTCCTCTTCCCCGCATCCCAAGACCTAAGCTCTCTCACCCCCGTCGAGCCAATCCCAGACTCCGCAGCAATCTTCAGCACCGATCGATCCCTCTCGCTATGGTCTCAGCTCGTGGCACCGCCACCCCTCCAGCCTCAAAATTGGGTGAAATCCCGCATCCGCCGACTATTCCTCGTATCCCTGGGCGTACCCGTTGATCTGGATGAGATCCTTCCAGCCTCCAAACAGAAAAAGCTCATTCTCCCTTCTATTGATCTTGAAGGCAACGGCGCAAAGAGCCCCGGCGATCGCTCCGCTAGTCAAGTCCGCAAGGAAGAAGGCAACGAAAACAACACCGAAAAGGGACAAGCTCCCTCCCGACAGAAGGCTACTCCCCGCCGCGGCGCACCGCCGGCACCGGAAATAGATCTCTCGGCAGTCCGCCGGCTGTGCGCCACTACCGATGCTGCACTGAATGGTCTCACGGACTCGGAGTTGAAGCTGCATGTGCAGGAATTAAACCAAGTTACCCAACGCGCTAGTTCGGTATTGGAGCACTGGCTGAAGCGGCGGGATGGCTTGGTTGGCGAAAAAGAGGCTTTCGAGGGGGTCATTGAGAACCTCGTTAGTCATGTTAGGAGAGTCAGAAAGTAGTCTTTCCTTACTCCGGGCACTTGGTGTACTATCTAAATGCCCAATATAATATATTTTGTATAATCTAATGCCGATACCGGAGGAACTTCTTCCAAGGTTTATCTGCAATATAAGTAAGCGTGTTCTTAGTCTACACTATGAGTTTCATTCAGCATGGAGCTTTGATTTCATTTTAAGTATGCTTTCATTCTGTTCGTGACACCTTGAGATAAACAAAGAGAAAAGCTGGGCGCAACCGCAAGGCCCAGTCCCCCCAACGCCAGAAATGACAGATCATGAGAGAAGATAGAAGAGTTGCATTTGAAGGGCACGCAATAAGGGGTATCTTTCTTTTCAAATGCATGCAAAGATAAACGGAAGACATTGGAAGGCCAAAGTCGTTAGAAGAGGAGAATAAGGTAAGAACTTTTGTTGGAAAACCCGCTGAACTCATTAGTCCAGTTCAATGACCGTGGGTTCTTGTATGCGAACAGCCTGGCTGCGACTAGCATTGGACACATCGTTTCTAGGGCGCGTGGCAACAGGGCCTGGTGTATCTTCGGCCTTACGCTTCGGAGAAAAGTGTTTGTCTGCCACGGGTGAGGTCTCATCAGTGTCATACTTGGGGGTCCAGGTTCCATCAACTTTGATCTGGATTGCTCTGACCCCATAAAGTCGGTTTGTACAGGTGAGCTGGGCATGGATCTCGGCAAGGAACTGATCGACGACCAAGAATTGCGGGCGTGCATCTGCCTTACAGATCGGGCAGCGCCAGTTATCGACCATTGGTGCGGGGCCTGATACAGATTTCCTGGTTATTATGAAAGTGTCACGGTCAAAGCATTCATGGTGGTTGCAGTGACGCGAGCGAACGGGGACATCGAAGATGCGTGCCATGAAGGGGTCCACTAGGTCGATTGTGAGGTTTTCGGTGACAACTGCAAGGTCATCGTCGTTGGTGATAGGAGAAAGCCGCTTTTGGATTGCTGCACGAGAGTCGGCGGCTGAGACGGATTGGACCAGGCTGAGTATCTGGTCAAACTCAGCGATCTCCATGGCCTCCACTCCGAAGACGTATTTGGAGGTCTTGCATTCATCCTGTCCTAGGATCATATCGAGCCGTATGCTGTTCTCGCCGGTTTGAAGGTACTCAGTGATGTCCAAAGGCAGATCTTTTCCGTGATGAACCTTTCGTCGCACATAGAGCTCTGTGCCGTTTACAGTAATGTAAAAGACACTGGGCCAGAAAGTGCCCGAGGTAGACCAGGTCTGCTCCGTCACAGCATCCGGATTGCCAGGAAGACGAATGCATCGCAGGCGAATATTGCGACAACCAGGCCGGAAGGTCCAGACCGAATATTGGCCCTCTTGCCCCGGAGTTATGTGTGGGAATCTGTGGCGCTCGTCATTCGTGAAAGAGAAATTCCAGGTGTAGGTCGGCTGGTCAACGTTGATGACGGTTGGGTATACAACGAAGGTTTCGGGATAGGTAAACAAATCTGTCTCAATGTCATTCCCATGTGAACCATGTTTTACCAGCTTCTTCATAGGATCGCGAAGATCAACCAGATGTAGGCCGAGACGCATTGGATTTGGATTCACCACCATTGGTGCTCTGTAGCCAGGTACTGGGAGGAAAGCAGTGTTAGGTGAATGTTGGAATCGCTGTCTCCGGGGTGCACGTGTGATCGGTGAGGCAGATGGTTGCGAGTTCATCGAATGCTGTCGGTTGAGATGGTTATTAGGCATTTGTGGTAGCATCGGCTGCTGGACCATTTGGTTTGTAGTAGTTGATGTCGCGGATATGGGGGATGGAGCGTGGAGTGACTGCGCTGACTGTGTAGAGGTGAGAGCACTCGATTGGAGGGAGGGGTCGACGGGCACTACTGAAGTCGTGGGCATCATTGCTCGACGCTGCATTTGTTGACCATGTGGAACTTGCGGCGATTGGTGTGTCCGACAAGGTGATACCTGTCCAAGCGCTGCCTGTATGTGCATTTGCATCTGTGGGTTCATATTTGGATTCATATGTGAATTCGCAGGATACCACTGTCCTTGTCTCTGTCCTTGCCCTTGTGGCATAGGGTTGTAATAATGATGTTGTGGGGTATTCTGCACTTGTGAGTTTATGCCAAACTGAAAGGACCCAGCAGGTGGACCAACAAGAGGCCCCTGGGGTGAATTTGAGGTAGATTGCTGCAAAGGTCCACCAAGTGGGCTTAGAGCAGGTGAATGTATGGCAGATTGACTGACACCAGCAACCTCAGATCTGGGATATGGTGACGGCAAACCTGGAGCAGCTTGAGACATGCTTTGAATCTGAGGTCTGGGAGGTGCAGAGCGAGAGGAAGATGGTGTCTGTGGTAGATATTCGGATGAACGTGGGAAGTTGCGATACTCTTGGGCAAAATGACGGTTGATATCCGTCTGAGTCGTCCCGGGGAGGTTAGCCTCCATACACTGCTTAAAAGCTGTAAAATTTTTCCAAAACAATTCCAGCAGAGGTTCGATATCTTTCTCGTTGTGAAGCCGCCGTGCAACACACATAAACATCACCGACATCAAAATCGGAGACGGACAAGCGAGTGCTTCCCAAAGATGAGACACCAACGGGGGATGAGGGGCTTGACGCCAGATATCCTGCCATTCAGTCTCAAGCCGTGATAAAAACTCTGGAATTCCGGACAACACCTGGAGGTACCACTTTGTCTGCATCAACCGCTGTGGAGATTCCGGGAAATGGGCAAACCCAACGGTAGCGGCATCATGCATCATTCTATTATCTTCCAGAAGAAGCTTGAGCCATACCATTCCCATCTCAGGGGCTCTAATTTGACCCAATGTAGTTGGATCAATGCTATATCGGCAGTACAATTGATGCATCACCAAATAGAAAGCGTCCTTACGACTAATGGCCTGGCGTAACAAGTCGATCCGAGGCCTAATAACATTTGTCACCCCCGGCTGAGGATGAGGCAGTGCTCCCATTGTGCGCAAATCGACTACCAAGGCATCCAATTGAGCAGACCATTGTTGCCATGTCTTATGGGAGATGACCGCAGCCTCAACTCCCCCATTTTGTTGGGGACTAGGTCGTGACCCCGAGGCTGTGTGTTCTGTGCTAGCACCTGTACGTGTGCCTGTAGGCGGGGGTGAGTTTGTGGACCAGTCGGGTCCCATTAGAGGGAACTGGGTCACGCTTTGTGACGTGGCGAGCCCGCTGAGAGGAGGTTGGACTGCCATGCGCTCATCATCGCCACGCTGTGCTATGGATAGTGTAGGGGTTGGTGGCAGCGTGTAAGGTCTATTTGAGATGATCGCATCGGCGCCCACGGGACTTGGGTGAGAATTTGTACTGAGAACGGGTGAGGGAAGAGCCGTGGTTCGCGTGTCGGGGATTTTTGTATGAACAGGACCGCGTGAGGGAGGGGTCTCACCAGGCGTGACGGGGGACATTACAAGCTCGCGAGTAAGAGAGTTGGGAGGGACTCGAAGCTCAACGTGAGGATTTCGCGTAGCCGATTTCTCCGGGGCGTTCTGCGGGCCCATCCAGTTCCTCCGGGTGCCGCCTAAAAACAGACTGGCGGTAGTATTAGACTCTTCAATATGATCCACACTATTGTGCGGTCTTGATCTAGGTGATACCATCGAGTGATTGTCGGATGTATGTCAAGTCCCTAAAGTTTACAATTTGAATAAAGGAACCCTTTGGCGCTTAGATATCATAATATAATGATTGGAATAGATCCAAAGCAATGCAGGTACTGAGATTACAAAGAATAATAACATTTTAATTAACCTTGGGAAATATCTACGAAAAATAAATAATATAACATTTTGAATATAACAAATGCAAATGTAGATCGGGTCCATACTAGACGGACACTTGGGGAATGACCGGGTTCATCTGCAGTTGGAATTCAAGTTACCTTAATTACCAGTAATTTAATTGTAATTTAAATGTGCCACCCTCTCTAACCACGGAAAGTGACAAGTCCAGAACTTCTTACGATTGCAAACGTCACTTTTACCTTTTTCTTTTCTATTTTACTGCAATTTTTGATATTGGGTATTATATTGGTATTATAACCTGTGTCCTAATTCAAATTCTTGAAATTCCATAGTATTTTTTATCATATATCTACACTCCGTACTCCCAATATTTGCATCTGCCAAAAAAAAAAAAACCTCGGAGGTTCGTGCTCTCGGAGCCCCGCTAGTTGTTTAACCTACTCTAATCTCAATCTCTCTTTAGCTTCCTCACATTCTCTCCCCTTTTTCTCCCTCCTACCAAATCACATTGCTCTCTTCCAGAGGGATACGCGCGAAATTGCAATCTGCAATTTGCGTACTCGTTCCCAGGCCTTGCCATGTCTTGCGTTTTCTTTTGACTAGAAACACGGAATATTGAGAAATGGTTACCATGGGCCCACCACAGGGTGTTCGTCCCGGCGACATTCTGGAAGTTCTTCGTAAGTGACGTCGTGTGCGACGCCTCGATCTTGGTGACCCTTTTCCAGCTTCTAACACTCCAAACTAGATGAATTTGGCGGGCGCGGAGAAGATGAACTAATCATGTTACCCCGCGACAAGATTGAACTGGTCGAGTTGGATGAAGGATTTGGAGATGCCTGGTATTTGGGCAGAAACATTAGGACGGGACAAACTGGTCTCTTCCCTGCGAGTATGCGCCTCCCCCAGAATCCCCTCACCCCCAACCCCCCGACTATTTCCCCAGCTAATATTTGCGCGCAACCAGACTTTACCAAAGTTGGCCCCCCAAGAAAGACCCTCGCCGAGTCGCCAGTACTTGTAGAGTCGCCGACACAATTAGAATCCCCCACGCCTGATTCATCGTTCGCATCAGTCGGGAGTGGGCAAAGCACCCCTCAAGCGCGTCACACGAGCTCCGATATGCAGTCACCACAAATTGTTTCTCCTTCTCCCACACAGCATCGATCTGCCTCGTCTCCGCTGCCTCGCCCAAGCCTGGCGGCCGATATCCAGCAAGCCTTTCGTGGTTCCATGGACAATCATCTGAACGGCGAAGAAAGTCCGGTCATGAATGAGACATTGAGCGTCATTGACGAGCATATCACGGATATGAATACCCCACGTCACAGCTTGTCCACTCAAGAACACAGGACGATCAATGATTCCGGCAGCGAGTACAGCAGTCATATTGGCCATAGGGCATCTTATATCAATGGACATGAAACCGACGACGAGGAGCAGAATCATCCAACCGAGCAAGAGGTGCGGAAATGGAATCAAGCACAGACTTCAAGGTGCTTGCGCGGGCTCGGCATCGATCCCAAACACTGCGACATCTTTGAGGAACAAGAGATCACCGGTGATGTGCTTCTTGATATGGATCAGGATTTCATTTTTATGAAGGAATTCGATTTTGGAGTCATGGGCAAGCGGCTGAAGACCTGGCACAAGATCAAGGCATTCCAGGAAGATACCAAGGGCTTCAGTCAGCAGCAAGCCCCGAGAGACTCCATCTCCTCCAGCTTCTCAGGGCCTTCCGATGAACGTACATTATCTCGCGCTGGACACACCGGTCCACTTCTTCCTCGGATTCCGACCTTGTCAGAGAAGACTGGCGCTGGTCATCCACGAGCCTCTGCACCGGTGCAACACCCCCGACTGGCCAGCAACAACAGCTCGCCCATGACACCGCATACCCCTCCGTACGGCCATGATTCACCGAGAAGAATTTCTGCTGCATCGATCCGTGATCTCAACCAAGCGCGTCGGCATTCTTCCATTGACGCCACTCAGCGCGGCATGTCTGATTCGGTTTTCGTTGGTCACCATCAAAAGAAGCCCTCATTCGACCGGTCCTGGACCCTCAACTCCGGCCCTCAATCCATGCCCGCTCGGCCAGGAACCTCGGCGGGCATTAGTCCGGGTGGTTTCCGGGGCGGACCGCTGACCGCTGAGTCAGATTCTTACGCCAACTCTTATATCAGCACTCCGGATCAGATTGATGACCTAGATCGGGGTTATTTCTCGGGCACCGAGGTTGACTCGCGCCGAAACCGCCGGGTTCTACAGAAACGAGGGTCCGCCGGAGTCGGTGCAAACAACCACTCGCGAACGTCAAGCTATGCAGAAGATCCATATAAAGTGATATCCCCGGCGAAGCGTCACTCTCGCATTAGCAGCGTGGACTCGATCCGTGAAGCAGCAAATCGTGTCTCCCCCGCGGCCCAGGCCTATCACGGCACGCCACCGAAGAGTCGGCTGCGGAGCTTGAGCACGCGCGTCTCAACGGATAAAAGTCAATCGTCAATCACCGAGAACAAAACTAATAACGGTGGTGGGTTCTTCGCCAACTTCCCTCTGGTCGGCAGCAAAGGTGATTCGGAAAGCTCTTCTTCTCGCGCTTCGCCGTTACTGAAGAATGCTGGGCCCAAGTTCCGCCGAGCCATGGGTCTTCGTGCCATATCCGACGTTGTTGGAAAGAAGATTGACACATCTGCGCCGCCTGACTCACCTCGGGAGTCCGATCCCACCTCTGCTCGCACCGGATCCACAACTCCATCGGCAACGTCCAAGAGTTCGGAACGGCATAGTACAGATGGGTCTGGTAAGGCCGCCACTGACGGACAAGGATTCGTAGTCCGTCCTCGAACCGTCAAGTCCAAGAAGGAGACTAGTGCCTATACTCGGGGTCTTGAGAAGAAGACACCGCGTGAGCAGATGGATGGTTGTGACTATAGTGGATGGATGAAGAAGAGATCCTCCAACTTGATGACCACCTGGAAGCCCCGTCTGTTTGTCCTGCGCGGTCGTCGTCTATCCTATTACTATTCCGAGGACGACACCGAGGAAAGAGGCTTGATCGATATCACCGCTCACCGTGTCCTGCGAGCAGATCAAGATCCTATCATCGCTCTACACGCAACCATCACCGGCTCAACCGCGTTGCCAGCCAATGCCAACAACACCGTGGAGAGTTCTGGCGGCACGAAGCTCACTACTCCCTCGACCATTCAATCGCTGACCAGCAAGGACGGCAGTGGGCCGTTCTTCTTCAAGCTCGTGCCCCCAAAGACAGGCAACTCGCGCACCGTGCAGTTCACAAAACCGGCTACCCACTATTTCCAGGTCGACAATGTCCAGCAGGGTCGTCTGTGGATGGCAGCGTTGATGAAAGCGACCATTGAGCGTGATATGGGACAGGCTGTTGAATCCACCAACAAGCAAAAGACTATTAGTCTGAAACAGGCCCGGCTGATGAACCAGCGGCCGCCGGAGCTGATGCCTGCTTCAGGCAGCACCAAGACCGAGCAGACCATCGATGAGGAAGAGGAAGAGGCAGGTCTCCAAATCCAGGGCTTGAACCTCAGTCAGTCTGATGCCAACTCGTTCGAGGACACAAACGGCAGTCTGGACAATAACAACACAGACAAAGGCCTCGAACGACCTCTGTCTAACCCCTTCGGAGACTTTGACGGCGGCCACTCGTCCTTGCTTCCGGATCCTCTGGCCAAGACGGAATCCAAGTGAATATTCATTTGTGTGTGACCTTGCTTGAACTTATGCGAAGGATACTATATCTTGGTGATTTTTGTTTTTCTTTCTTTTTGCTGGCGTTTTATGTGATATACCCCTCGCTCAGACTTCTTCCCTTTGTTGACTCGGGCCAATTTCGTCATTGCAGGTACGTTGGTCGTCGGGGGATTTATAGTATACGATTGACTTGCTTATGGACACGAAGTTGACTGGAGCTGAGCGTTCTTCCCTATACTAATTGCGTCTGCAAATGTAGATATAATAATTTATACATGGCTGGTTTACACTTATCTCATAACCCTGGATGGAGTTCACCGCCCAATACACCGCCAACTCTTATTACAGGCAGTATGCGGCCACTACACTACACAAGTTCTACGTATATAAACAGCTTACTTTAAATATATTACCTGACAGTAAGATCATTAATTGTGAGATTGTGTATAAAAAATTGACTATGATTTGTCTATCTTGTCTTGAGTAGTTCCCGAGGTCAATCTTGTAGCCGGTGTCACCATCTATATGTGCGCGCTATCTTTATCGATTAGCCATGTCCTCCCTCCCGAGGTCCCTTTGTGTATCTTCTCCTTTCCACCATTCAAGACAACTCTTTTTCAATATGCTGTATAGTTCTTTATGACATTTATCCTTCTTCTGTCATTTTAGATCCCTCATGTCCCTCCGCTGGCTGCTCTCCCGCACCTTTGCGCTCCTTCTTCCACTCACAGTGACCGCCACTGTTTACCTCTATTTCTACCCAGTTTTCAACGGATGCGCCTTTCCTCTACCACAGTCTGCCTCACGGTCGGGTGAGAAGCAGCTATACCATAATTCAGTGATCAACACGCTTATCCAACACCTTGGCGTTTCAACCTCAGACACAAACAGTCAGCCCGCCATCTTCAGACTCCTAGTCCTCGCAGACCCCCAGTTGGAAGGCGACTCCTCACTCCCTTTCCCCGAATATGAATTATACCCCCGCATGCAGACCCACTGGCGCGCCATTCAGGAAGCAATCGGCAATGCCTCCACTTCACCTCTGCTGAACGAGGACGTCCTCTCAAACATCACAACCGGTCTCCATACCCTCGCAACTGAAGATATACCACGCGCCTTCGGCTCAGGCCTGAAACGCCTCGACCTCTTCGGAAACGACTACTACCTCGCACACATCTACCGCACGCTCTTTTGGTGGACCCGGCCGACGCACACAACCGTCCTGGGCGACTTGGTGGGGAGCCAGTGGATCTCCGACGACGAATTCGCCTGGCGCAGACACCGGTACTGGAATCGTGTGTTCCGTGGCGGAGAGCGGGTCGACGACAACATCACCAGAACCGGTGTTACGGGTTGGAGCCAGGGCGAAGGCAGCAATGCGCCGCCATTGGAACCCCTGGGTGTGGATCGAGCTTGGGCCCGGCGCGTGATCAATGTCGCGGGAAACCATGATATTGGATATGCGGGGGACATCAGCGAGGCGCGGATGGAGCGATTTGAGCGTGGGTTTGGCCGTGCGAATTGGGATGTACGGTTCGAACACCCGCCCATCTTGTCCTCGTCTGCACCTGCTGAAGACCAGCTTGTTACCCCTACTCTGCACCTGATTAACCTCAATTCCCTCATGTTCGATACCCCTGCACTTTCTGCGGAGGTCCAGAGCCATACGTATTCTTATCTGAACGAGCTGATCGCCGATCGACTCTCGCCGGTCGAGGACCGGTCGGCGTTTACTTTGCTTTTGACACATCTACCCCTGCACAAGGAAGATGGCGTGTGCACTGACGGGCCATATTTCTCATTCCGTGATTCTGACGACAAGGATGGTCCCAACGGTGTGCCCAGGTGGCTTGACGGTGGTCTCAAGGAGCAGAATCATCTCAGCGATTCACTCAGCGCTAGCGCGATCCTACAGGGCATATTTGGGCTGAGCGGCGACAAGAATGCGCTTGCTGGTGGTCATGGCCGGAACGGGCTAATTCTTACAGGCCATGACCACACAGGCTGTGATACCGTTCATTTCGTCAACCGCACTGGAACAGTCGATAACGACGGCTTGTCTCAGGCCTGGAAGTGGGCTGCGAAGCGCTTCAATAAGAGCCAGCACATCGATGGCCCTTCTGTCCGGGAGGTGACCCTCCGTTCAATGATGGGGGAGTTCGGCGGTAATGCCGGCCTCCTTTCGGCGTGGTTTGATGAGGTCGCCGGCGAGTGGAGCTATGAGATCACTATGTGTCCAGCTGGCGTGCAGCATCTCTGGTGGGCGGTTCATATCCTCGTGCTAGTGACGCTGGGTATAGCTCTGCTTTGGTTCTTATCTTGTGGTGCCCAGTCGAAGACGGCTACTCGGAAAGTCCAATCAGAACAGAAGACTCAGAATGGACAGAAGAAATAATTGGGTTGTAGATTTAAGTTTAATTGTATTAATAGCATGGGATAAATGAGCGGTTTGCATTTGGATACATATTCTGCAATATATATTTTCAACTCTCATCCAGATATCGAACCGTATGATGGCGACCTTCATGAAATTATGCCTTGTTGGACAGTTGTACAGAGATCAAGTACGTTTACAAAGGGTCTATGAAGGGACTACGTAGAGCCATTGGTGGTCATATCAGAGTTCATATATCGGACAAAGAAGAAACAACCAGGACCATGTCCCCTCCGATACAGCTTGCCTAAAACCCTTAGGCCAGCCCTCGAGGTAACGGGCAAGGCGTTGCAAAAGGATGTGATTTTAAAGTAATACTTCCAAGAGCTGCCAGTAAAGGGGGGAGAAAACACCTAGATGGAGGATAAAACCGGCTTTAAAATAAACAGTTGGATTTCGTCAAATGGACACCACCTGTCCAGCTCCCATTTTAATCCTATGGTCTCATATGCACCGCATTCCAGGTCCCAAGCAGATTTGAGGTTTGGTATCGTTCTTTTTCTTTAAAATTCGGGTTTTCTCTCTTTACATGACGACACCGGAGTTGGAGGCAATACGCTAGAAAAGTGTTAGTTTTGGATCGGAGACGTGGAAATGGAAAGGAATCCATTTCCAGGTGGGGTGTATAACGTACGGGCCAGAGCTCAGCAGCTTCCTTTCCGACGGGACCGGTAATGGCGGAACCCTTCATCTCACCCTTGGCGTTGACGATAACTCCTGCGTTGTCCTCGAAGTACAGGAAGATACCGTCGGGGCGGCGCCAGGGCTTGCTCTGACGGACAACCACAGCGGGCATGACCTTCTTGCGGAGCTCGGGCTTTCCCTTCTTGACGGTGGCCATGACCATGTCTCCGACACCAGCGGCGGGAAGACGGTTCAGGCGGGCACCGATACCCTTGACGGAGATGATGTACAGGTTGCGAGCACCGGAGTTGTCGCAGCAGTTCATCACGGCGCCACTGTTTGACGAAAAAAGGACCCGTTAGTGAATTGTTCTAGATCTTGAAGAAGTCGTGTTTCGAATGCTGAAAGTGGATATCCAATTTTCTTTTCCCTTTCTTCCCGCCGATCTTTTCGGATTGTTGCATGGTGTATGTTTTTTCTGAGGGCGTTGATCGACTGGAAATAAATTGTGGGATTCGGCGGGCAAGAAAAGGCGCATTCGAAACAGACTAGACGATAAGAAATTTGTAGACGTACACAGGCAGACCGAGAGTCATCTTGAGCTTGTTGCCGGCGGCACCGCCACGACTGTTTAACCGTTAGCGAATTTCGTTCATGTCGTTTCGTTCTTTTCCCAATCCGAGTCCCATTCTATCCTCGCGAAACAAAGGTGTTGTGTTGCTTGTCCATGCTTGCAAAATTCTGTGTCGGTTCGGAATCGAATGGGGCCACGGACGGAATCGCTGGGAGACTCACCCTCTCTTAGACATGATGGCTGATGATCACGAAACGAAGTTGGGTGAAAAAGGTTGGCGACAAGAGGTCGAACGTCAAGGATCCAAACTGGAGGTGTGCTTTCTCGCTTAGTGGGCAAAGTGCGTAAAATCTTGGCGTTGGGAGGTGATTGGCTGCTTAGCCCCATCTAGTTTGCCCTAATGCTAACCCAATTTGGAGTAGTGGCAAAGTTTAATGCCTGAGGCATCTAAAGTATACTTCTAAGGTTGAAGTGTTGTAATGTTTTGGAGGATTGCATTTCACTGAATAATACATTTGCAACCTTTAAAAAAAAACTAGGCAAAAGGAAAAGCAGATAGCACATGGATGAAGATAAAATATGGGAAATGATTCCTTGAAAGTTCATAAAAGCAACCCGCCATCCCCCAAACGTTTCGAGGTTAAACCTCGAATTGAGTCTGCTATTCCGCCACGAGTAATGCCCCTAAGTGTCAAGCAAGATGCGAGCATGCTGTTAAACCGATAACACCTTTCTGCCATTGTCCGTTGCGCCAGGTCCGATATTGTCGTCTTTGCATCACTGCCGATTACTCCTCTTTCTTGGGTTCTGCCGTGTATTCCACGTTCTCTTCCTTGGTCGCCGTTGCCGCAGTGTCCGCAGTAGGAGCAGAAGTCTCGGCAGTCTTTTCGAGGCTAGAATCGGGGGTCTCTTTTGGAAGGGACTGGGCCCGCATAGGGGAAGCAGTGGAGCCCTCGACCAGAGGCTTTTCCTCAATCGTTGACGCTTGCGCCGGGGCCTGTTCCAAGGTAGTGGGTTCAGCGACAGTAACAGCAGCATCCTCCATGGTAGTATCTTCATCATGAGGAGGATGAGATTGGCGTTGAGAGGTAGCGGAGGCTTCCTGTTCCTCACTTTCCATAGCCATGTTATCAGCATCAGTCATGGGGGTTTCGTCAGCGTGCGAAGCTTCCGGGGCGGCAAAAGGCGCCTCGGGTTCAGTGCGTGGGACATCGGCCATCTTAGCGTCAAGGGCGAAATCCATTTCTCCATCAGCCGCAGATGAGCCATCTTGCGGGGTTGCCATGCCACTATCCAGCCCAGAGTCCGGCTCGAGGTTTCGGTAGTTGACTTGGTTGCGACGACGCATGGCGCCTGGTTGGCGACGAACACCGTTGGCAGCGTTCTCCTCTTCGTCTTCGCTATCACTAAGCTCACCAGCCTTTTCCGTGCGTTGGTCGAATCGTCGTTGTGTGAACCGTTTGTCTTTGTTTTCATCCTCATCGAGGTCATCCATAACGTCATCAGCGTCGTCGTCCATGCCATCCAACATGGGGTTACGCGGCACATCCGTCATTTGGACTGAAGGAGCGAATGCCGTGCGCTTGAGGTTCTCGACAACCTGGTTGCGAATCTTGTCCAGATATTCTCTGGTGTTGGCGTTATCCATGTTGGAGGGGCGAACATCAAGCTGATAATCAGGAGCGAAGTACTAATCTAGTTAGTATGAGTTCGTCTAAAAGAAACAAGAATCTTACCTCATAATAATCATTGTATGGCAGCTCCGATCCCAGGGGTTCTCCGACAAGGATACCGGTCTCATAAGCCCATGTCCGTGCAACGTTGCGCATGGTGTAGCCACCACCGCCAAGAACCAATGTTGGCAGATCAAAGCTCTTGACGAAATTGACACAGTTGGCGTGTCCTCGCATGCTAAGATTGAAGCAGCCCAAGCGATCACCAGACAGACTGTCACCACCACACTGAAGGACCACTGCCTCGGGGCGGTACCACTCCATCACGCTCTTAATGACGGGCTCAAAGATGCTCTTGTACGTGACATCAGTGATGCCATCACGGAGAGGGAAGTTAACTGCGTAGTTCTTGCCCTGCCCAACACCGATGTCGCGAAGCTCACCGGTACCAGGGAAGTACTCGCCGTACTTGTGGAAAGAACAGGTCATGACGCGGTCAGTTGTGTAGAAGGCCTCTTCGACACCATCGCCGTGGTGAACATCAATATCGACGTAGAGTACTCGCTGTTTGAAGCGCAGCAGCTCCAGAATTCCAAGAACGATATCTACATGGATGTTAGCTTCCGAGACAGACATTTGAAGACCGAAGCACGATACCATTGACATAGCAGAAGCCACTTGCTTCGCTCTTCTTGGCGTGGTGAAGACCACCAGCCCAGTTGACGGCAACATCGCATTTGTTGCGGTTCAGTCGCGCAGCGCCTTCCATACTGCCTCCGGCGCTGATTCCGCAGAACTCGAAGAGACCGTCAAACACGGGGCAATCGTCTCCAACGTTATATCGGCTCTGTTCCTTTGCAAAGTGGTCCATGTTGTCGGGTGTGACCTTGGACAGGAAGTCGATGTATTCGTCGGTGTGGAACTGGGTCATTTCATACTTTGAGGCAGGTTTCGCACGCTGGTTTTGTCAGTGGAAGGGTTAAACAGAAAAAATAATAGAAGAGTACTCACGTAGATCTCCATTTTCTTGTAGAGGCCATAGTTCATCACCAAGCTGTGTGTCATGCGTATGCGATGAGGCTTCATGGGGTGGCCCGAGACATAGGCATAGTTGCCCACATCGGAGTCGTAAAAGTAAGCAACTTTCTTGTTTTTAGACCCGAGAAGCCTATCAGAGATAGGTTCCAAAGCCATGTTGCAGAGAGCGACTCAGGATCACTTGGTTGAGAGTGGGAGAAAATAAAGTGAAGTTCAAGAAGTGTAAGTGAGATCCGGGGAATGAAGTAGCGTTAGTTGCAGGCGCAATGCAAATATACTCCCAGGGGGGTAAATAGGCAGCGATGGCACCTATTGTCACCAGATCCCGCAATGCGAAGATTAGGTAGTAGAACTTAATCACAATAGCAAGCCAATGTCATTGTTCATTCAGGCTTTTGAAGAATAGATAGAGGAGAGAGAATCGGCCGCGAGGGAGCGGAAGCCGACCGAAACACACACCGCCTTCGTCAGGCAAAGCTCCCACGGCTTTGCTCATCATCAGTTAACACGTCTTCGACAACCTTGTTATCTTCTCGCTAATATCACATCTGTCGGGGATTTTCGCTATCTTGTATCTTTCTTTGAATACTGTTTCCGCAATACCAAGCTACTAGAGACAAATCGACTTGCTCCGGAGCTTCCAAATAGCGATAGCTTCGCCCTCTTTACTCTCGCTTCATCAAGTCTTGTCGGATATCTCTTAACTATGGATCGCCTTAACCGGATGCTCCAAGCCGCTCAAGGCATGGGGATGGGAGGCGCTGCTCCGGGTGGTGTAAGTTGGATATGACCTCTAATCCCCTTGTTGGGAGGCATTAATGGCAACACTCTAGCCTAGCTTCACCATGTTTATCTACATTGACTAACGAGAGCCGTTTTTAGGATACCCCAAACCTGATTGATAACTCCGAAACTGTCCACATCTCCTCCTTGGCTCTGCTGAAGATGCTACGACATGGCCGCGCCGGTGTTCCGATGGAGGTCATGGGTCTGATGCTGGGCGAGTTCGTTGATGAATACACAGTTCGGGTAGTGGACGTTTTTGCTATGCCCCAGAGTGGCACTGGTGTCAGTGTTGAGGCAGTGGACCCCGTGTTCCAAACTAGAATGATGGAAATGCTCCGACAGACGGGACGGTAAGCCTATCAGCTGATATATCCCAAAGGACTTCCCCATGCTGATAGTTTCGTACAGACCAGAAACCGTCGTTGGATGGTACCACTCGCATCCCGGTTTTGGCTGCTGGCTCTCCTCGGTCGATATCAACACTCAGCAATCCTTTGAGCAGCTCACACCGCGTGCGGTTGCCGTTGTCGTCGATCCTATCCAGTCAGTGAAGGGCAAGGTTGTCATTGACGCATTCCGTCTCATCCAGCCTCAGACGGTAGTCATGGGTCAGGAGCCCCGCCAGACTACATCAAACTTGGGTCACCTCAACAAGCCTTCTATCCAGGCTCTGATCCACGGTCTCAACCGCCACTATTACAGCATTGCGATTGATTACCGTAAGACGGGATTGGAAGAGAACATGTTGATGAACCTTCACAAGCACGTATGGACCGAGGCCTTGGAGATGAATGACTTCCATGAGGAGGGCCAACACAACGTGGACCGCATGAAGCAGCTTGTTCTTCTTGCAGAGGGCTACGAGAAGCGGATCAAGGAAGAGACGGAGCTGAGCAAGGATCAACTGAAAACGAGATACGTTGGCAAGGTCGATCCCAAGAAGCGTATGTTTTTCTCCCCTTTTTTGTGACAACAATCCCCCATAACAGAGACTGACTCTTTACAGACATCGAGGACGTAAGTCAACAGTTGATTGAGGATAACATTGTTGCCGTCTCGCGGCAGATGATTGACAAGGAAGCTTCGGTGGCACGGCAATCATCCAAAGAAGACACAAACGGTGCTGCCATGGAAGTTGATGAAGATCTCTAAAGAGGTAGAAAAGTGTGCCAATCAAACCACTTTAATTATTACTGATTGGTTGGGCTTTATGTTACCAAACCAGACCAACAGATGAATGAAATCTATTCAAATTTTGACGTAACAATAATAAATTCATTGTCAATAAGAATGGCATGTGAGCTATTGTTAAATGTATTTAAGTGTCTATAATTTCATTTCATATGATCTATGCGCCGCGCAATGTATATAAATCGTAACAATATGAACAATATCCACCGAACAATGGGTTATTATGACTCCAACTTGACTGTCTGAAGCGAGTTGCTCAAGGCTTCGGCAATATCAGAGGAGTAGGCTCGCAGGCCATCAAAGGCAGCATCCACGTCATTGAAGTCATGTTTCTCGTGAGTGTCATTTTGAGTGTCGGACCAGCCTCTATCAGGGCCCCAGAGGACATTTTTCTGAGCATCGCGGGTTTCCGTGAGCAAGCGAGTCATCAAAGGTCCATTCTTCTCTACAGATGGCCAGGCATCGAATTCGACCTGAACCAGACCCGGCAAACGTTCCAGGATTTGATGTAATAATTTGCCACAGAAATCGGTATAGTAATCCTTCGATTTGCGAAAGCCCTCGAATGCAGGTTGTGAAGGGTCACACTGCACAAACACTTTCAATGTGCGAACAAGCTCCATGTCATGTAACCCCAAGCCCTGGTTTACAATCCATGACTTTGGGGGTGCAGTCCAGCTTGATCCCACAATCAATTCGATTGTGGTGATCGAAGAGCGGTGGCGTCGAGGCAAAGCCCGGATTGTGGGCATGCGCAAGAAGTCCTGTACGGGGAACACACGGAATATCTGGGTTGAATAGAAGTAGTGAGTGGCTTCGTCGTGGATTTGCCTCGAGACACGGAAAAGGGCGATGCGGTGCGAGGATGGTGCTAGAGGTTTGCTCTTCTTCGCCGAAGATCCAACATTGCCAGTGGGCTTCAATGCGCTTTTCCGGGTCGGCGTGAACAGGACATAATGATAAATGCGTAGGCGGATCTCGGATGGTAGATGGAGGAAAGGGAATCGCAGTGATATCGAAGGTTCGGCGTCTGGTTCAGAGTCGACATCGGAGAGTTGCTCCTCGAAACGGAGCATATTCTTTTTGAACCCCATGATTGGAATGTATGCAGATGAGTTCTATGAGATACGAGCGAGTCTAGATTTGGACAGATAGATCATATTTCTGGTAATCAGATGGTAAAAGAGAAAAAGAAAAATGCTAAAAAGATTTGTGTCCCACGATCGGAGCGCAGCTTCACGGGAAAATCCTTTGCTGCGCTCTTGGTAGTGGGAATGAAGAATATCTTCGTTGGTCTCCCCAGCTAATACAACCCGGCATGCATAGAAGAAATGCTTGATAGGTCAAATTAATGTCTGGGTGAACTTTCTGAAGAAGAAAAGAAAAAAAGAAGAGGATTCGATGGTCAAAGGAGTCGATATATAAACAAAGTGCACGGGTGGTTCGGATGAGCCGCCGTACCGAGTCGCGCCGACTTTTAACGGGAAACTGTCGTTCATCCCATCATTCAGGACAGTTTTGTTCCAAGTCCCAATACACAATGCTGAGTCGTGCAGTCTTGCCTCTGACGAGGCCAAATGTCCTCGCTTCTGCTGTTCGGGTATCAACCCTGTCGGCGCGGCCCTCGCCGTACGCTGCTTACAAGCTTTCCCCGGGTATCCAGCTAAGGGCGAAGTCGAACAAATCCCAGAAGCCGGATACTCCCACACCATCTCAAAAAGACTTCACCGCAGAGCAACCTGAGTTTGATACAAAAGCCGAACCTACACAGCCTTCTGAACCCGTGAGACGTTCTTTCTACCCATTACGGAAAGAAATCCCCTCTGACGTTGTCTTTCTAGGTCGAACAACCCCCACAGACGCCTCTCCCTGATCTGACACAAGGTATTCCATCAACGTTGGCCGCAGAATTGGAAGGTCGTATGAAAAAGGGACCATTGAACCTCACAGAAGACCCCACCCAGTCAGAAGAGTACGGCACAGATGGCAGAGGAGGTGGTGACATCCCCAAAGGCGGATATGAGACATCTATCGACCGCCGCAAGGCCCGCATGGCCAATATAGTATACGCAACCATGTTGCTTGCTGGTCTTGCTGGTATGGGCTACCTGGGTCGCAACTGGGAAACCGAGGAGGAGGAGCGCCAACACCCTGACATCCCATCCGGATGGAGCCCCGGTCTTTGGTACAGCCGTATCAAGGCCCGCACCAGCGATCTCACCAGCTACTACAAGGACCCTGCTTTCCCCAAGCTGCTTCCGGATGAGGACGCCGAGATGCGTCAGCCATACACCCTGGTGCTCAGTCTTGAAGACCTCCTTGTTCACAGCGAATGGACCCGTGAGCACGGATGGCGGGTAGCCAAGCGGCCTGGTGTCGACTACTTCCTCCGCTACCTGAATCAATACTACGAGCTCGTTCTGTTCACCAGTGTGCCCAGTATGATGGCTGACCAAGTCCTACGCAAACTCGACCCTTACCGCATCATCCGCTGGCCCCTGTTCCGCGAGGCGACCCGATACAAGGATGGAGAATACATCAAGGTATGCCAACTTGGTTTTTTTCCTCTCTTCCAGTCATAGGGTGCTAATTGTCTTCCAGGATTTACAATACCTCAACCGTGACCTTTCCAAGGTTATTCTCATCGACACTAAGGAGGAGCACGCCCGCTACCAGCCCGAGAACGCCATTGTTCTGGACAAGTGGACCGGAGATCCGAAAGATAAGACGCTGGTCGCCCTCATCCCCTTTTTGGAGTACCTCGCTGGTATGGGCGTTGAGGACGTGCGTACCGTGCTGAAGTCGTTTGATGGCACTCCAATTCCCGCCGAGTTCGCCAAGCGCGAGAAGGCGATGCGTGAGCGCTTTGAGAAGGAGCTTGCCGAGGAGCAGAAGAAGAAGCCCTCGCGTGGGTTGGGCAACTTTGCTGCTGCACTTGGCTTGAAGTCTTCTGCCACCCTGAACGGCGAGCAGACACCCTCCGAGGGTCTGGCTCAGGGCAAGATGCTTTGGGATCAGATCCGCGAGCGTGGTCAAAAGAACTACGAGATGATCGAGTCGGAGATCCGCGCGAACGGCGAGAAATGGCTCGCTGAGATGGCAGCCGAGGAGGAGAAGGCCCGCCAGGAGCAGATGCAGAGCATGAAGGGCTCCTTCACAGGCATGTTCGGTGCTGGCTCCAAGGATCAGTAATCGGCACGAGCCAATTACTTTTTTCCCTGTCTACCAGATCATCAGGGGTTCGTTCTGATCATTAATGAACGAGTGTAAAATAGCGTTTGGGGATTTGTTTGTTTTTTGTACAAAATTTTAGTCAGAAATTTTAATATGAGAAAGACTGAGATTGAATTGATATCAAGGTCGTTGGGCTTTGGATCCCAGGGTATATTGTTGAAATAAGAATCTAGAAGCGTATCAATGATGTGATCATGTCAGGTTCACATCTTGGAAGACGGAGACATCCCATATTCCTGTCATGTCAAAGGGGAAACCGTCCATCGTTCCAAAAGTATTAGATATCGACATCATGTCGTCGACGATATCATTATTAGTTTGGGTCTCAGGCAGCGATATCGCGGCCGGGTTGACCAGCCCGCTGTCTGCCATTGTGGTTGTGAATGCCTGGTCCATTGTGGCACCAGTTCCAGGAAGCCGGTGCATAATGCGTTCGCAGTGATCCAGACACATGTCTGCTACATCCCAGTCTTCTTCTTCCCGCACACGACGCAAGACTGAGCGCAAGGTCTCGACGTTGGAAAGACAGGATCGTGCAACTTCACTGTCGGTGGTCTCAAATGCACAACGAACCAGCAATGTTGCCGTTGATGTGAGGTGAAAGGCGCTATCTGTCAAAAAAATTAGGGAAAAAAAAGGAATGACCAGAGAGAATGCTTCAACGTACAAGGTAGCCAAAACTCTGTAAAATTACTCTTTCGCAAAGAGGTCATGAATCCAACAATCTCCTCTGCTGACCTTCTGCATTCCGTTTGGAAATAACGTCGTGCCTCGGTATTTTCCGTTTCAGAGTTGTTGACTTCCTGTAAGGTTGTTAGAGATCACTCCTTTCGATTTCCCCCTCTTCGGCTTACATTTAGTTCAACCCGGCTGACAAGCATTTTGACAGCTAAGAAAGCCAGTTGCAAGCTGCTTGCTCCATATATTCGTTCTCCGGTGTGTATTGTGGGGCCTCTCAACCAGTCCGGTAGGGAGTCTTCCCATATATCTAGATCTGTTCGTATTTGTCTGAGCTTCTTGGATGTCTCGCGTGCGGGTTTGTGTTGCAACCCATAGACCAGTGGTAACAGCTCGCCCAAAGTCTCGGTCAACCGGCATAGGTAGATGTGACAGTGTGCTGCTCTCACACGCTCTGTAGTGCGGAGGTTTGATGGGACCAATACGTCCACGGTAGGTAGAGGCACGTCGTATTGGTTTTTGGAAATCTGAGGTGGGACACCATGGCCAAAGCTCCCCCTATTTATTGTCAGGTTTGTTGCAAGCCAGAAGAAAAACGGAATTATCTTACCAGCGATCGTGAATCACAACTCCCCACCATAGACGAATCCGCTGGTTTTTTTCTGCTGGTGAAAGCTTCCAATTGCTAGGATCACGGTTCAAACCAAGGCAATTTGCCAAAGATAACATGCGGCCACAGCTGACGGCGTTGCCAGTCATGGAGAAAATGGGTCGTCCAGTCAGGTCGATGAGGGCAGCGCTGATTGTGTCCAACCCGGGGGCTGAGAATTCCTCATGCAACGCGGCGACAGTCATGTTGATCGCATATCGAACGTCGGGCTTCGGATGACACGCAAGTTTTTGGGTGTGTTTCCAATATACGAGGGACATGGAATAAACTTGACACACTAGTGCAGCTGGTGGGTCGTGTAGGTCTTCGGCGATGTATGATTCCCAAAAGGATTCTCCGTCAAAGATTGGAAAAGAAACGTTAAAACGATCAATGAAGCTAGAGAGGGAGATATTAGTAGGTAGAAAACGGGGGATGGGGAAGTTAACGGTCAACATACAGCCTCACTAGGTCGTGTTTAAACGGCCCGAGTATTTGTTCGAGGACCTCCTTCTGGTTCTCACCAGGAGGTGTTCCTTTCCGCATGCCTTTCCTTCGCCGCGAGATTGTGGTGTAAAGCACTGGTTTCCGTGGATCGCTAGAGTAGATATTGTACGGGTGACTCTTGGGCTCTTCAGATTGACTCGTCCGCTCTGGAGGCATGTGTTTTTCAATGACTTGGGCATCTTCAGCTACCATAGGGCCAACAATGAGAACTGATTCATTCTGGTGATCGTCCATATCTTTCCGCCGCGGATCACTTCCTCGACGTCCACCCGACGAAGTCGTTCCATGGGGGCTGGGCCCATTGATCGGCTGCCGGGGCGGGATATTCTGACCCATGTGGGCTAGTTCATCGGAACTGCGCTTACGCTTCTGCCCAGGCATGGCATCCATCACTGTAGGTCCCGGCCAGGATTTTGAGTCCGAGGCACTCAAGATCGAAGTATCCGCGTTGGCTTCCTCTTGATAGTGACAGTCGGCACCTTGCACGCGGCATAGGAGACAGGATTGACCGGGAATATCAACGGTACATCGAGACTTGCGCTTGCGACACAAGTCACAGGCGCGGACCTTGTGGGAACGATAGGGTCGGGCGCCGGCATTGAATCCGGGAGATGGGAGCTTGGAAGAGGAATTGACTTGGGCTGGTGCAGGTGACATGATGCGCGCGCCCAAGTGTGAGGGAGTTATGCCGATTGCTAATACAGAGGAAGCAAAGGATCGTGATTTGGAGATTTTGGTCGGGGTGTTTTCGGAGTCGGCCGATTAGCGGTTGGACAGAGTGAGGGGTATGAGCACGAGGTCTGCAAGATAGGGAGAAGAGGGCAAGGATCGAATTAGGAGCTCTCAATGGCCAGTGGACTGTATGTCAAACCTACATGCACATCATTGTGTACAAAGTCTCCCCAGATATTAAAATCCGGCGATCTCATTTTCTTATCAAAAATTGCGACTGCGGGCTCCATGGATCCATCATGTGGGGAATGATGACTCATTACACGTGAAATTGCTGACATAGATTCATGCCTCAGGCTCTATCTATTTTTATCTTTGGACTTGGCATGGACAATGCAGGCGATCGGCATGAGTTAGTTCATTACTGGTGTCCCGCATTGCCTCATGGGGCGAGAAAATGCACAGCCACAAGGTCATCTATCTTCTTCTCAACAATGCCTGCGGCGTACTTGATCCGTTGTATGTAGGTACAAAGCGGTGATCATGGAGGATACCTCCCTCTACGAGGACTCTATCGTCCATCAAGCAGACTCTTCTGAATTACCTAGCCTCAACACGTCCTTTGACCGGCTACCACTTAATGTGATTGAGCAGTAAGTTTCTGTCTGATCTGGGAGTCGCAACCTCGTGTTCGTCCGACATGTGGCCTTACTGTCATTGACTGCAATTCTTACTGTTTTAATAGCATACTGTATGCTTCCGATGCCAATACATTTGCATCATTATCTTTGTTAAACAGAAAATGGAAGCATGCGTCCGATTCCGCGGCTTTGTATGTCTATCAGTTGTCAAAATGTCCATCATTTTCCTGGGCTCGCGGGGTTATTTCTGAGGCGGGAAACCTTAGTAAACTTAGGCGCCAATTTGTCAAAGAGGTCAGGCAGAACGCTTTTGATGCATTTTTACGGCCCCGACAAACTCTCGTACGACTAATTTCAAGTTCTATGAGCTCGTCTACGGCGTTCCCACAGGGTGAAGTGTTTCGATTCTCATTTTCAGCAAATGGTCAAATGGTACTTTGCATCAGCTCTTCTCGCATTGCCATACTAGACGTGGCCACCGATCCAGTCGTCGTCAAGCACGAGCTTAAGACTCGAAGGCGGCCACTGGGAGCCACAATCCGCAATGATGGCTCTCTCATTGCTGTTTTGTCTTCTACACATCGAGTTCATATCTACCGGCTCTCTAACGATGAAGCCAAGCATATTCAAGTTATCACACTGAATGACGCTCCCAGGGACATCAAATTCTCTCCAGCAGGTAGTGTGCTAGCCTTAGCCTTTGAGGATAGTATTGAGGTATACGCTGTGGGTGAAGAGGCTTTGCCAACCGACCGTCGGGCGGTGCGTTGTCTCCGTGTCGATGCACTTTCATTTTCCCCCGATGGAGCGATGCTTCTTGGCTTTATGGCTGAAGGGATCGTCACCATCACTCCTCCTTTCTATACTGAGACCGGAACCGACGCTTCACCCGAAGAACTCGAGATGCGAATGTGGACAACACAAATTCTCTTTCCTGAAACAATCGGTTGTCGTATCACTCACGCCTCTCTTATTGCTGGTCATGAGCAAGGTGATGACCACTGGGTTATGGGATATGACAAACAATTGGGGGCGTTTAGGGCGCTTCAATTAAACAATGATGCGGGAATCGTTTATTTTGCCAGTCCATTCTTCACAGACGAGTCTCGGGAAATGCGGCCAAGCATGAGACCGGCCACGGATGATGAGGGGGAGCTTTCTGCTTTGGGGTTCCAAGATTCAGAACTATGGATATATGGGATGCCTGGCCTGGGCACTAGTGAAATCACTGGTACCCAGATTGGTGGTGGTCATCATTATGGAGGTTGCGCGCCTCGCGACAATCTGGCACAGCTTCAGAAGATCGTTCAACAACCTAAAATCTTGATCCGGGGGCGACGGGTGAGTGACATGCACGGGATCACATCCGCTCATTGGGTACACTCGGACCCAAGACGCCGCCGGAGACTCGTCGCGGTAGCGCCTGGTGGTGTGCGCCCACAGGTCTTTGGCGAAGAAGATATCCCTGTCGACGGTGGTCGAATCCTTCTACTTGATTTTGAGCGCTCTACCATGAACGGCGAAACGCTTGAGCTTGATATTGAAGTCGGAGAAATGCCACCCAAGATTCTTATGGAGCCGGACTCCTCCTTGGCCACGGAAGTTGAGCTTGAAAGAAGGCGAACACGACTACATCGTGGCGATACTGCTACGACATTCGCAGACCTTGGTCATTCAGCGATTACTCGACAATCCCGAGCTCTGCCGCTTCACTTCCGCCGTAACAGTCTTGCAGTTCCTACCTCGCCAAGCGAGAATTCTCGAGGCGATGTACTTGACCTTCCATATGACAATACGCAGCCTCGTTCCAGTGAAGTTCTCCATCGAGCTGCCACTGCGGCTGCATCAACCCGGGGGCGATACGACCCTCGATATCGTAATTCCCCCAACCGTCGACACATTCCCCATGAGAGCGACGCCGATAATTGGGTGCCACCACCCCCTCCTTACAAACGTGAGACAGTGGACCCGTTGCCGGATGATCTACAGAGAATGCTTCTCTCTCCAGTTAATGTCGCCAATTCTACCCTTCAGTCTGAAAGAGAAGAAACAGCTCGTGTCGCGCAGCAACCAATCCGCCCACGCCCACAATCTGTCAATTTACAGAGACTAGCTCCTATGACTGACGCCAGGCGCAGGGGAAATTCCATTGGCAGAGATTTTAGCCCAGAACAATTGGTTCACCAAGATTCGTTCACAAACAACTTCTCACCAGAACACCATGGATCTGCTTCACATCCAGCTACAACAGGATCTCTAGCACATCACCACCCAGCGATCCAACCTACCACGCCTACATTTGCTGTGTATCCCGCCGAACTGCCTCCGCAAGAAACCAGCATGCCTCTCCCATACTTGAGGGCCTCGGCGCTGGGCGATGCACTTGGAGATGCCTACTTCCCATACTCTGTATCATCACCAAACCTTCTCCACATCCCACAGCCATATGAAGATGGGCAGGCCACTGCAGCAGATGATGAGCATGAGATACCTCAGAGACAGCGGTCTTTCCACAGGCGGGTTTCAACCGAACCCACTAGCTTACCGCCACCAACAAACGAGGAATGGCGCCGGCGCATTCAGGATTGGAACGATAACACAATTAAGGAGCGAGGTCGTAAGCGAAGGGGGAAGTGCCATGTCATGTAGCTTTCTGTGCCATATGTCCAATTCTCTATTTAGGATAACTGTCAAATTATTAAAACAAGTCTTTGTTTTTAGCATAATGGCCATGTGTCGTTTGCTCGGGTTAAATAATATACCTTACAAGACGCCATCAAGTGGCGCTGTGTATCACACTACCTAACTACCATCTATATTGCTCTGTATTTGGTCCCATGACGGGTAGCAGTTCTCATATACCGAGTGGTATCACATTGAATATGCCTGTTCTTTCGAGCCAGTGAAAACACCCAACTGTCAGCATCGTCTCAAAGCCTTGGAGCCTATACTTCCTATGTAGCCACTGCCTCTTGATAGCATCTCTCTGGGAGTCATTTTGAGCCCAGATCCCCACTTTTTGGTGGAAATGGGACCGCATGTCGTCGTTTCCCATATGACGCACTGCCACTCCTAGATATACAGAGCCTTGGGAGGAAAATACCTGGGTTGACCAGTTGCTAGCTCTCAACTGCATGTTTCCTTTCTATTTTGAATCTACTATAGCTGGAGCACAGCTACTCTTGAACATGTCTTTTTACAGGACCATTAATCGCAGCGGAACAATAGTTTTGAATTGACTGAGGCGACAAGACAGTCAAAAATCAACAAATGAGGTTATGCTTTGTGGGGTATCACTGAAACAACAAAAAATGATCCGCTCGGTATGCTGGATCTGTACAAACAAAATCAAGGAACCCCACACAACGCCCGGAACATGGCATGCATGTTCATCCCAGTTTTAATATCTCCTTGTACCACGTCCCATATTTCATATCCCTCAATGATCAGTAGATCATGCACCAAAAACGGAGTTTACCCGGTTGAAGAAAGGAAACGCTGGGAGGACGGATGAATCGATGGAAGAAGTCACGGGTCCTGGAAAACCCTAATGGTCAGCGAATGGAACCCGAAGTGATGACGACCATAACATACCATAGTTTCCAGCTTTCTCAGAAAGAATTTCTGTTTTTGTTTTGTTTGTTCCTCATCAAGGGCTTTTTGTTGCTGCCCAAGGAGGATGAATGTGGAAAATAATTCCGGTCGACATGTCTGTCCGGAAGAGATCTATTCCAAGGTCTGAAGGGAGGACAGACGTTGATAAAGATTGACGAACACAGGAAGTGGGTTTCCAGCGAAGGTACAAAAGATGATGTCCATGGTCTTCTAGGAGCAAATACCTAGTTCAAGGCCCGTGAAAAGAAAAGAAGAAGCCGGAAGACAGGCTGAATTGGCTCATGAGCATGTTGTTGAGCAGCCTTGTGATTTGGAAATCGCGCCGAAACCGCACAAAGTACAAAAGCATTAGTGATGGTTCATCTTCCAGTGTGGTCCTGCCTGACAAGCCTTGGAAGGAAAATAAGACGATTAAATCAAAATTGGATTGATGAATGACTCCTGATTTTGTTGGATTGGAGTGGAAGCATGATTGAAGTCGAAATTCCGATTGATTGTCATCACGTTCTTGATCCAGCAAAGGCTTGTCTCATAGTCTAATGGAGAATAGCTCAATTCAAGCTGATTGGTAGATGTGGGGTGATGGTAAATTGAGGTCGAATTGTTCTGTTTTCTCTCAATGTTCGTCCAACTGAAGCTGTCCCGTAAGCTCAGTGGATGTCTTTCTTTTTTTCGTTTTTAATCCTTGCAATCAAGGCCTGGAAATGACCAATGCAAAAGATGGCAAGTTGTGTTCACGGCACAGAATGTTGAATGGACAAGCAGAGCATATTGCCGCCTCAAACCACCATCAAGCTGATGAGCCAGCCGAGATCTCCCCAGATATCATGAGAGAAGTGTAGAGTTGGCATGTAGATTTAGTCGATGGTGTGCCGAGCTTGCTAGTGTAGAAGATAAAGGATATCCGATGCAAAGAATGGGAAGTTTTGTCCAGTCAGATCCTCCCCCCAGAGGCCTTTTGGAAAAACTGACGCTGTTTCCATGTCGGTTGAACGATTGATGCAAATCAGAATGACCTCGGGGTCAAGTTGTTGGAATATGGAACCAAGCAGGTTTAGTGATTGTTTTCTTGCAAAGATATGTTCGAATGAATGAACTCAGCCAGGACCTCGTTACCAAGAGGCTGTGGCGAGAAATGAAGTTGTATCCATAGATGTTGAAGTCACCGAGGCAGTACATGGAACAGTGTTCACAGAGTCGGTGTGAACCCAGCAGGGTTGGATTGAAGACCTGCGAAAGACGATCAAGAGGGCGTGAAGAGCACGATCGCGCCATAGTCTGTCCGTTTGATTGTTGATACAGACGAGGACAAGATGATCGACTGAAAGATGCAGTCGACTCGCCATGGAGAATGATTGACCGATGCGACTTTTGCTTTTGGGGATAATGGTCGCGGCCCTGGACTGGGACTCAATTGGACAATGAGGCGCAGAGAGGGAATATCTTGCAAGGGTGGCCGTGGTCGAGGCCCGAAGAACAGAAATCGAATGGGCAAGCCCAGAGCCCAGACAACAAAAAATCGAAGCAAAGCGGCGTGAGATAGGAACGGCGCAAGGGAGATCTTTCACCTGAGGTGAAATGTGAGAGAAAAGTGAGAGCAGATCTTTTTTTGGATTTTCTGTTATGTATTGTGTGTTTTCTGTACTCTGTTCTGTTCCTTTTTTTTTTTTTTTTTTTTTAATGCCTAGAGTAAATATTGTCAGTGGTGGTGTCTCAAGAGGGGCTCGGAGTTTACTTACATGTTGGCCAGTCAACTCAATCTCCAAGCCCAACCCCCACAAAAAGCTTCCGAGGACGCTTGACGCGGCCCCAACACACAGCATTATACCAGCAAGCAAAAGCGCTGCAGGACAGCCAAGAAGGACCTAAACAACCCTCCGAAGAGAGGAGTTCTTTCAAGGTGTCCCACTCAGACACTTTTGTTGCTGATACATGTCCCACCTCCATCGAAGCATCTAGGCATGATGCCGTCGACGGCGACGACCGCGGTGGGACCGCTGGGGAAGAGCGTTGTCATCGGGCGAAGTCGTACCACAGTCCGTAGGAGGATCAATGCCCACATCTGCGAACAAGGGAGCCGGAGAAAGAGGACCACTCTGCGAATCACCCTGCTCCGCCAAACGACCAGGAACAAAAACCGGAGCCGAAGCCGACAAAGACGTCGAGCTCGGAGGCATCGCAAGAGAAGCACTGGAAGCGTAAGAGGCTAAAACATTTGAATGTTGAAGTTCCTTACTTTCCTGTCGTGCTCTCTTTGCATCGCGACGTCTCTTTGCTTGCGATGGACGGTTTTTCCTTTTGAAGTACGCCGGGGTGGAATCGGGACGCTCATCTTCCGCACCGTTGCCAATCGGACTCCCAGCCGGAGCCGGAGAATCTTCATGGTCGGAGGCGTAGAGATCAGTCGAGTTCCAGGGGTGCCGAGAGACCATGTTTGCGCGAGCGTCATCCGTAGTGCTAGCCGGCTCGGTGGTATTGCGCGCCGATTCTGGGTCCAATGGCTGCTCGTCTCCCAGACCTTTGGTGATCCGGTGGACCCAGATACCTCCGGATTGAGAGAGAACAGACACATGAGACACAGACTCGGGACGATTGTCTGCAGCCATCACCCAAGAAAGAATTTCTTCGTCCGTTTCCGTTGGGCCTCCGATCAGAATATCCATCTTCTTGTCAAAAGAAGATGAATCCTCCTCAACCACAAATTGCACACGTGCAATCTGTGGTTGGCCCTCGAGAACCTTCAGAATCCACTCAATCAAGGTATCAAGTCCGGAGAACAATTGCCGTGAGTAAGCAATCAAGGCCCAGGGGACTTGAACGAAACACCAAACACCGACGAACAGCAACGTGGCAACGAAGCCTTGCCCAGGCTTGGGTCTAGGCGAGTGGAAGTCGACAAATTCCTCGGGATCAGAAGATGTCACTCTGTCACCTGCCCAAAGCGAGACTGGGATGGGTACCAGGAACGGGGTTGGAAACCAGGGCGGCATATCGTCGACCAGTCCAGGCTGGACGATGACATCCGTTCCAAGGTTAAGAACCAGAAAGTCCGTCGAGTTTGCATACCCATGGCCAACGTGAGAACGCGACTCCCATGCAGGATGCTCGCGCTGGGAAGCGTGCCCGCGCCCGGAGGCGGCGGTGTTCACCAGGTCACAGAAGGCCCAAGACTCCATCGTCAGCTGGAATGTACCAGACAGACGCCGCATGAACGACTGCTCTGGAGCAGTGAACCCTGGGATGGGGAACCACTGACTCCAGAGAGTCATGCTCACGAAGATCCCCAAGAAGGGGGATCAACATGTTTTTTTTTTTTTTTTTTTTTTTTTTCTGTACAGGGAAGAGACAATGGCGTTAGCAGGTGTGTCAATACGAGTCAACAGAAGGAATCTGAGATAAAAGGGGGACTTGATCCAAGACTGTTATTTACTAAAAATAAAAATGAAAAACAAACGCCGGCGAGGCCGGGGGCGCGGGGGGGAGTAAGAAAAGTCACAGCGCAGGAGGCGCTGTTGAAAACTGTATTGGTAACTTGAGAGAGAAGAGAGAGAGAGAAGAAAGAAAGAGAAAAGTGAGAGAAGAAGAGAATTTATAGGAGACCCTGGGTCCCAAAAGGGAAGGTACACAAATGGAAGGAACGATGGGCACATTGTTTCTCGACCATTGAACTGCAGGCAGGTGCGATTGCCAAAAAGAGATAGGTATTTTCCCTTGTTCGGTCCATTGAGCATTCAATCTACAATGGCAGGAGCTACCGGAAATGGACCAAACGACCATTCAGACTTAAATTTGGTAACCAGGCCAAGAGTCCACTGCAGGATCTAGTTTTAGTAGTTGGCTTTGTGGATTTCAGCTTTTATTCCTATATTCCAGAGCTTGCAAGTAGTGGCTTCAGTTTTGTGCCCCAGCACGCGCACTAGCATATAAGAGATACCTAAGATATAAGACATATCTAGACACATACATTGTATGCAGCTGGAGTCTGTCTAGTCAAGAGTTTCCCACCTTTGGTGACATATGTCGCATGACTCTACAGCTCTGTATTCGGTGGATTGCCAGACATGGGAAACTTTCTCAAATCCTCGGTTTTTTGCCATAGGTAATCCAATACACTCAGGTTTTTGGCTGTCTAATCTCTCACTTTAGATGGTATTCTGCTTGCCAGATTTGATGCCGGCTACCTTCCACCTTATGTGAATGGTATACTGCAATGGCAAATTCTTCGTCATTGGAATAGCCATTGCGTTGATGTGTCTCCGCGGGGGTTCGCACTGTCACCCCTGATGAGAAAATCAGACTCATTGGGAGCATGTATCGTTACTAACTGAGTCGACCAACCATGCAGCCCTTGCCAGTCATCAGTACGGCAACGGTCCAATTATCCGGTTTATCCATCACCATCTCCAGATCGACAATACCCTGTGACAATGACGGCCCCAGTTGTCTGTTACCATTGTGCCCACAATCGATTACCAATCCGAAAAACCCTGTCTGCCCTCAGCGAGTCCATCACAATGACCGAGGTGAAAATCTCACCTGTCTATTTGACGGCCGAAATGACCCTCCTGGGGCCCTCCAAGCCCATGTCAGGCGAGAACACGGTAAGATGGATTGAGATTCAACCTTGAGGATTGACGAGCTCTTCGTCCGACACGACCCGGAGTCCAAATTCCTGGGCTCGCGAAGGAGAATTCTACTGTGAAATTTGCAGCTTGGCATATCAATGATGACACCTGCAGGCAGCATATCCTGAGTGAACAGCACGCGAAACCGATATCTACAACCTCGACCGAGACGACGCCTGCCTACACATCTTAGAGAAGCTAGGCAAGATTGAAGCCCCACAGCCCACCCTGAGTTAAACAAAATGGTCGGCCGTCCTAAATGACTGGCTATAACATATAGGTCGAATCCTCCCGACCAAGTATTGTTCCAAGCCGGATAAGCCAAAATCTAGAATAATACGTCCCAAACAAGTTTTTCGAAGCAACACAACCACAGCATATCTGGGGTGCGTTTGAGATCACCAAACCATTGATATTGCGTGGAACTGGCCCCAGTCAAATGGCCATGGTATCAAAGTGATTATCGAATCCTATTATACGAGGCAGCATCTCCCAGTTGATCATCTCAGTCCCCATGGCCAGCCGCACAGCGAGGTCGATTCTTTCTGCACATTCGGCACTACTTTCTAATTGCACTGACCAGCTCCAAAGGAAGATAAATATATCAGCGTCATGGTTGGTCTTTTCTGTCCTGTGTCTGAGGGTGGCGAGGGGAAGCTCAACAGTGTCGACCCTCTACAGCAAGCTAACATCAACCTCGATTAACTTAACAATGAGCTGGCCATTTTCTCTATTTTATGACGGTATCAGGCGTGGGAACAGTGTGTTGAAGGGTAGTAAATGTCTTAAAGCTACTCTTGTCGATGAATACATGTAAGAGATGTCCCTATACAAGGATGATTTGATGAAGAGAGCTGTAGTAGACTACTCTCATACCTCCTACCATTATTTGAGCACACTTCGAACATTCTGTTACTCCTTCGATATTTTATGTTCGCTAATTTCCTTAAGCCTATTGGTCTCCATCATTCCCATTTCGTATAATGACATTGATTGTGCTTCTTGTTTCTCTTTGTTCTTCTTTGTTCCTATGTCCTGATGGCTAAAACTAGTATATAAGCATACTCGTTGCACTGCATTGTACTATCAAAAGCATCAACAAACTCTCAATGAAATTGACCTGTTGGTTAAGCGCTTCACATATACCCTCCACCTCAGCTAGTTTGGTGAGCTTAGAAACAACTTCATCGTAATGGCTCCCAAGTACCCCGAGTTTGAGCCACGGGGGAATAGCTTACGACGATGGATGGAGCGTGCCGATGAGCCCGGGTGCCCTATTTCTCGGACTGAACTTACTCTCTCAAACATGGATCCTGACGTCTGGTATGTCCTTTGCCACCCGGATCCCCTTACAGACGAGTGGGTGTACTGGGCTAATACTTTGGGGCTAACAGTTGATGGCCCAGAAAGCATACGGGAATCTATCTATCGATTTCAGTCAGTGGTTAAAGCCAAAAATGAGGCTACATTTTGGATTGGGCGAACGGGACCAGGTGTGATATTCATAGATAATATCAGGAAAGCAGATGATCCCACAAATTTTTACATGTCCGAGTTTACCAAGGCTTTATATGAGTCGCATTTTCCATTGAAAAGCCTGAAGTATGCTTTTGTTACTACTGTTGTTCAAAAGAAAACCATGCCCTTTCTTCGAGATCATATTTACCTATCCCGGCAGGGGCTTGAGTTTCCGCCCAAGGAGCCGCAAACTTGGGAGTCTCCTTCGCCGGAGTGTTGCGGTATTCTTGGTACTCCCATTGGTAAAGGTGTCGGGGCCTTTGTCTTGTGTGCATATGGTAAGGGTGTCAAACGGATTCCACGCATTGTGTCATTTCATACCGGCGAAGATCGGTGTGAATGTAACCTTCGGTTTGATATTGAAGATGTCTGAGTAACTCATTAGACATTACTGACATTGTTATTAGAGTGTTTCCATTGGTGTTCTACATGTAGTTATGACAGAAATGAATCTTGAAGTTTTCAAGTCAAAAAGACACTTCAATCCAACGTAGTTTTTGTTGTAGATATCTCATATAAAAGAACGAAAACTGATCCGACTTTCTATACCATCTGGCAATGAAAATATTGACATTATAACCTTGGATTCAAGTATAGACTCCCGCGGTCAATACCGAACTTTCGAATTGGGATTATTGTGCCCATAAATATTTTTCCGTGTGGTCCTCGGTACCTTATACCCTTGGCTGCTGCCTATTAGTCTTTGTTTTGTTTCCTTTGATGGGTATTTTATTTTCCTCTTTTTTTTTCTTTTGCTCCTTCTCTGGTGATTGAATTGTATACTGAACTTGTTCGTTCAGGTCACCTGGGCACCTACACTTGAATTGGCCAATAAAGTACAAATTTATTCTCGGTGACAAGCTTTTAACTAAACCCACAGAGCCGATAGCGAAGCGACGTAAGCTATTTTTGGGCTTTTCTCATCAATAGCGATACAACCTTGTAGTGATTGGCGGAGAGTGTTTAGACATTGAATCAAAAACATAGCCAATGGGGCGGTCGCGGTCGTTCCACGTATAGAGACAACGCATCAGATGCACATCCCGAGGTATCGAGACTTGTAGATTTGGTTAAAGTTTTCTCTTTTTCTTTCATATCCCCCTCTCTTCGTCTATCTCATTTCATCTAGTGTTAGTCCATCTCACACGAGGCATCTACGGTTCAGATCGCGGAGGCTCTCTTCTCCACCATGCACTGACCCACCTCTTACAATCCAAACTGCCTTCGCAACTGCGATTCCCCGATATTAAGCCTTCTTTCTTTTATTCACAATGGGGCTCTCCAACGCAGCCGTCATTGTCATCGTTCTCGTCGCCTGTCTCGCAGCAACTGCATTGGGAGCATCGCTCTTTAAGCACTACAAGCCCGCCGATGGAGAGACCCCGTTCAGTCCGGGCTACGAGCAGAAGCTCTACATGGCCGAAGTGCGAGCTCGAGGTTTTGATAGTCTGAGTCGGATATCCTGGGGTGGAAGAGACCTAGAGTCACATTGTACGTTCTGGTGATTTCTTGATCTGATAATTTCGCTAACTTTTATTGATGATTAGATCCTCCAGCGGGGCCGAGCTACTATCGTCCCCACACTTACACCGAAGACACCACAAGAGACACAGGGAGCTCGTAGCTTCTCTTTTTCTTTTTTTCACGAATTACATGGATATCTGCCGGAATGGCACGGGCGTTACTTACACAAGGGGAACACTGGCGTTACTTACACAAGGGGAACACTGGCGTTACACGGATTACGGCGAGTTACAGCAATGGAGGACTTCTCAGGGAAAAAAGCACTGAGATGGGAATGATCTCGCCTGGTTTCACGGGCCCATGTTTCGGGGTATTCTTATTCGGTCGGCCATGGTGGTTTTGACAATTTTTTGTCTTGAAAATAAGACTTTTTATGGTACGGGGGCCTGGATCTTTGTGCAACTCATCTCAAAATGATTACCTTACAGCCGATTTGCTTGCATCTGTATCTGATTTTCACATTAGTATTGCTCTAATCAAATCAAAAAAAATTGAAAAATGAAGCTATTGTCCACGGGTGTGATCTGGGGATAACTCCGAGCTTCAGCTAATGACGTCAAGACTCCCCCAAACCTATATATATACCCTCAAATTCATCAAAGGCATGTTCCGATCAGTCACTCACTCCAATTCGGGGTGAATCGCACAGGACGATACATGGCAGATCAGGGTGGCCTCCCTCCACCGGCAGGTCCGCTGTCTCGCGCCCTGTGGAATTTCTCATCGCTGTGGTTCATCGTTCCTCAAGGAACGGGTATAATAGCCGTGATACTCTATCGATTGAGATACCAATTCAACGGGCTAAAAACCCTCGCCACGATCGTATGGATCTACACCATTGTCCAGCTCGGTTTGTTCCTCATCCTCTACCTCTTGCGCATATTCCTACACCCAAGACATGTCCTACACCAGCTGCGGAACAAAACGGTCGAAACATCCTGCCTCTGCTGCATCTCCATCGCCTTCACCTCCATCCTCCAGATGGCCGCCCTCAAATACGGAGACACAGCCGGGCTGGCCATCTACATCCTCTGGTGGATAAACACCGGCATGGCCGTACTCGCCTGTATGGTGATACCATTTGTCCATCTCAAGATGCAGCAGTCGGGCGAACGACACATGCAAGCTGACACGTTGATGCCATTTCTTGCGGCTTTGACGTCTGCCGCAGGTGGTGGGGTTATATGTCGCGTCATGCCTATCAGCCCCCGTCTCCAGGTCCCTGCTATCATTGTCTCCTACCTCGAACTTGGGGTCGGCCTTGCCCTTGTTGCTGCGTTCGATACCATTATACTCGCTCAGTACTTCGGTCGCACATTCCAGACAACGGACATGGTGTATCAGGATATGATTATGTGCGGCCCGTGCGGACAAGCTTCGGTCGCGCTCCAGGCCTTGGGCGAGGCTGTTCAGGCCGGTAGCTTTGCGGCGTATGACCGCGGCCAGCTGCTGACTGCAAAGGCGGCTGATCCCTTTGCTTTTATCAGCCATTTCATGGGTCTTCTTATCTGGGGGTATGGTATCTTTTGGTGGTTCTTTGCTATCCTAAGTATTTGTTATACCCTATACACTCAACCTGGGGGCTTGAAACAGTCACGGTTCACCATGTCTGTGTGGTCTGTGGTCTTTCCATGGGTGCGTATGCTGGTTTCTCTGGTTGTCTTGAGAGGTTTTCTAACAATCCTTCGATTTCTCCAGGGTACTTTCACCAATGCTGCTGTTGAATTTGGGAGGCTTATGAATTCTCCTGCATTCGATGTATTTTCCACTGCCCTTTTACTGCTGCTCGTAATCGGGTGGATAATCATACAGATCTTGACACTGAAGGGCATAGTGACAGGGCGAGTATTTGGCCTGGATCACGGATGGAGAAAACGATATGATGACCGACGGCCTGCGGTCATCAAAGAAGCGTGAACCTTAAAACATCCCCATGACTGCGCTTGGGTTCGCGAACCTCACAATATCACCATGGGATATGGCAGAATTCATGTTCCACTCCACACATCTTCTATCACAGGACACTGGTTTGCATTATTATAAACGCCGTTACTCATAACTCCCGGGGCCGGTCTTTCCGAAATCCGAGCTTCCGCTGACATCATCGCCAGCTTGGCCCCGGGGCCGGACAAGCCCGCAAGTCGGACGAACTTTTGACCGTTAGTCCGGCTTTCGGGGCTACAAGTGTGTTTTATCTTGTGATCACCAAGGCTTAAAGCTCTTTCGGCCACGCTTGGTCATGTTTTGTGAGGTAATTTACATCTAAGCCGGGATTTCATCATATGGGGTGGCTATGGATATGTACTTACTCCTGAGGAGTTGAGGCTGTGAATTGACCGACCCCAATCGGGCACACGGCTCGGAAAACCCAGACGCCGAACATTAAAACGGCGATCCACAAATCCGATAGTCAATGTAACTTATAGAGTATAGAGTAAATAGTGGATAAGGACCACTTGTGCCCTAAAATATTACTTCCATGGCCTCGCAAAAAGGATTTGTAGATGCCTAGCCTCAAGACTTGTAAAACACGGCATGTAAGAACTATATACTATGTGTTAATGTGCCAGGCAGCCAAGATATGTGTCTGTTTACACCTAAATTGCCCGTATTCGTACTAGTTTTAGTTTGCAGATTCGCTGGACCCAGTTGCCCTGGCTCGTGCACGTTTATACGAGTACGGCCGTAGGGCCAAGGCTGACTAGCTATTTATTATAAAACCTTTGAGACTTTCTAGCTCTTAGCTCTCAGCCTTTTATCTTTCTGATTCTGTGTTTGTCTTGACCCCTCAAATCTGGAGACGCGACAATATGTACGACTTCGCCATGGAATCCCCGGACAGTATGCCAAACTATGATAGCGACACAACAAGCGAAGAACGGTATGTAAGAATACTTCTGGGACAAAAGAAGAGGACATATCAATTCTTTCATTCTACTGAGAATTATGTCTAATTTGTCGCCAGACCATCATCTCAACCCGTCAACACCAAAATCCAGGCCAAATTCCAAATAGCTCGGCCGCCCCCGAAATCAAGTCAACTACTTCGACTCAGCCCCAAACTACTCCTTCAAATCCAACAATTATCTCCAAATCATCGACCAGTGCCTGTACTAGAGATATGGCAGCCACCACTCCGGAAATCGAAATTGACAAAAGGTTTCCCTCAACGCCCAAAGCTTGGCACAAAGGATATCTATGCAACACTCAATGAGCCATATATCACCAATAAACAGCAAGAGGGACAAAGACATCCCCAAGAGCAAGATACACAGTCAAACAGTACCCAAGACAAAGATATCGTGGCTGCAATGTGCCAACCGCTAAGCAACAACAACAACCCCACATCATCAATCCACTTCCGCGACGCAAATTGCATCTGGCAAGCCAGCGCCAGCTCAGCAGGACCTGAGAAAAGCACTTGCTACAGATTTGTCATTAAAAAGGAGGAAACTACAGCCGCCCCCGAACAGGGCCGGATGATTATGCAGTGGGAGAAACGGGCAATCTCTACAGATGGAAATGGGGCTTCCGGGTCTCTAGATAACGAACACTTCGTTCTTGTGGCGATTGACCGCAAGGCACGCCGGAAGAGCCGTATTGCTACGATGACTCCAGGTGGGCTCGATATTACGGTGAGGAAGAGCTCGATCTTGGATCATCTTCGGACTTGTTTGGCGTTGACGGAGCCTATTTCTGAGGGCTCGGCGGATTTAGAGACTTGGTTGTACACTCTGGTGTTGACGTTGGGTGTTTCGGTGGCTTCTCAAGAAGGGTGGTTGGGTTGATTGTTTTTAATCAGGGGAAAATGCATCTACCATAAACAGTTTCTACATTCCATTCAAATGTTCTATTCACTGCGGTATTGTAGCCATAAACAGACATTGATTTAGCTACGTACTATTGAAGGGGGAAAAGGATGAGAAAGATGAGAAGAGGGTGAAATTGAGGGGGAGTTTATACTCGCAGGTGGAGACGTTGCACCTTCCCAAATACGCATAGGACAGATACATGTAGGAAGGAGCCTTCTCGATGCCGTCCCACCCCACTTTTAGGTAACTACCAAGTAGTCAACCCCTCCTCGAGCGCTTTGATCTGCAATGCCAATAGGCGCGAGTAGTACCTGCAAAGAGCGAGGTTCCCGCCCATGAACCAGAATCCAGGGTGACCACTCCGCCTCCAGATAGTCCGCATCTCACCTTCCTTATCAAGTCCCCAGATATCGCCAACCCTGTCGGCGACCTTGTCACCAAAGACCACACGAGTGTCAGTTCTCATATTCTGATACCCTGTGGCGAACACGATTTCATCGGCTTCAAGCTCGGAACCATCCGCAAATCGGAGTCCATGAGGAAGAACTTGGCTAATTTCCTGGCCATGCTTCACCTTGATCTTCCCATCGATGATGAGCTGGCTTGCACCGACGTCAATGTAGTACCCGCCTCCGCGCTGGAAGTACTTCATCAATAGACCGCTGTCCGATGGTCCCCTATCGACCTTGAAGCCTGCCTTTTCCAGCCCTTCAATGGTCTTTGCGTCGTTTTGATTTATAAGTTTATTAACTTTGACCTGTTGCGCTTTGAATAGACGCAATGGAATGCTCGACAGATAAAGATCGGCGTCTTCAGTTGGGGGACCGGTCCCATCATAGAGCCCTTTGAAGGCAATTTTCAAGGTAGAGTCAGACGATATCACACAGGTAGAGCTTCGCTGCACCATGGTCACATCGTATCCTTTCTCGACAAAGTCCTGGGCGATATCGTTTGCCGAGTTACAAGATCCAACGACAATGGCCTTTTTCCCCTTTAACTCGGAATCCGCACCGGGATACTCCGAGCTGTGACACATGCGATCTCCCTTGAAATCCTCCATGCCTTTGAAAATGGGCAGGTCTTTCTTGCCAGAGTGGCCGGTAGCTTGGATGACGTGACGTGGGTGCAAGGTGCGCGTCTCAGTTCCGTTGGCTGTCTTACGCTCGAGAACAACCGTCCATTGCTTCTTGTCCTCATCCCAGGATGATGACTTGATCTCAGTTTGGGTCCAAACATTGAGTTCTCGGAACTTCACGTAGGTTTCGAAGAACTCCGCCAGCTTATCTTTTGGTGTATAGATGGGCCAGTCAGGCGGGAAGGGTAGGTATGGCATGTGATCGTACCAGACTGGGTCATGGAGAACGAGCTGGTGATATCGCTGACGCCAGTTGTCTCCGATTCTCTCTTCTCTGTCGATGACGAGGGTGTCGACCTCGAGCATCTTGAGACGCGCTGCGGCAGTCAAGCCACCCTGGCCAGCACCTTCATTCGTCAAGTCAGATTTCATACTTCTAGAGGGAAACACTTCGTCGGCACATACCAACTATCAATACTGCCGGTTCCTTTCCATCGAAGTTGATCTCATCAGTACGTCGATCTTTCCAGTTCTTTCGTCCTTGCTGCTCGCCATTCTGGACACCAACCGGCCTCTCTGTGTTCTCTTCGTGACCCTTTAACTCAATCATGGAAGTGAAGACGGTGAAAATGTACCAGTTGCCATCCTGTTCCGCCAACCGCATAATACCATTTCCCTGTCCATTCTCGGTAGTGACCTTGAGGGAAAATTCTATTCCAAAAACATCACCAAAGGAATCAATGGGGGCCTTGTGCGGGGATTTGACGTCAGACGATCGGTCGATTTCGATTTTGCTGGGTGGTGTCTCAGTGACAAACGCAGCGATGGCTGGGCTCCCCTCGAGGGTGCGGAAGTCCCACGAATAGCACAAGTGGTCGCGCCAGTAGCAATTCTCGAGGAATAGTGGCGCAACTGCTGCCTTGTCTCTAGCTGAGAGACCCAGATTTAGCTGGTTGACTATCTTGTCTGCAATAGCGTCTGGGTCTAGGGGAGTATCCGATTCGGACATGGTCTTGGGGAATTGACCGAGCTCGATGTTGCAGGAACCTGGCACGACTCGCTCTCGCGATGGCGGTAGCTTATTGGATTTTTCCATGATGATTCGGGTCATTTTGTTTGCAATTGAGGGTATTGGGGCCTGAGAAAAGGTACAGAGATGCAATGGAAAACCCCCTTGGTTCTTATTTCACAACCCCGCATTTTCACCGACATAGCAACTGCCTGCATTAGTTTACGCCTTTGAAGTCGACAACTGAATTCTGTAATTTGCATAGAACGGGTTAGCTCTAGTTTACCCAGGCCCACTATGTTAATTCCCGGGGTCCTAATATATTAACAGGCACATATCACTTCGATGATTCATCTAGAGCTCCCTCCTTTATGGCATTCAATTACCATAAAATTCGATTGGTGTATATTGATGTGTAGAATTCAGTTCAATTTTGAACCAAACAGCCTATTTTAATCCGGAAACCTGGAGTTGAGATTAAACCAACTTACTTGAACAAAAGCGATCCGTCCATGGTATGACATGTATGATTGTTGTCAACTTTTTCCTATAATAGATATTCGCTTGTTGTGTACCTGTCGCGACAACCAGCGGTGTGATATATATACAACTTGAGTTATTTACCCGACACGCAATGCCATACCCCAACATGTTTTCTATTCGCTAAATTGTTACTTAAAGCTGTTAAAGATGTTCCTATCCCCACTTGCCACAGAATTACTAAAATAATGCTTAAAAAGGTAGGTATTACAGCTCGAAAAATTGTATGATTGCTTTCGTTGTAAAGATATGGAGAATATCTTAATAGAAATATTTTGCATAATAGTAGGCCACATTACATCAACTAGCATCATTGGTCTAGTGGTAGAATTCGTCGTTGCCATCGACGAGGCCCGTGTTCGATTCACGGATGATGCACAACAATTAATTTTTTTGTTTTTTTGGCTCTTAAGCTAATAGCATCTGAATGTGATTTCTGCATTCACTTTTTGTGCAGAATCCAAGTAAGTTAAACGGTCGCGTCACGTCGCGCGAGTTTTCTAAATTGGCCCACAGATCATCTGACCCCGGGGGCCCTATCTCCCTCTAGGGCTGGTTCTTTTGATAGATCAGCTTCAGAATTTCAGTTTTTGATTTGTGCCTGTTATTCTCGCTCTGCTAGAGAATGAACCACGTCCCAGAAAACCAATAAAAATGTTCATACCATGACTACAGGATCTCAACATGAACGATACAATTACTATCCATAGAAGCGATCGTGTTTTCTGATTATACATAATTACATATTCTATTTCTATTCGAGCATCGATTTAATTAGTAGTATATATTATGACCTAATGTGGGTATACTCCCCAGTTGACCCAAAGCACCACAAATGAACCTACTTCAACCACCGAGGAGAGGCTGGAAGATGTCATGCGTAAGCCCCGAGTAGCATATGACGAGACAAAGACGCACGCAGTGTTTTATCATCCCACTGTGACCATGGAGTGCTTCAACTATATCGAAGAGCGAGTTTGAGCCTTTTTACATCTGGAGTAGTCCACCTTCCTATGTATGGCTTTACAACACCTACAGGTAGGTACACGAAGGAGGAAGCCGCATTCCTGGCTATCTTCCTTCGGCAGTTCAGAATGTTGAATGAGGACGCCGTGGGCGATAATGCCGAGAAAAAGTGTTTGTTTGGCGAAGTCAGGGGCAAGGGAACTGTTATGTTTTTTGTTCAAGGTTTCAGCAAATGTTCCGGGAAGTCGTTCAGACTAGCACCCAACGATTCTTCATGTTATGTTCTCAACCACCACCAGAGCTCTGACATGGTAGGAATCTATGTTTTGCCTGATAAAAGTCGACATCCTTACATATGTTTGAAATACTCCTATAAAGGCAAATGGTCTCAAGCGGAGCTTGAGGCGTGATATATTGCCAAAATCGGACAGGGGCCCCGTTTAAATGTGTTATCCCATATAGGAGCAGCCTGATAAGGTTTCCATTTTGGATTGGAGTTTCTACCCGAGGGAATAATTTCCTGCAGAAGCATAATGGCCTTATTTCTTCAACTATTTGAAGAAAATCTTATCAAATACTTATTTTCCTAATTTACATTGGCATAATTAAAGCTTAAAAGATAAATCTATACTTGGAAATGAAATGTAGGACAAAACCGATATCGGAATTTAGTCTACGGGCATCACAAAATCCTCAATTTAATATATGGTACCATTCTATTCTACTGGACAATTTAACAAGCACGCTTAGTAGCCCCAAGGTTCCCCGTGTTTGAAAGGCGGGAAAAGTTTTGTGCCACTCTCTTGACACCTCCTTTAAACCATTCTGTCAATTGCTGGTCACACACGTTGACCATAATATTCCTACTGCATCGATCATGTCTTATATAACCTGAAATCCTCATGAGTCGGGCCCGCCGTCACCTCCTAGGCGCTTGCCTCGGGGCTTTCCTGTTACTCCTGCTTTACCGCTATCATCGCACAAACGACGTTCTCTCGACCCCTCCACATGATACACAAGTCATTCTGAATGGTCGAATCAACCCAAAATATCTATGGAGAAAGCTGCCTGTACGATATCCAGTTGTTGAATTTCAGCCATTACCTGTCGCCACACTGCCCCAGACGCTACCCAAGGTCCAACCAGCAGATTTCAAAGTATCCCATCTCATTTTGGACCGCCAAACTAGCAGACAGTCGGCCGCAAAACAAGCATTTGAACGATGTTGGAAGTCATATCAGTCGATTGCTTGGGGTGCAGATGAGCTTGCGCCTCTAAGTGGTAGCCCTGAAAATAAGTTGGGGGGATGGGGTGCTACGCTAGTTGACAACCTTGACACACTGTGGATTATGGGAATGCACGATGAGTTCAAAAAGGCCGTGACTTTGGTCACACATATCAAATTTGAAACTACACAGTCGCCCGAAATCAATACTCACGATGTCAACATCCATTTACTTGGAGGCCTACTGGCAGCATTTGATCTCAGCGGCGATCAGAAACTGCTGGAAAAGTCCATAGAGCTGGGCGATATGCTTTACGCTGCCTTTGATACCCCGAACAGAATGCCCATCATACATTGGAATACACATAAAGCTGCCCGCCAAGAGGAGCAGCTTGCAGAGGAGAGTGTACTCGGCGCAGAGCTAGGGTCGTTCACATTGGAATTCACAAGGCTATCTCAGATCACCGGTGACCTAAAATACTTCGACGCGGCTCATCGGGTGATGAAATTGTTTGACAGACAGCAGGACGCTACCAAACTGGCAGGTCTGTGGCCTGTCTCCGCGAATGCCAGAGAAGAACTTTTCGACGACGATGTCTTCACACTGGGCGCCGAAGCAAGCTCTATGTACAAGTCGCTAACCCTAGCATACGCTTTGCTAGGAGGCCTCGAGCCCATGTATCGCAAGATGTACGAAAATGCCACGCTCACAGCCGCCGTATACAATCTATTCCGACCAATGAATCTCGAGGGCAAGGGCGTGCTCGTTTCTGGTACTGTTCGAGTGGCAATAACAGATAATGGAAATTCGCAAACATACCTAGAGGCACAAATGCAGTACCGATCTTGTTTTGCAGGGGGTATGTTTGCACTAGGAGGCGCACTGCTCAACATCCCCACCCACCAAGAAATCGCCCACAAGTTGGTCGATGGATGCATATGGGCTCACCGGGTCATACCACTGGGGATTATGCCCGAAACCTTTGATGTGGTTCCGTGTGCATCGCAGACAAACTGTCCATGGAGCGAGTGGCTCTGGAAGCAGGAGGTCTGGAAAAAGGCGAACAGCCTCGAGCCAGAACCAAATCCAAATCTCAACGTTGATACTTTCATTAGAGACCACCGTTTGCCCAAAGGGATTATCGGAATCCCGGACACTGCTTATAACTTGCGCCCGGACGCGATCGAGAGTATGTTTACTCTATACCGCGTCAGTGGCCGTGAGGATCTGCTCGATGCAGCTTGGGATATGTTCCAGGCAATGCAAGGTGCGACGCAGACGAAGAATGGCAACGCGGCCATCTTTGCCGTCACAGATGAGGGTAGTGGACTGACCCCCAAAGACTCGATGGACAGCATGTGGATGTCGCAGACCCTCAAATATTTCTATCTCATATTTAGCTCTCCAGACCTGACCAGTTTGGATGAGTTTGTTTTCAATGCTGGAGGACACCCGCTGAAACGCCCGAAGGCATCATGACAAGGGCAGTTCAAGGAAGCGTATTTCCTTTGTACCATTACCGCTCTTTTCCCCTTTGAGATATTCGCCTTTCTGGTCTGAAGGCTCGAAGACTGGATTATTCATATTGTATCATACATAGTGTTTTATTATGTACAAAACAAGGTGTTGTGGTTGGCTAGAGCCACCCCAAATTCTTTGTCTCTAACCAATGAAATCGGCCTGGGAAATTCTAGCTAGGGATATCTTCGATATTAGAATCTGGTAACCATTTTTACAACTGGTATTCATGTAAAATCTAGTAACAATGATCAGGAAAATTGGATAAAGGGTCCTCACCAAATTCATATCCTTCATTATCTTCAGCCCACTCCTGGGGCTTCATCCTCTCCGCAGGAATTCCAGTCTTTTTGAAATGATCCAGGAGAACCATTACAACAGCGGTGTTATTCATATCTTCTGCCCATGATAGCGGCGTGCTCCCCTGTTCATCGTAGGAGTTGGGGTCGACTCCCTCAGCAGCGAGCAACAGCTTAACCACGTCTGCATACCCACCATGCGCAGCCAATGCCAACGGTGTGAGTCCTTGGCGGTCTTTAGGATCTGGATCAACATCGGTGGCAAGAAGCACCTTGACCGCTGCCACATTTCCTTTTTTGGCAGCAAATGATAAAGCCGTCTGGTCGTTGCCAAAGTTCGGCCAATCTGGCTCAAATTCGTCTCTAGCAATGATCGACTTGACAACGGCATCACCCGCACGTTCCATTGCATGCGTGAGCGGCGTATAGCCGTTGCGATCTTTGCTGCTTGCATTGAAACCTGGTATGGAGAGTGGTAATCTGACCGCTCCCTCATGGTTTTTGGCAACCGCCCATGCCAGTGGCGACATCTCCGCATTATCGAGGATTTCTGGATCGACCTCTTCCACAGCAAGCAGTAGTTTCATTATACCGACATGTCCGTTCTGTGCCGCTAGCGCAAGCGGTGTGAGGCCTCGGTAGCCCCTGCAGTGCGGATCGATACCGTCTTGAGCGAGAAGCAGCGCGAGAAGTCCCTCATGGCCCTGCGCAGCGGCTTGCATCAGCGGTATTCGGCGGTAAGTGTCCTCGTAGTCCGGATTGACATCGGCTGTAGTCAGAAGGATTTTAGCCACCGCCTCATGACCGTCATATGCCGCCAGATGCAATGGTGTTTGACCAAGTCTGTCCCTGGCCATAGGATTGGCGCCTGCTTGCAGCGCTTTTTGAAAAGTAGTCTCTCTCCCGTGTTTTGCAGCCCAGAATAACGCCGTGCTTAGAGGTCGTTTCGCATCGACTTGATAAAGGTGGGGGAATGAGGAGATTGCATATTGCGGTTGTTGTTTGAGCGAAAGCATATATATCTGCGTGTGACTTGAGATTGCCTGCTACCAGCAGTAGTAGCTCGTTGGATAGATCTGGCAACATTGTTTCGAATTTGTGTGTGACCTGTATGAGTTAGACGTGAACAGGTGTGAACAGACGTGGACACGCGACGCGATTTCCCGTGATGTTCCTAACTTTTGCCTGAGGCTCCCAGAATGGGATGTACAATATCAAATCCTGGTAGTGTTGAAATGTATGTTGTACATAAGTCCTCTACACCATACAAATATGTGGCGCAATTCGGGCTCTTCTTCTGTGCTAGTTCAAGTAACTAGGGGCTTAGCGTGGGATTGATGCATAGTGGCACATAATGACGCATGTTGACTCATGAACTCAGAAAGATAAAATGGATGAGATTGGTCTAGAAGCAATAGGCACCGAATGTATTTTACGTGAATATACAACATGACCATTATCGAATCTACAAGGCTGCGACCAGCCCACCAACTCACACCGACATCAACCCCCCTATCCATCCTCGACGCAACAGTCGCGCGCTTCTCTTCAACAGGAGGAATTTGGATTTTCGATCAGCCTATAGACTTGGATCAAAATACCCTGATCGATAATCTACGAATTTCCTTCATTGAAACTCTATCAAAATTCCCTCAATGGGCAGGCCAACTCCAATGGGCACCCGTCAACCCCCAAGGACCCCACACAGAGCGTTTCAATCGTCCATTGATTGTATACGGGACCGATACCGACCCGGGTGTTGAATGGACAGTAATGACGCACCCCCTCCGGGCAGATGAAATTGTTCCCACGGCGGAGGAAAGGGCTTCATCGACCACCGGTTCTCAGCCCGGAGCATGGGCAGGCGATGACTTCAACCAAAGTCTCTTCGTATCATCCAACCCACTGGCATTGGCCAATCTGCGCGACTATGTCGGTCTGCCAGGCATGCAGGTCCAAATCAGTCTTCTCCAGGAAGGAGGCTACGTCATCGGAATCAAACTCGCGCACAGTCTAGCGGACGCACAGTCTCTAATGGTATTCGTGCATCTATGGGCATACAACAGCAAAAAGCGATTCGGAAACCACCCCGAATCCCCGCTAATGGGTGAGCCCGTATTCGATCCCGCGTTGCTGGACAGCTGCGCCGCGGGCGATATCGATAGCGCCGAGCCAGATCAAACCCTCGTGAACACAGCGCGCAAACTGCCCTTGCATCGGTATAGTTGGTGGGATTACACCGACGAGGGCTACCCGTCATTTCTAATACCGATGACAGAGAACTCAAAGCCGCCGCTCGCAGAAATCGACAAAGGAGTTTCGCCCTCAGAACCAGCGCCCTGGCTTTCATGGGATTTTTCCAAAGCAGTCAAATACACACAGTTACACTTCACAGGCGCAGAGCTAAGAGAATTCCAAGCTGTGGCCCTCGATACCCCAGGGAGTCGACGTGATATCTCTCGACTGGACGCTCTACTCGCACACCTGTGGGTAGCCATTACGCGAGCACGGGGGTACGCCGACTCTTCAAGACCCGTATATATGGATTTAAGCCTCGGCGTACGACCACGTGTCTCGCCCGCTCTCCCTGATACCTTCATCGGATCGCCGCTGTTCCTAACTCATGTCGGTGGACCCGCTTCCTCGATATGTCGGGAAATATTAGGCGAGACAGCGAGTCGGATCCGAGAGACGATGAAGGGATTTACGGCCGATGCTGTGGGTGCGATGCTGCATGATGCTGCGCATGAGGTGTCGCCACAGCGGCTGTGGCAGGCGTTCTTGGGGTCTGAGCACACGCTTGTTACCTCGTGGTTGCGGCTGCAGTTATATGAGGTGGACTTTGTGGGCGGGACTAAGCCACGTTATGTGCATGCAATTATGCCTAAGATGGATGGGTGTGTTCAGGTGATGGATAGTGGTGTTCAGGATGGGGGGATGGATGTTGCACTTTATCTTGATGAGGTAGCTACGGGGCGGTTGCTTGACCGTTCTCGAGTTTGAATGAACGCATCTATAATGTTCATTTTAGTGGACCACGGCAGTCTCTAACCGCTAGTGCGCCATAACGGATTTTGCCTGTAAATTACTGTCTAATACTAGTATTTTCTACATCTGGATACACTAATGTCACACTAATTCTCTTTATAAGTTCAAAATCTGATTCCAATTCCCGATAATCGAATTATTGATGATTAAATTCTCTATGCTCTGATTAGCGATGCCTCATTTCTTAATACCCGAATTCTCGAAAGACTGAATTATATATAGAATAGGAAACCGACGGTGAGCCAGGCTAAAATTTACTATGGGAAAATCTGTTATGGCGCACTGGCGGTTGGAGATTGCCGCTGCCGTATAGTGAACTGAAAGTAGCTATATTATATTCACTGAGCCAGAACTCCCAAATGCAAATAGTACATATTCAAACTTTGTACAGAATAATTAAAGATAGATATGGAGAGTAGCAATACCTAAGCACTCATTGAAAGCGCCCGATGCCGTGATGTCCGTTTCCGACAATCGGCATCTCGACTCTTGCGCCCCATTCGGCCAAGAGACAAGCTTTCAAGAGTCTCGGGCTTACCACCCCAGAGCTTAGTTTTACCATTCCGCCTTTGCTGAATTGGTGGAATCCAGAAATGCGTGACTACCGCGCCAAGAACCATGCAGGCGCTGAAAACAAGGAGCACAATGCCGTGCTTGCGGGTTGATTCGTTGCCTGGCCCTGAGCCAAAGTGGTAGTATGCCGAGAAGATTTGTACAAGGATAGAGCCCAGTTTTCCCGCCCCAGCGCTGATGCCGTGGCATGTTGCGCGGTATCGGGTCGGAAAGATCTCGGCGGGGATCATATAGGTTGTTGCATTGGGGCCTGTGGGTAGTTGGTTAGAATGACTTGATGCGTTTTGTCCTGGGTTCGACTCACCAAAGTTGAACATGATTTGCCCAACAATATACAATGCCACCACAGCAGGAGGGCCGGAATAAAGACTGACGAACATGGTTCCCAGCGCGATAAACAGAGCTGCCAGGGCAAGGAACATGTACTTCTGCAATGCAACACGATCCAGTTTATGGGCAAAGATAATGAGCAGTATGCCACCGACGAAACTTCCGATATTGAGCACAATCAGCCCGCGCACAGAGGTATCCATGAACATTTGGAAGATATTGGCATTCGGTGTATCGTCGGTCATCCAGGTCGGTGCTGCCTCCGAGATATGAAGTGCGCCCCACGTCTTAGCTAAGAACTGAGGGCTCGACAATCCAATACCGTAGAAGCCAAAATCAAGGAGGAGCCATGCGAGAGAGCAACCAGCCAAGCTGCGCCAGTTCCCTTCTGTCCAGAAGTACCGCACGATGTCGGTACGTGCCAACCGCCAGTGAGAGTTGAGGGTAGGCGGGGGTAAGTGGGTGTACTCATCATCGTCATCATTATCAGTGATTGAACTGCTAGCAATGGATGAAATTGGAGGTAGTTGAATCGCGCCACCGGCACTGCATGTAGCGGTGTTTCCCCAGCTCACAGAATCAAGCATACCGGGCGTATCACTGAAAAGCGTCGTTGCATCAAACTCCGCAGTGATGGGATCGTCCACGATATCGACTAGGTAGCGAGGGCTCTCTGGGATGGCGAACCGGAAAAGAGTAGCGACTGCACCGGGCACGACTCCAATGGCGATCACCCAGCGCCACATTATATCAACAGTGCGGGTGATGTCTTCACCGGGACTGCTATTACCCCGAGCCACCGCGATCACAATCAGTGCGACAATGTTACCTGCGATCTGACCGAGTGGCTGCATAAAGAAGACGGTGGCCATCATGCGGGCTCGATGCTTGGTAGGGGCAAATCTGACATTTCAAGGTTAGTCTCTCCCACGATTGAAGATCTCAAGATCGATCGACCTACTCCGACGTGATCACTGCGCTGAGTGGATAATCCGCACCCACTCCGATACCGACACAGATTCTCCACCAAATAAGCCATGCATAGACATTCATGCTGCCGTCCACGCCTGTCGAGGACATGACCACCCCCAGGGTGGCTGTAATGAGGAGGACCAATTCAACACCGTACATCTTCTTCCGCCCATTCTTATCGGCCAAAAATCCAAATGCTACCTGCCCCAGCAGGGTTCCACCAAGTGTTGCGATATTGATGCATGTGAGTCGTAATGAGGAAGTGTCGTCTCTCCAGTAGACATAGGAGATCATCGGTAGGGCCATGTTACTGGCAAATAACTATTTCCAGTATTAGCAATTGCCGTATATGCGTCGAGTACAAAGTTTCAATATGTTGCACCTGGAGCGTGGGCTAACGCACTGTGTAACCATCGAGGAAGAAGCCAAGACCGGCGACCAGCACGACAATCCATTGGAAGCCCTGCCGGTCGACAGTCTCATAGATCTGTCGCATGCGCACATATCGATCCTGCAATTGAACTGTTAACAATCTTGCATGCCATGCTTCTCGGGAACTTCATACCTGCTCGTGGTCAAAATCCCGCGCACGGTCGGTTTTATACAACCGGGCATGGAACTTGCCCATAGTGAATATTATAACGTTGAAAGATGAAAATTTGAATGTTCTACATTTTGTAGAATATCAGAAGAGGTACCATAGGTAATAGATTAGAGGGGCAACCTTGGAATAAACCTTGTAACTGAAGGTTACAATGTCCGTGATCTCTGCACGCGCTAATGCGGGACTAAGCGGCCGAGCGAGCCAAAGCTTTGGCGTTGTTGACTCCACGTGCGGCGTCTGCTGTGCTTGACTTGTCGACATCCCTATGACCCACGAGCCACGAGCAGCCCACGAGGGTTAATTGTCCGTTTATAAGACATCTGGAACCTTGGGAAATTATATTTTTTCTTAATTTTATGGCTCTACCAATGAGCCATTTTATTTCTAATTAATCAGCCCATTTCTAAGTTTGAATCAATTGATTTCACGTGGGACACAATTCTATGCCTCAAAAGTAACGCCCGGGTATATTGGTATTATGTGCATGATATCTAGCCCCCGATTTGTCCATATTAACTCCATGCAAGATTCATAAGATAATTGATTATATCTGTCCACCCTGGTGAACTATTCACCCAATAGTCAGGTCGTATGATAACATCTGACAAAATGCTGCGCAGTCTAGAAAAGGAATAAGCGATAGTCCACGGAGAGACTCAAGTGTGCACTGACCAGCATCGTCAAGAAACTGGATCGTAAAATTTCTCATTTGAGATAGAATATCGAAGTTCGGATTTAGATCAATCATGGCCGGCCGGCCGGCCTTCTTCGGAGGTTTAATTGCCGCAATACAGTTTACTAGCCAAGCTATTAGCAACGTCACCGTGACAGGGGAATATGGGCCCGGATAGAAATGAACTCACAGGGGATGGAAACGTATCGTTTGAGCTCCCTCCGTTGCGAGTTGGCAAAGTACAACATCACACGTTTCCCGTTATATCCACGGAGGATGCGAAGATTTTGGCTGATGCACTCTTCACCTCGGCCTTTGGACTTGGCCTCGGCCATTCCGCCGATAAACACCAACTTGGAGCCGAGCAGGAGTTCTTGGAATCGTACACAATCTGCGAGTGTCAGCGAATGTTTACTTCCCAAGGTTCATTCGGTCGCGTACCATCCCAGTGATCAAATTTATATGATAGCTGCGTCATAAATATCGTGTTTGCCGTTTGGACCGTTTGCTGATCCATAAAGGACACGCGAAGAGGGTAATCGTCGCCTGATTTGGGGTGCTCTAGGTGAGGAACTGGCAGTTTTGTATTGGAGACTATACATGATTTGAATGATCAGCATGTTATCTGGAGATATGGGAGACAACTCACAGGCGTGGACAAAAGGTGTTTGCTGGCCTAGTCCTCCCCCGAGTTCGAGACATCTCAATGCGCCCGTTGAGTCCTTGCAGATATCAATGAATTTGTATTTCAGCTTGAATAGCTGGCCATTTTTGACAAAGGAACTATTAACAAGTCAGCGCATTCTTGCCTAGAGGAAGCTTTCTCGGAACAGACATTTGCACGGAAGGAGTCAGCTCGAGCCGCACGACATCATCGTAGAACTGCCAGGATTGCTTCCTCGAGCTGGACCCTGGAGATGTCGCAGGGCTCGGGAAGAGGATACTCGTTGACGCAGACGACACGGTGGAGGCAGATATGGTGCTTTGACGTCGATCTACCCACTCCTGGAAATCTCGAGGAGAGAAAGAGTTCATTCCGAGTGTTTTATAGAGCTAAGGTGGTGAGGGTACGACGATCGGGCGGATCCCGTCAGAAAAAGATCGGCCAGGAACTGAAGGTGGCATTGATAGAATAAAAGTAAATATACATATGTACTTGAGATAGTATTAAACAGAATATATCGTAAAATAATGTGGGGGGTGGAACGTGCTAAAATGGCTGGCTATCAGATCACCGCAGGTTCCACTCCCATCTTTCCCATGTGGTTTGTCAAATTGGATCTCCAGGGCTGTTTGATGGATTTTATGACCTGAATTTATATGTTTTACGTTTGCTTCTGCCACTCTAGATCTCTGATTTGTTCTCCGACTCACTAGGTACCATGTGTATATTATATACCATATGTACCATATGTAGATTATGTAGGCATTTTATTATTATTTTACAATCCCTTATTGATGAACCATTCTACTGGAACATTGGAAGCTAATTTCATCTTGCCCTTCTGGAATTTATCTAGAAATGGAAATGCCGATCAACATTATAGTTCCGATGGCTGCAGCCCTGGAGACCGATGCGGGTCGCGTAACTCGGCCCATAGCAAAAGCCATGCCAATACCGAGCTTTTACCATATATGAAGGTCACAAAATACTGCAGAAATTGAAAAGACAGCCATGGAGGTAATAGCTCCTTTCACGTCATTATTCGGAACCAAACTTTCAATTTTCCCCTTTTAGCCCTCGAAGGGCCATGGACGATCCCCTACCGGCTGAGCGGCTTTCTGATTATCTTGGCCACTGCTTGATATAGGTTTATATGATGTTTGGTCAATATACACACTGCTGGGACATTAGCTGACATTGTTCCTAGGATTATGATCAGTATTATATTGACCAGAATATTATTAGAATCGGCCTACACAAAATGAAGTGAATGGAATTGGATGGAAGATGGCCATGTTTCCCAGTTGAGGTTGACAGCACCGACTTGATCTCAGAATTGAGTCTGCCCGGGTCAGAGCAAACGAAAGTGACATGATAATGCGTCACATTCCCCTAAATAGCTTGAGAAAAAAAATATCAGGTCTTTGGCAATTGGTTGAGTTTTGCCCATCACTTATGGAAGTAAAATTGTTCGGGGACCTCGTTAGATTGCGTTGAAATTTCTTTTATACCTTTACAAAATGCTCTTAAGATTCATCTCACTTCTCTCTAAGCTATACTCAAATTATGCCTTTGGCTGTCATTAGTATGTGTTAGAGGTATTTCCGAGGTTAGCTTTCCAAGGTTGTTTACCGGAGCTCTTAGTGTATCTAATATACGTAACTTCAGTGACCCGATAATCACACACCTTTACTTTGCGGAGTAGGTACATGGTCAATTCATAGTAGGCTGTGATGCTACATATAAAAGTGAGCTCAACACTAGTCATCAACTCTCCCTTGTCATCACCCCGATACTTCATTCATCAAGCTTCTAACCTGACCAGGCGTCTATCCATGCGTTAAGGAAGCATATCTTTCAATCATCCAACTTATCTTTGACAACTTCTTTACATCTACTCCTACAACTCGCAACATTCTACCCACCCCAACAGTATCCCTTTTAGCATTCAAGCTACATCCATCGAGCGCCGCGATCTCTACTCCGTCATATCCAAGACGAAATCTCCTGAATTGAGGCCAGTACCAAGACTAATTCACGCATAGCTACACTGACTACAGCAAAAATGCTTGTCTCCGACACAGGAGAGCCCGGACCTCCATTTGAGGGCGAGCCCGTTCATTTAAACCCGACTCCAGTTATCGAGGCCCCAGCTCCAGCTCAATTTGGCCTGGGGTACTTTGGTCCTACGTCCGTTGGTCCTGTTTCTTACGGTCCTTTCCTATACAGACCGCCGCCGGTTTACCCCGTTTGGTTTGACCCTTATCCGTCGGGCCCTCCTCCCCCATATGGCCCGCCGATCGTAGATTCGTCGCTTCCTGGCTCTCAATTCTTTGTTCCAGCTCCTTTGAACACTGCTTGTACCAGTCCAAATCCTTTCATGGCATCCTTTTTCCCTGGCAAGCCTGATGATATTCCAGAGAGTGAATCCCGTGAGTGCCTTGTTGCGTATCGCAAATACATGAACTGGCTTCACACGGTGTATTACTCGTCGAATTCACCCAACGCCTTTGTGCAAGCATGGAAACAAGCACTCAAAGAGATGAAGGAGACCTTTGGACGCCCACATATCCCCACAGTCTTCCTCCTCAATCAGTTCCTTGCTGCGGCCAGCGTGAACCCTAACACCATTCCATGGGTCGAGTCGCTCATGTTTGAGAAAGGTTCTCTCCCGGCCTCGATACTCGATGAAGCCTTTGACGATTTCCTGGAGTTTGAGTCACATCGACTGGAAAACCAAACGTCAACCCTGAGTAGTCTAGATACTGCTGTTACAAACATGAAGCAGATTAAAAGTTTTCCCAAGCAATATTGCCCTTTCCATCAGCGTCTGACCAAACATCCCGTTGAGGAATGTTTCCGAAACCCGCAGAACACGAAGCGTAAGAGAAAGTGGAGACGAAAACAGGCACGACTGGCAGCGGCTCTTGAGGCCGAGAAAGAGAGGCTTAGGAGCTCTCAGATGAACTGACTGTCGGAGAGGTAACTGTGCTTTAAACGGTGAGACTTAATTTCTAGTGTGCTTATGAGGAGGCTAAATTTCTTTGTTCTATTGAGTGGAATTCGGGCTCATTCTTTCCTTCTTCGCGTTCACTATTCGCATGTTCTCACAAAGATGTTATGTCCTTGCGCTGCACATGCTTTGAAAAACATCAATGTTCACGTCCAATGGGTGCCTGATGGATCAGGTTGTGAATGGCTACATAACTACAGCCAGGCTCTTACACCCTTTCCCCCCTTGTCTTTTCTGCCTCGTACAGACTGGTGCTATGCCCTTCTTGATATGCGGTTGGAACTCGACATTGATCACCTTCCCCATATCTTTATCTTGTACCAATTCCTTGCTGCTGTCACTGCCGATCCCGAGCCTCACGAGTGGATTGAGTCCCTTGATGTTTCAATGGACAAGCCTGCGGGAGACTTGGTGATGGATGAGGTATACCAGAGCAGGTATACCAGAGCTTTCTCATATCTGAAGCCCGTCGACTCAAATACACTCTGTTGTGGGATTCCAAAAATTCTGGAGCCAGTGTTTCCACCACTGAAGTGGGACTGAAGCATTACTGTCCCCTTCACCACTGCGTAATCACCCATGGGATTCACAATTGCTCGCTCCTCTGAATGAATCTGTGGAAATCAAGACAAACGGCCAGGATAAGTAGGAGAGAAATGACTACGACAAGGAAAATAACAAGGAGATGGATTAGAACAAGCACATGGGTGAGTACACAAAATGATAAGCTTTTTATCTATGAAGATATTGCCTTGCCATTCATTCCCCAATGACATAATTCTAGTTCGTATTGCACATGTTACAATCATCAACCTTCACTGTGCAGCAGCTTGTCAGCATAGAGGAACCATATATGTTGATTCCGTTTCCTTCATTTATCATAACTACCCGTAACGTCTTGGCCCCAGTCCCCCAGCTCTATATGGCTGCAGGAAATCATACCTATACTCTAAGAAACCTGACATAAAATCATATCCATGATTTGCTAGAATTGATTGACTAGTGAATAACAAGACCATGAAACGCCACGATCGAAGAGTTACACTGCATTTCATGAATGGACAACAAACTTCAAGGTGGTTTTTTGCCTTGATGGCCCACGCGTAGCCCATGGGAACGAGGCAAGGGTTGATGCATTTCAACCCAACCACCCCGGTGTAGGATTTGAGATTGATCTAAATACGAGAAGTAAAAAGAAACTGGGGAGGTAGCAAGCTTAAAACAGAGAGATATCATACTTAACTTTAAATTGGACAGTTGCCGCACGTTGGTTGAAAAGCACGATGGTCAACAAATTCCTACGGGCCGATTCATTCCCAGGTGCAAGAATTAAGACGTTTTAATTGCCACCAGAAATCATTATCTCACTTCGAATATTCTAATTTTGGCTTTGGCGTTTGCCCATTCGGTGGGATTTGTTCTGTTCAGCCTTAGATTGAGGCTGAACAAACCGCCTCATTTCTCAGCATTAGTGACGACTCTATTCTAGGGATCGTGGAGAAATATCAGCTAAGCATTGCATTCTATGCAGCCCTATGTTGTAAATGTTGTTCAGTTCAAGAAATATCGTGGACTTATATGTGAGACAGCTACACCGTATGCACCTTCAGCCCTTAAGCTCCCACCAATGAGATGGGGGACAGGTTTGAAATCAAACCTGAGTGAGACCCCAGTCTATTTCTTTATTTCCGTATGCAAGGTGAATTTATAATAATCAAGGGATTTCCACTTTGGTTTCCCGATGGACCTTAGCGTCAGGCGGCTGTCCGGGGCTTACAGGTTTGAGGATGAACTGTATCTGAGACTTGCAGAGACAAGACCAATCACCATATTAGACTCTTTTAGAATCAAGTGTCGTTGCTAGGGCTGTGCATCCAGATTTTGAGTACAACTATATAAATACCCTAGATCGCATCTTGTAACACTCCGTACAATAGAACATTCTATCCCATTTTATCATCTGTTCAATCTATCAAAATGAAGTCCTTCTTCTCCATAGTTCTTTTCGTTGCCGTGGCCATTGCTCAGAGAGCTGCGATCGGACTCCCCGCCGAGGATCAGAGAATCAATTCCGGCAAGGAAGTCGTCGTCCAAGTACAGCGCCCTGTAAGTCCCAGAGTCCGAGCTACGTATTCAAACTTCGTCACCGCAATCTGTCTTACTAATATATTCTTCAGAACTCTCTGAGTCCGTCTAAGGAGATGGGCATAGCAATCGGACTCTCCTCATGTAAATCCTCGCCTTGTAGAGAGGCAGACGAGGTTCTTGGAACAGTTCTATACAACGGGCCTTTCAACCCGCAGTACCACGAGTCTAGCCTGCCCCCGTATGAGAACTTCACGGTCACTATGCCGACCTCGGCTACTCTTGGCAGAAGCCAGATTAATGTCGCTCATGCAGCTCTGATTGGTGTAAGTAGAATTCTTACATTTGCTGGAATTCAAGTAAGCTGATTGTTGAATTACAGGCTGGTCCTTCTGCATTCTTGGAGTCTCTCAACCAGACTGTCTTCATTGTCTAGATTGGTGACAGATCCAGAACCTGAAGTCGGCTTTGTGCTTGCTTCGTATATTTGCTTTTTCGTTCTTGTTGTAAATCGCTCCATGTTGTGAAACTTCTATAATTTGTGCATGTGCCATGAGATAAATTTGTTGATAGATATTTGGATATTGTGCTCAGTCTAGCAGATTTAATCCTGTTTATATTTAGATATTTTCAATAATAGATATTTTGTTAAAGATATGAAGTGCTCTTTGGAATTCATGGAGATATAGGAATCGCGGAGTGCATAGTGGATTTACCACCGTTAAGCATATAGCATCAGCCTCATTTATAACCGAGACTCTGATAGAATTATTTAAGATTAATGTATTATGCACAGAGTACGAAGAACGGAACTACTATCTCGGAGGGAAAGTTGGACTGTGAAATGGAGATTTTCTGAGTTTCTTTGTTCCATTTTCCCCTTCAGTCTCTTATTGAACTCTTCGCTGAGACAGGAAATTATTGGTTTATTTCTTCCGAGTCTTATTGATATCTCTATCGGGCCATCTATAGACCTCGCCCGTTCATATACTCTTTGTCCCGACTTCGACGTGAATAAGACTACAATCTCAATAAGCGTCATGGGCAACTACTGGAATTCTCCCCCAGAAAGGAGATCTCTCTCTACGATCCCACAGAAAGTTCCCACGTCGTTACTCGTTATTCTGTCACGATGGACAAACCTTTCTCTCGCGACTACCACCCGGTCCCCAAAGCAGATACTGATGGGGACAGCGATGCCACCATCACAAACAGACCTCCCCGCCGGGGCTTGCAGCAATTTTTGAAGCGAAATCTCGCCGCAATCACCATCACTGGTCTACTCATGGTCCTGTTGCTCCTGTTGATGGCCGTAATCACAGCCATCGCCGTGGAACCCTTCCGCAAAGTCCTTGTCGTAAAAGGACCATCCTCTGACTCTCTCGCATACCCCGAGTCACTTGAAGGCAAACGACAGTGCCTGACACCAGCTCCAAGAGTGAGATATTCGTGCGGTAACTCAACCAAGGAAGCTGAAGCTCTCGGCTGCGCCTACGATCCTCTTGCTGGCTGCTGGCTGCACAAAGAATGTCCACATGACTTCACGCACGAGTTCGCGCATTTCAACGACGGCAAACCGTTTGTCTATTTCTATGATGAGGCTGCCACACAGCAGATGAAAGACTACACTGAACTCGGTAACAACCCGGACTTCTATTGGACTGCTGTCCGTGAGCATCTAGTCCATTGTCTATATCTTCTTCGACGAGGACACGATGTCCACATGCGTGGTGCTCGTTTGGATAATATGCTTGGGGATCTGGAGCATGTTGATCACTGTACCAACATGCTGGCTAATTGGCTGCGGAGACCGGATCCCGCGTTGGAAGAGATAGGGACGCAGGGACAGACTCATTGCTTTATGTCTTGTGCTTGATTCTTGGGTGTATAATTATAGTCCTGGGTCTTCGAATTGAGGAGGTATAGGGGCCAATAACTCCTTTCTTAGACAGTTGTTTTATCTAAATATAGATTGACCGCGGTTTTCCGAAATTTCCCACTATTCTGTTATAGATTCTCTTAATTTAACATATACTCAAACTCCAATAGTACCCGAGGGTAAAAACAGGTAAAAAGCAGCTATAGAACCATGGAAGGAAAAGTGTCCATGTTTCTAATCTCCGACTCCGAGCTACTATGTCCGCAACCCCGGAAACAGCTTCTACCTTCTACAAAAGCCCTCAATATATTTCCAAATCTCTTACCAAAAAGCAATCCCATAATGGCTCCCAAACGTGTCGCGATAGTCACCAGCAGCACCCGCAGCCCCCGCCTCAACCCCACGATAACGCAGTATGTCTATGACGTCCTCACCTCCGACCCGACAATTCCAACAAACCACAACGGAACAACCGACACAGATCCTCGCCACATAACCTTCGAAATCCTCGACCTAGCAAAGCAATCCCTACCCCTCTACGACGAATCTGTCATCCCCGCCAGCCTACCAGCAGCAGACCCCACTCCGCACTACAGTAAAGCGCACACGCGGGCGTGGTCCGCGGTAGTGCGGCAGTACGATGCCTTTATCTTCGTCACGCCGCAGTATAACTGGAGTATCCCGGCGAGTTTGAAGAACGCGCTTGACTATCTCTTCTTTGAGTGGAAGGGGAAGCCGGCGGGGATTGTTTCGTATGGAGGGCGGGGTGGAGGGAAGGCGGCGGATCATCTGCGTGGTATTTTGACGGGTTTGCGGATGAGGGTTGTTGGTACTGCGCCTGCATTGCCGGTTAAGTTTACTGGGTTGCCTGTTGGGGTGGTACCGGAGGTGGAAGAGATGGTGCAGTTGGATGAGAGGGATCTTGTCGGGTGGAGGGAGGCTGGGTTTGAAGGGATGATGCGGAATTTGGGAATGGAATTGGTTTGTGAATTGGATAAGGAATGATTTTTTCTTTGTGTTATATAGAGAATAATGTACAGATGCAGAATCCTAAGATTGTATGTATTAATATTCATGTTTTATGTACCTTGATATGCTATATGCTATATGATGTGTAGAGATTATGTACTAATTTTTTTCAAAACATCAATCATCTCAGTCAGTGCTGAGGATGTCCTCGCGCGTGATCCCACTGCGTTCACACATGGCACGGAAGATGCCATCTGCCTTATCCCATAGCACAGCCGGTGCATCCATCTCAGCAATCCGACCCTTATCCATAACGCAGATGCGATCGTAGTGGATAATCGTGCGCAAGCGATGTGCAATACACAACAAAGTCTTCCCTTCGAAGCCCTGAGTCATAGTGTGCTGGATCTTCTGATCTGTCTCGAAGTCAACGGAAGAGGTAGCTTCGTCGCAGACAATGATACGTGCATCGCGGACCAGCGCCCGAGCAAGAGCCATCAGTTGCCGCTGGCCTAGAGAAAAGTTCAGGCCCTCATCATCGACAGGCGATTCAAGGGTGAGCTTGTTTATTGGGCGCGCTTTGACGTCACTGCCTGAGACTGGAGTTGTGGATCCGGTGGCTGGCCCGCTTTGCAGTTCCTCCCCTTCGAGTTCTTGCTCTTGGCCGATGAGGTAGGCCCTGCGCAGTGCAGACCATAGTTCGAGGTCATTGTGTTCGTTGAACGGATCAATATTCGAGCGGATCGTGCCCTTGAATAAGGCTGGGTCTTGGGGGATGATGGCAAGGCGGGAGCGAAGGTCATGGAGGCCGACGGTGGAAATGTCGATGTCGTCAATCTTGATGCTACCCCCTGATAGCTCGGTTAAACGGAATAGTGCGGACATGATACTGGATTTGCCAGCACCGGTGCGCCCGACAATACCAATGCGCTCGCCTCCTCGGACGTCCATGGTGAGGCCCTGCAGGACGAGTGGAAGCCCAGCCCGATAGCGCATCTCCACACTGCTGAACTCAATGTGACCTTTCTCGGGCCAGCTAGCTGGTACCTCAGCCTGGTGCAAAGGCGCCTCCTCTTCTAATTGAGTACCGTAGTAGTGAACACGTTCTGTAGCGTTCATGTTGTTTTCAACCTCGGCCAGCTGACGAACCGTGAACTGGAGCATCTGTGCGATAGACAGGATATAAGATAGTACCAATCCAGAAATACTGGGAGAGACATTGAACCGAGAAGTGACGACTAGAACACCGACCACGAAAACCATTACGGTCGCCACGGCATCGAGTCGGACACTGAGCCAACGCTGATTGGAGAAAGTGAGGAAATAGGCCCCGTTCATCACATCGATCGAGTCTCGGATAGTGCGGCGGAATTGGTTCTCTACGCCATATGCTCGAATGCATGCAGTGCCGGTGATGGCTTCGCCAAACTTGGCATACACCATTGAGCGCAAGACGGCCTCGTGGCGCTTCATCTCGCGAGCGGATGCTCTGTAATAGTTCGAAGCTAGAAGGAACAGTATAACCAGTGGGACAAGTGCGATGACAAACTGAAGGGGGTTAGCTCCCAATATGAAAACCAAAGAAACCCCAAGGGAAAGAGCACTCACATAATAGAAGAACACGATGACCAAGACCATGACAGAGATAATCATAGTCATCGTCAGGGCGTAGATACGCATTGCGTCCGAGAGTTCATTGTCCATCACCTGGATATCCTTCGAGAAGCGGTTGGTGATTCGTCCAAGCGGCGTAGTATCGAAGAAACTCATAGGCGCTCGGAGCACACGAGACATCGCACGCTGAAGCATAGTCCTGCTAGAATTCGTACCGCAGGTGGTCATATAAGTCGAGAAAGTGAACATCAGGAGAACAACACCGCCACCCAGGCCAGCATAAATTCCAATATATTGGCCAGTCGACAGCCCCGGGTACTTGTTAGAGGTCCAGTAGGACAGCCACAGACTAGTCCAGATGTTGGCGACATTCGTAATGGCGAGCAAGATGATTACCACAATGGCATTGAGATAACTGCCGGAGGCTCGGATATATGCCTTCCAGACACTCCAACCGACGGAAGCGGTAGCCTTTTCTTCTTGCTGCATCAGGGCTCCGGCGGGTTTTGCTGGGGCGGCCTTCTTGGGGCTTGGCTCCTTTTCATCTATTTCATCCACGACTTCGCCGACCGCCTCTTCCTCTTCCTCTTGCATATCCTCCTGTCGAGAAGTAGACATCAACCGCTTGAAAACCTCGTTGTCGCGTATCAGGTTGTCGAATGTATCAATCGCATCGATCCGTCCCTCGTCCATGACAATAATTCGATCACATCGGCTGAGAACATGGAGTTGATGCGTCGCCAAGATTCGGCAGCGATCTTTGAGCAAACCACAGATTGCCTTGTCCATGATGTGACGACCGACATGTGCATCGACAGCTGACAAAGGATCATCCATGAGCACCATTTCCGCATTGAAATATATGGCTCGAGCGATATTCAGACGCTGTTTCTGTCCACCAGACACTGTGATACCTCGTTCTCCGATCTCGGTCTGGTCTCCATTCGGTAGGATCTCAAGATCTGGGGTCAGAGCGCATGCCTCAAGCACTTTCTCATACCAAGTCTCATCATACTCCTTCCCAAATAAAATATTGTTACGCACGGTGGTGTTTTGGATCCAGGCGTACTGGGGACAGAATGCACGCGAGGTGCTCAGACGTACAGTACCATCAGTCACACGCATATCTCCCGCCAGAGCCGAGAGTAAGGAACTCTTGCCACAACCGACTGTTCCAATAACGGCTAGCAGTTCATGTCGGCCAACTTCAAAGGTCATGTCTTTTAGTTTAAATGGCTCCGTGGGAGTCTTATCGGCGTTATCGTCCTTAGTCGTTGACTTCTCTGTTGGCCCAGGGAGTGCAGCTGCCTTCTTCTCTGCTTTTGCTGCGTCCTTTTCGTTTGTCGGAAGGCGTTCCCAGGTAAACGAAGCATGCTCCATCTCGATTGCATTTTCCATGTTTTCATCCCGCTCGATATCTTCCTTTTGTTCTTCGGCGACCAAGAACTCCTGGATTCGACTGAAAGCAGTCCAAGCATCGGTCACCTGGCCGATAACCATGGGCAGCATGTTCAACGGCATCCGCAGGGAATTGAACAACGCCAACGAAGAGAAAATCGGCGCAGGGTCCAAGTCATGATTTGATAGCGCATAGGTAACGAAAGCCAGCATCGAGGCGAAAACGGGAATAGACATCGCCACACAAAGAATGCCATTTCGGATGGCAAGCAAGGTCTGGATGGATCGAATTTCTCGTCCACGGATCTCTTTCAGACGGCCGAGGAAACTGCTTTCCCAACCGAAGTACTTGACGAAGCGCACAGCTTGCAGAATTTCCTGGGTGAGAGACACACGCTGGTCTGTAATCGTGTTGATATTCTTCCGTCGGTTGATCAAGGATCGCACAGCGAAAGTCAAAAAAGGTATTCCGATTACCAGCAGTGCGTACCCAGACAAGCAACTGTAACCAATGTTGATCAAGAGAAGGACGAGTGTCACTATGATGGAGATGGGCGCTGTCCAAATCATATGGAACATGCCACAAGCCAGGTTAATTCGGTCCACGTCAATGCTCATGAGAGCAGTGATACGACCATTGTTCCATCCGCGGCCGTCGCCTGCAACGCCACCAGGTGCAGGCAGCGCAGCATCGGGCTTCTGCTGCTTCCCTTTCTCTTCGGGCTTTAAGAGAGCCTCTTTAGTTGCCTCCAGGGCTTTGACTTCTTCTGGGGAAGCCTGCCCTCCTGCCTTAGCACGGCCAGATAAACTCATAGCCTTGTTGAAGATGTGAGAAATAAGCACTGCTCGAATCTGCCCACCGACCACTTGACCCCGATACAGGAACTGATTCGTGCATAAGCTCTGCAGTGCCTGCATACAGGTGATACCAACGACGAAACCCATGCCCTTGCCGATATGAGGCGCTGGCTGGCCAGCCTTTTGTGCGACCCAAGCCTCCGTCGCGAAAGATATCAGGTACCGAGTCAAATACGGCGCAAAGACCAGCAATAGCGAACTGAAAAACTGACAGATGCCGCCAAGTAGAAATTCAAATCTGAACGTGTCGTACAACGCCCAGACAAGCGGGTGGTTAATGCCGCTCTCGGTGCGCTTTTCCAATGCGGCATCTAATCGACCGGACAATACGTCAACGGTCCGGTCGGGATTGACAGTCCAAATATCCTGCAATTCGAGTGGACGTAGATAACCAACTTTCATCAATGGGGCCATCCATTGGAAAGAAATCACACTGAAAAATGAAGCGCCATGTTCACGCGACACAGATCGCTCTGTTGGTACAGGAGGTATCTTTCGCATTCGCAGTGGATTAAGTCTGCGATACCATTTTTTCTTTGGAGGCTGCACGTCCAAATCTGAGGTCTTGGCTTCGGATGATCTCGAGGTATTGGTCTCGAGTTTATCATCCACCACTACTTCACGTAGCGGTTCGGGCGCGGACATGGCGCAGGAGTATATATTGTATCCAAACTAGCCAGAAATTTGAAAAAAAAAGAAGAAATCTAGGCGTAATAGAATGGATGTAGGGAGATGAACGCGGAAAGCGGAGATAACGGATCGGGGATTAGGGAGGAGACAGGATTTAATTGACTATATGGAGTAAAAACGGACTCACGGAAGCCGCTTTATATGTATCCACCTAGCTGGGCTAAGCTTCACAGGCTCGGACTTGAGTCTGTCAAAAAAATTCAAAAGTCGGAGATAAATCTAAAAAAGGACATTCGCTTATGGCTTAGAATTTCATCTAAGAACCCTGTATAGTCTAGTCGGCAATCGGCATCACGGGCTTCGTGATTCCGTTCGCCGACATTTTGGATTAGTAATGTTTATATGGGCCCCCAAGTAGAGGAGCGAGTGAGGATAGAGGGGCTTTATTATTGATACCCGAGGTACCTTGACTTCCAATACCAAATTGTTATGATCTATTCTTTGCTATGACATACAAGTTTTGACCTCGAAGAAAAGAAAAAAAAAAGTAAAGGCATTCCATCATCACATCGTGGGATAACAAGCAGATCTAAGACAGTTGGATGCTAGGGACATTCCGGTCGTCTCAACTTGTGTCCAATGGGGATCTCAAGCCAGCCCGAACCCGGAGGATATCAGGTGATATTGCATGGCTTATTGCAGATGGATCCCCCACGCGGCTTCTGGGGTTGCGGCTGCGATATGTGGACCTAAGGAAGTCCCGCTCTTCATAGTTGCATCTAGTTCTCAAGATCAATCTTGACCTTCTTCTCCGGGGGAGGGATAACCTGGTCCTCGGATGCGCCCTTGAGGTTGGGGAGGTCTGTCACGGCCTCCTTGATGATATCAAGAGCCTTTTGGATCTCCTCCTCCGTGATGACCAGCGGAGGAGCAAGGCGAATGATGTTCTGGTGGGTGGGTTTGGCCTAGAGAATATAAGAGTCAGCGACCTCCGAGACAAACTTAGGGAGTAGGGACTCGGATACATACGAGCAAACCCTTCTCCTTCATCAACATGCACAAATCCCAAGCGGTATGTCCATTTGTCTTTGACTCATCAATAACGATGGCATTGAGCAGGCCCTTTCCACGCACTGTTTGGATAAGCGGGCTCTTGATAGCCAACAGCCCATCCCGGAACAAGTGGCCGAGCTTCTCCGCACGCTCAACCATGTGCTCCTCGCGCACGACTTCGAGCGCGCGAATAGCAACGGCACAGCCAAGTGGGTTTCCGCCGTAGGTCGAACCATGGGTACCAGGCTCGACCGTGAGCATGACGTCCTTGCTACCCAGCACGCAAGAAACCGGGTACATACCACCCGAAATAGCCTTGCCAAGTAAGACAAGATCGGGCTTGATTCCGCTCCACTCGTGGCATAGCAGCTTACCCGTGCGCGCGATACCGGTCTGGATCTCATCGCAGATCAGCAACACATTGTGCTTGTCGCAAAGTGCCCGGGCCTCCTGCAGGTAGTCTGGGTCGGGAACAACAATGCCTGCCTCACCCTGGATAGGCTCGACGAGGAAAGCGGCCAGGTTGGGACCGGCTGCCTCGAACGCCTCGCGCAGAGCTGCCTTATCATTGTAGGCGATGGGCTTGTCGGTTCCTGGGATCGTGCATCCGATACCGGGCAGATAAGGGCCGTAGTGCTCGCGTGACTCGGGGTCGGAAGATAGGGAAATGGCGGCGAACTAATGCAAGGGTCAGAATCAGCCACTGATGTACCTCCATGGGTGTAACAAAGAGGGGTCACAATCCACTTACTGTACGTCCATGGAAGTTATTCTCTGCACTCAAGATAACGGCTTTATTTTCCGGAATGCCCTTGACCTTGTATCCCCATTTACGGGCAATTTTGATACCTGTCTCGACAGCCTCGGCGCCGGTGTTCATGGGCATCACCATGTCAAAGCCAAAGTATTCGGTAACGAACTTGGCAAAGCGAGGGAAAACGTCATTGTAGAACGCACGGGAGCTCAGAGTTACTCGTGAAGCTTGGTCTACCAGTGCAGCAATCAATTTGGGGTGGCAGTGGCCTTGGTTCACAGCGGAGTAGGCAGAGAGGAAGTCAAGGTAATGACGGCCTTCGGGGTCCCAGACCGAAGTACCCTGAGCCCGGGCAAAGACAACAGGGAGAGGGTGGTAATTATGGGCAGCATATTGCTTCTCGGACTCAATAGCCTCTGCAGAAGAGGCAGCATGGTAGTGGGAGAAAGGCCCGGTAGACATGATTGCGGGGAGAGGGGAAAGTTGGAGAGGTAAACGGGGATCGACAATGGGGTAAAGAAGAAGAGAAGAGATATATGAGAAACTTGAAGAAATTCAAAAGCAAAAGAATGGAGAGAAGTTATATAAGTAAGGGGAATTTTCTCCTTTGTACGCTATGCCGTTAAGTGTTAGACTTGAGACCGAATGTCCGCTAAGTACAGGTCGTGCCGATGCTGTTCCCTATGCGCAGGATTACCCTACAGGGCTCCATTAGCTTGGATAACCACGATTTCTGATTCGTTCATTGACTAATATATGCTCTAGGATCATCTTCAGCCTCGTAACTATTGGTCTAATTTAAATAAAAGAGACCGGGGAAGAAATTCACGTCATACTTCGGTTATTGAAGGAGCTGAAAAATAGATTTTCAATCTTGGAAATATATAGAGAAAACAAATACTGCTGAAATGAGTACATACATGTATGTATCAATTATAATGGAAACAATAAGCCAAAAAAAAAAAAAAAAAAGGAGATCAAAGTGTGAAGGAATGCTAGGTCCAATCGAGTAGGTCGAGCCTCGGAGTTGGGGAGGAACATCTTCCGCTTTCTCCTTTGTCCTTTATGCACTTTATGAGGTCAGCCTTTTTGAGCGCCATGTACAAGGGAATGAATGAATATTCTGAATATTCTTAATATTCTTACCCTTAATCATGTCTAAGCCAACTTCTCCGCGCCGCGCGCCTCAAATCCCCCCAACTCAAAACATACTCCTCTTCCTCGTCGCCTTCCGTCTCCTCAATGCGTTTGCAGTTCGGACCTTTTTCCAGCCAGATGAATACTTCCAGTCATTAGAGCCAGCCTGGCAGATCGCGTTCGGTCAGAGCCAAGGCGCCTGGGTGACATGGGTGGGTGAATGCGATCGCGTCAACACATAGCTTTAGCTAACCTCAATATCGCGCTAGGAATGGCGGCACCAACTCCGATCCTCACTACATCCTCTCTTCTTTGCCGCTATCTATAAAGCCGCTGACTTCCTCGCCTCCGCCCTCAGCGTATCTCCCGCCACACGCGCAGAGCTCCTGATTGCCGCTCCAAAGACAGCGCAGGCCGTTGTGGCGGCAATCGGTGATTTCTACACATGGAAGCTCGCAGCTCGCGTCTATGGAAATGATTCCCGTGGATCATGGACAACGGTATGTGATTATATGTCGGGTGCTTGGGATTTCTCTGGGTTGGCAGAAAAGAGCGCATGTTAATTGTTCAACAGTTGGCCGCAACCGTCCTAAATCCCTGGCAATGGTTCTGCTCAACTAGGACGCTGTCAAACTGCCTTGAGACAACAATAACCATTGTCGCGTTGGAACTATGGCCATGGCAATGGTCGGTAGGCTCTACAGCCGGCGAGGGCCGCGACAAAAACACTGGCAATCAAATGAGGGGCACGGACCGGGATCGAAGTGTGATTCTTAGGTATTACTGGACCTCCAACTTTATGACAACAGCCACTGACGCTGCTCGCAGCCTCCACAAATGCCTGCCGCTGGCGGCGCTCGCATGTATACTGCGTCCGACCAACATTATCATTTGGGCAACACTGGCTGGCCTCGCTTGGCTTCGGACCTCTTGGCCCCAGCGCAAAGTCCTCATTTTCGAGGTTATAGTTTGCGGGTAAGCAATACGACCTCCTGATCAGGAACCAGCTGACCTTTTGATCTGATAGATCGGCAATACTCGCGGTGTCTTCCGTTGCGGACCGTCTTTTCTATGGAATTTGGACCTTCCCACCGCTTAGGTTCCTATACTTCAACATCGCGCAGTCACTGGCTGTCTTCTATGGCAGCAATGACTGGCATTACTATGTCTCGCAGGGTTATCCGCTTCTACTCACCACTATGTTGCCTGCTGCTCTTTTTGGTTTATACAGAACCTTAACGACTAGGAATTCCACGGTGGGAAACAGTTTGCAGGCGGCAATCCGAGCGCAGTTGGCGACAGTCTGCCTTGTGATGCCATTCGTCCTCTCTTTGATCTCTCATAAGGAAGTGCGTTTCCTCTATCCATTGCTGCCATGCCTGCACATCTTAGCTGCGCCGCCTTTAGTGCAGTTCTTTTACCCAGCCATCTATTCGCAGGCATACCTGCGTCATACTCCCCGCAGGTTGATTCTCATCTTTCTCGTGCTTGTCAACGTGGCCATTGCACTGTACACATCTCGCTATCATGCATCAGGAACATTGGAGGTTATCTCCTATCTCCGTCAGCAGCACCAAGCACACTCGGCGCCAACAACAAAAAAAAAAACAGAATCCACCTCCGAAACCGGAATCTCTGCTGGCTTTTTGATGCCCTGTCACAGCACACCCTGGCGCTCTCATCTCGTCTACCCGACCATTAAGGCTTGGGCCCTTTCTTGCGAGCCACCCATCGATCTCAATGCAACCCAGAAAGCCGTTTATCGAGACGAAGCAGACCAATTCTACGACGACCCATCCCAATTCCTACGCCAAAACATGGCTGGCGGCCTCCGTCACCTCCCTCGCCGACCCAGCTACATCTCTTCCGCATACTATTCTGTATCAGGCAAAACCCTGAACGCGGCCCCACAGCATGAATGGCCCGACTACCTCATTTTCTTCGCCCAGCTTGAGCCAACCCTCTACACCCTGCTACGCGGCTCCCATTACGGCGAGTGCTATCGCACCTTCAACACCCACTGGCACGACGACTGGCGCCGTCGTGGCGACATCGTAGTCTGGTGCCTGGACACGGCAGAGCAGGACGCCTGGCGCTCCGAGACCCAACGCCAAGTGCAGCAAAGCCGAGATAAACAGTTTGATCGTATCGTGGAAGCATTCAAGAACGAAGGGCGCAAGCAAAAAAAGCAGGGATGGATGGGCTTTCACGTTTCTTCGATTCCTTGGTCCGCATCGCCTCCTTCATTGTTTGCGTCATGGCGACATTCAGTGCAGTCTCTTTTCTCTTCAAAATCATCAATCTATTGGCCTTGGCGTCCCCCCACTCGTTGGGAGGCCTTTGTAGCGAAGTTGTCATTCTGGAAGCGGAAGCCAGGTTGGCTTCCTTTCTGGATATCGGATTGGCTTCCCGGGTTGCCGCCTTGGTTGGGCGGAGCTAAAAGGAGGCCTACAGAAGCAGAGTTGTGGTCCTGAGATCGCCGACTCCTGGCTTCTTTGGTCTCCAGCCATTTTTGGTCATATATGTGGTGCGAGTATTTTTCTTGCCTCTCACGTTTCCTTACTTTTTACATTTTGTGCTTACACTTTGAACATATAGCCCTAGATTTACAGTACGATAATCTGTCTTGATTCACCAGTAATATACTATCAGTTCGGAACTCATCTTTAACAATAAACCACATGTATGCACTGTATTTTGACTCGCTAAACGGAAATCAAAGAAATTCTGCGATGAACAAAGGAAAAATGACGAGGGAATGTGATGAAAAAAAAATTTAAACAAAAATTCAACGAATGGCAAACGGACAATGAAAATGCGCCGGACATGCACAACCATAACACGTCTAGTCAATCTTCTACATCGAGATCAGTATAAAAGTCAAAGTGAAAATCAAAATCAATGTCCATGTCAATATCCATATTCACATTTCTCGGCCATCTATCTACTTATTATCCAAGACCGATGTCATCAAACTCAACCATAGCGAGCACTCAGACTAGCAAATGCATCAGGGCTATGGCGACCATTCTGCAGCCCGCTCACATCAACGCTTGGCTGACTCATGTGTGACCGTTGAAACGCCGAGTTCGTGGGCGGCGGGCCTGAAAAGGGGGACTGGCCTCCAGCAAATGGAGAGCTGTTCGCTCCAGCAAAGGGGGGACTGCTCATTCCCGAAAATGGGGAGTTGTTCGTTCCCAAGGCCGGAGTAGTTCCGGACGCGGTTCCGCCCCCGGGTTGGCCGTTCATGCCCCCAATTCCAAGCCCTGAGGATTGCTGCTGATATGGGTTGATGCCTGCTTGCGCAGCAAGGCCGGATCCGCTTCCTGTGGGGGCGGTGCCAAAGAATGGGTTGTTGGTGGCGGCCTGGGCGTTGGTGGTAGGTTGCTGAGGCTGGAAATTTGTGGCTTGCTGGGCCTGAGGCATGGAGGTGTATGGGTTTGATGGTTGAGAGTAGGGGTTCATCGTGGGGAGTTGGGGCTGCTGCTGTTGTTGTTGCTGCGGTTGTTGGTATTGTTGGTTTTGCTGGGGTTGTTGGTTTTGCTGTTGTTGCTGCGGTTGTTGATGTTGCTGAGGTTGCTCCGGGATGGATGTCATATTAGACTGCACAGGACCCATATTGTACAATGAAAGAATGCTGTTTTTGTCCATTCCAGTGGGCTGGGGCATGAGCTGCTGTGCCTGCTGGAGTTGGTTGGGATAGCCGCCTGCGTTATGTGCTGTGTTCGGCGCCAGCCCTTGCTGGAATGGGTTGTAAGCTCCCGGACCATTTGATTGTTGTTGCTGCTGCTGCTGCTGCTGCTGCTGCTGTTGCGGCTGCTGCTGCTGCTGCTGTTGGAAAGAAGCAGTTGGTCCAAATAACGAGGCGGAGGACATGACCGGCATGGTATTTGCATGGTGAGGGAATCCGGGGCCTCCTGGGTTCGTTCCAAACGGTGTCATTTGCTGCTGTTGCGGCTGCATGGGTTGATTTTGCGGCGCAGTGTTGAAGAAAGGGTTCGTTTGCGGCGAATTGGGGTTGGGATATGTCTGACTGGCCAAGCCACCCTGCGGCTGCGGGGTTGCCTGGTTGAATGGATTGTAGCTGTTGTCCATCGGCTGAGGCGATGTAACATAGGGAGACTGCGAGAATGTCGATGTTATCGGGGGCGTATAGGACTGTTGATATATAGAGTGCTGCATGGAGCTTGTCTGGTTCGGGTATCCACCAGTAGAGTGGGGGAACAAGGGCTGGGAAACCTGCAGGCCCTGGAAAGATGATTCTAAAGGCTGTGTAGATGCCGGCTTCGGGTTTAGCTGATCGAATGGGTTGTACGAAGCGGTCTGCAGTTGCTGGGTTTGCGACTGAGGCACAGGATTTGAGACTGCCCGGTCAAATGGATTGTTGGAAACCTCAGGGAATGTGTTGTCGGTTTTGATGGGGAATGGGTTTTTAGACGTCTCAGGCTTCGAGATTACTATGCGTGCAGATGCAGCAGTGCTGGTCCCGACCGGAGTCCTGGATCTTGATGCAGGGTTGTTGTTCCCCTCGCCCAACCTGACCAGTGTTTCGACCGCTCGATCCAGGTCCTCATGGAGTCCCTTGAGAACCATCTCGTTTCGTCGGTCATTGGTGAATCCCATCTCCTGCAATGCCGCCATTTTAGACTCGAGAGATGCCTTTGTCATATCGGTGACAGGCGCACCAAGCCCTGTCGTCCTCCTAGATGGCAGTGGCGGTGGTGACCAGGCTCTGTCGTCCGAGGTCGGCGAAGTCATCTTGGACTTGCCACCAAATCGACGGAGGTTCGAGGCAGAGGTTGACGACCGTAAACCAAACTTGAAGAATCTTCCAGTCTTGGGCGGAGGTGGAGGAGGAGAACCCTCTGGAGATATGTTATAGTCATTCTTTCTTGACTCCACGGGGGATAGAGCCCTAGGGTTGGAGTAACTCGAATCCTCCCTGCTCGGGGGCTTTGGCTTCCCATTTTCCAACGAGCGGTGCTGATACTTCTGCCGGATAAACCGTTCCATGCATGCATCGGCCTCATCAATGTCGGTGGGGATTGGTGGCCTGATACCCCGTGGGTTGTTCATTTTGTTCATAAGGATGTTACCGTGCGATTTCATGTTCTGATAAAGCCCACTTTGTCAGCTCGCGGCTTTTGCCATTGTGTCCTGGATTGTGCTCACATCAACTTGCTCTGATGTCCAGGTGTCCATGCTTAAAGATTTAATCTTGGAAATATGTGTGCCCAGCTTTCGGTGGAGTGCGGCGCAACGCATGCAAAGGAAGATGCCCATCTGTCGGAGACGAACAGTCAGTTTGTGGATTCGCTCGAAGGTATAGAAAGCAGTGACATACATTCCAGCTTGCCCATCCTATTCAAATAAGAATTAGTGTGGTCAACAATAAGGATGTCTTGGAACGAACCTGGGGTTAAGGCATCGCAATCGGCACATCGGTCATTGCCAGGAACGGTCCGGATCAGCTCCGCCAGGGTCTTTTCATTCCGCGCCTGCTGGCGCTTGCTGATGCCGGTAGGCATGATGCAAAAAAAATAATTACAAGAATAAATAAACAAAAGGAGTGGCAGTAATACAAGAAAGTGGAATAGGGGAAGAATTCTGGTTCCCGGGGCGGAGAAAGGATCGATTGACGTCCGAGGGGCAGATCATTCCAATTGAGACATACATGTACACTATTGAAGTATAGTACTCTGTAGAGTCAAGATGTGAAGAATTTAGTTCAAGTATTCTAATGGTTGAGTTGGATTGAGTTAACAAGCTCATTCTGCTACATAGTATATCGTTCATTCCGTGTTTCTTTCAGCATAGCTGTCTCTATAGGTTCTTCTAGAACAGTTCTAAAAAGTCTTAAGGCATTTATAGCCGAGCCTAGGCTCATACGGTGTTCGTCCGAAAGTCAACAGATTGTGTATATTAATAATACTAAAAAAAATTTAAATGGCATGTCCGGACAGCAATGACTCGCATCTACCAATGCGCCTAAAGGCCGAAGCCTTTTCGGAGCCGTCGAGAAGTCATAATGTTACCCAATATCTTCTAGTACGCCAATATGACCAACCATCCTATGAACGAGGAATTGGCGGTTGATTATGCGTTCGAATAAGTGTAAAGAAGAAAAGTTCCTCATTTGCGCGGAAATTTTCGATACAAAAAGGCCCGGTCATGTGATGGCGCTAGTCAAATCACGTGTCATGCAGCTTAAGATAAAAAGCTTTTCACTTCACACTTTTTCTTCTTCTTTAACCATTCGTGTGTTGAAGACTCAAGAATCCAATCCTTTAATGTCGGGGATTGTGGAGGACTTGGATCCAACATACAGATATGTAAACTTCAAACCACATAACCCGCGTGGTGCCTACCTGTGGCACTGCCGTCTCTTGGGTGATTTTATAATCGTTCGTTCGTGGAATATCAAAACCAAACAGTTTTTAGCAGAGCTGCGTCTACTCCACCCTGGTGTTCATATCTATTGAACAGCAGGACTTATTTACGACGGACATTTCCAACAAATAATGGAAATATATATATTTTTCGAATTTATTATTATCATTTTATTAGCATTATATTCCTCGTTCTAAATCATTAGCCAATATGTCTGCAATAATTTATCAGGTGACACAATCCTTACCCCAGGGCCTTCGTCTGATACGCCAATGCTACAAACAACCCATACGCAAGCCTATATTTCTGTGCAAGATAAATATGATATTTCTAATAACTGAGAACAGTCTCTAGGATATCGTAAATGCGTACCGATGCTTCAGCATATCTGCCACGTATCAAGATGTCACACTAAGTTCGAACATCCCCATTTCTGTCTTGAGGAGAGCTTATCTCGGCATGTCTGAGATCCTGTTAGAGCTATCAAAGCCTACATTTTTCCCTTTATTGGAGCTATCAGGCGGAACGATTTGGATGAATGGACTGTGCAGAAACGATCGCTCATTTTCAATATGAATCGGCTTGCCCAGTTCTCTAATATTCCCCACAACATCTTTGGCCGAGCACGTTTCGACAATGCAGCAGACTATTTCGAAGAGCTTGCTCATTAACATTTATATCATCTCAAGCTACTTGTTTATATACTTATTCCCTCCACACTGCTTATACGACAGCTGCTCTCGCAGAGTAGTAATTGATACATGTAAAAATGGGCATCTAAGGAACCACAGACTCCAGGGTATACGTACCTAGTTAGGTAATATCCATGGATATAGGTAATCAGATGGCTAGAACCATGGGTAATAAGATCGAGACCATTCAAAACGTTTAATTTTGCCAAGAGATCTGGAACTCATAAATAATGTAGCTTATCTTATATTGAATCCAATAATATAAATGTACAGAGTATCTAGACCCTGATTATTACCGAGCAAAACCTGGGAGACCGTTTGGATCAGGTAAGCATGTCGGAAGTGAGCCGGAGTGGGTCAATATTGACCAAAGAGCGCCTGGCTGTTAATAATACCTTTCCGAGGTCCACGGGTACCTTTTTACTCACGCCTCTGTCTGTCAATGTACGGGAGTATTGCTCAATAGGTATGATCTCCTAGGAGTATCCCCTAGGATTATACCTACAGAAAAAGACAACAGTTGACAAAAGTGAAAGTCTGGGGATGTATAGCGTTGTACCGGAATGCGGAGATCAGACGAAAACGCCGAGGCAATAGCATATGTGGCCCCCTTGATTGGCTGTGATTCCATCAGCTTCTGTACGATGTACCGAAGTATTGGCTCAGGGTTGTACTGCATAGAGAAGAACAGGAGAAGTACAAATCCCCCCGGTTCTTCCCTTCTCCCTTTGTACTCCTACCTTTACTTTCCTTTCCCTGAGTGATACCCATTAAGACTTCTTGTCTCACACACTCTCTATCCTATCACAATGGCTTCGGCTGCCAGATCTGCTTCTCGGGCCTTCCTGCGCTCAACCCCGACCTCCTCTTTTCCGTCCTGCTGCACGCAGCACCCGTTTCGCCATCCCCGCCAATGGTCTCCGCGCCTCTGGTCGTCGCGGATATGCTTCAGAAGCTGGCTCTGAGAAGTCTGGCTCATCCTTCGGCCTCTGGGCTCTTGGTCTCGGTGCCCTCGGTGCCGCAGGTGGAGCGTATCTCTACCTGAACGGCGACTCCTCCCCCAAGGGGCCCTTCGTCCCCACCAAGGCCGATTACCAGAAGGTGTACGACGCTGTCGCTCGCCGTCTGGCCGACGAGACCGACTATGATGACGGCAGCTATGGTCCCGTAAGTGCAGTCACCTCCCAAGCTCTGCTCGATGTTGTAATCCAAGGTCAAATTGCTAATCTAGACGTTTGTGTTGCTCAATAGGTCCTCGTTCGTCTCGCATGGCACGCAAGTGGTACCTATGACAAGGAGACCGGCACTGGAGGCAGCAACGGTGCCACTATGAGATTCGCCCCGGAGTCCGATCACGGCGCCAACGCCGGTCTGAAGACTGCCCGCGACTTCCTCGAGCCCATCAAGGCTCAATTCCCCTGGATCACTTACTCTGATCTGTGGACTCTCGGTGGTGCCTGCGCCATCCAGGAGCTGGGTGGTCCTTCCATCCCCTGGAGACCCGGCCGTGAGGACAGAGACGTCGCTGCCTGCACTCCTGACGGCCGCCTGCCTGACGCCGCTAAGGACCAGCGTCACATCCGCGATATCTTCTCCCGCATGGGCTTTGATGACCGCGAGATGGTTGCACTGATCGGCGCCCATGCCCTAGGCCGCTGCCACACCGATCGTTCCGGCTTCGACGGCCCCTGGAACTTCAGCCCTACTGTTTTCACCAATGAGTTCTTCCGACTTCTTGCTGAGGAGAAGTGGGTCCAGAAGAAGTGGAACGGCCCAACTCAGTTCACCGACAAGACCACCGGCACTCTCATGATGTTGCCCACTGATATGGCTCTTGTCAAGGATAAGGGCTTCAAGAAGCACGTCGAGCGCTATGCCAAGGACAGCGATGCCTTCTTCAAGGAGTTCTCCGATGTCTTTGTCAAGCTCCTCGAGCTCGGTGTGCCCTTCAAGACTGACGACCGCATCGTCTTCAAGACTTCTGATTCTGAGTAAGGGGATTGCTCAAAAAGTGCCTCATATTCCCGTCTCCTTTCATTTACCTGTCTTGATATCCGAGTCATAACTCACTAAGATTCTGTTTCTTTTGCCAATGGAATGTTAGATTTCCTTCCATTTTTGTATTCCAGCTATGTTGTAGGTTCTTGCCCTGGGTAGGATGTGGCATTAGCATGGCTCACATGCGGCCGTCAGGCGAAGTTTGGCAGAGCTGCATCGCTTCTAGCCCTGGAGAGAATCCCCATTCAGATCATGGATATTGTAAATAAAAAAAAACCACTTTCATGACCAGCGAGAAATTAAAAGAGAGAAAAGAGCCAACGCCTAACATCAACAGTATGGGTTCGGAAGGCCCTCTCCCAAAGTGGCGTGCAAAGGCGACCCGCCATTTTTAAATCCTACAAAAATTTCGTTATTGAGAAACAAAGCCCACCCCGCTTTGTAACACCCCTGCTACCCCAGATTATCATCATTGCCTGGAATTTACACGGTTGGGCCTCTCCGCTAGACTTCGAGGCGTCACTCTTACAGGCTGGTGCGCACCTCCGACTGGTCGCTCGAGGACTCGGCGCGGGACACAAAAACCGCGCAACCACCCAGATACGACGAACAGACATTGAACAGAAAAGAGAAAATACATTTATCGACATGACGAGAACGGTGCACGCTGTGGACCTCTATGACGTCCTGTCTTTGCCGTTCACGGGGTCTTCGTCAACGGTCCTCTCCAAGCAGCAGATTAAGATCGCATACCATAAAGCATTGCTGAAACACCACCCTGACAAGGCTGGTGCTGTCGCAAGGGAAACAGCGCTAAATCGCTCGACTGACTCTACGTCCATATCTACTCCGAACCCTCTCTTTGCCAAATCTGATGGCAACTCGTCACAACAACTGTATACCATCGACCAGATCACCACCGCCTACAAGACCCTATCGGACCCCGTCCTCAGCGCCGAATATAATCGATCTCTGCGTCTGGATAGGCTGAAGGTCGCGGACCGAGAGAAGACTGGCGATGTGTTCCATACCGGCTTGGAGATTGTGGATTTGGAGGATCTTGCGTGCGAGGAGGCGGAAGGCGGCAACGGCGACTGCTGGTATCGTGGATGTCGGTGCGGTGATGAGCGTGGGTTTTTGGTCAATGAGGAGGACTTGGAGAGGGAGGCTGAGCATGGCGAAATCATTATCGGCTGTCGCGGGTGCAGTCTCTGGCTGAAGATTCTGTTTGCCGTTGAGGCAGATGAAGGATGAAGAGATGGCTTGTCAGGTCATCCTTTTCTTGGCAATCATATCTGCTCTAGCATACCGTTCAAGCTCGTGTCCGACTATGCAGCTCATGTCTTGTCGCTGTGCGATAAATGGCATCCCGTGGCCCCATGTCTAGGTTAGTCTATGTCTCGTCTAGGGACTAGACTCGATGGTTCAGACAGGGTACAGGCCCGGACGTTCATTCTTCTTCTATTGTGAGCTTTATTTTTCCTGAGCTCGGTTTTTCTTTTGCAGATTGGGTTGCCACCAGTCTCTTCTGGGCTGTGCATACCAACCTCGTCGGACCTGGTGTAAACCAAGAGCGCACACCAAGTGGTATACTCTATTTCTCACTCTGGTTGAGACCAAACTCGAGCACCCTCACCGAAGTCCAACTCCGGCCTCTTGTCTTCGAACTGGGCCTGGCTCAAACTCATGCATCCAATGATGAGACCGAATACTGTACCATAGAGCTACTTGTCAACGTTGAGTCCTACGTCTAGATGAAAGATATACTTTCTGTGTATATATTTGTATTTTAGCTTGTGTTTTAAACATTGTTAAAGCGCGCAAAAAACGATTTTCAATCACATGGTGAGTGAGCATTGTGACTATATATATTCCGAACATCCCCAAAATAACTACACCTGATAACTTGGTATTTGAGTTGACATCGGGATAATTCTCCATTTCAAAAAAGGATCCAATAGTCGTTAGCTGAACTAAAATAATGTTTACGCCGTACATATTCCCTGGCGTGGGCCATATTGTTGATTGTGCAGAGGGGCTGATGACATATGCGGAGGCAGCAAAACACAACCTCACATCTTTCCCTCCTCTTCCACCCTCCAGTTCGCACTCATTCCCCTCCCAACATCACCATGTCTGTCGTTGAGATCTCATCGAAGGAGCAATTCTCATCGCTCCTCACCTCCTCCCGTCTTGTCGTCGCCGACTGTAAGTATTTGCCGCGCGATCCTGCCCCGCCGAGACTCTGTCTTCCGCTCCGAACCACTAGAGCTGTCGCTGACCTTGACCTGATACCTGAATAGTCTACGCTGACTGGTGTGGACCATGCAAAGCTATTGCACCTGCGTATAACTCGCTGGCGACCCAGCTCTCCCGCCCGAATCACATCACATTCACCAAGATCAATGTCGACCACCAACAAGAGCTCGCGAAAGCCTACGGTGTCACAGCGTATGTGCAATTCATCCAAACATCTACAACCTAGCCGAACCCGCGCGTTCAATTCTACAATCCTCACTTAGATTACTGACAAAGACACGATACCTAGAATGCCGACCTTTATCGTTTTCAAGAATGGCCGCGTGAACCAAACAGTGAAGGGTGCCAACCCTACACAGCTGAACCAAATCGTCCAGAAGCTTGCATCCGAGGCAAGCCAGTCGGACGACGCAGCAGGATCCGGCGAAGGAAGCAGCTCCGGCGAGCTCTGGCTTGGTGGCACAGTGGCCAAGGGCTACAGCGATATCACAGATCAGGTTGACGTGAAGGGTTTGGAGTTGCTGAACCGGGATACGGATACAGCAGAGCCCCGTGCTCTTTTCAACACCTCGAAGCCATCCGGACTAGCAGCAAAGGGCAAGGGCAAGGCCGCTGGCCAGGCCGATTGGACTGAGAGCGACACTGACGAGCAGCTGATGCTGTACATTCCATTCAATTCGACACTGAAGGTCCACTCACTTCAGATTACCTCTCTTCCTCCTGCGGATGCCGATGCCGATGACGACGAGACACCAATGCGCCCTAGGAACTTGCACATCTACAAGAATACCTCCCATGTACTTGGATTCGATGAGGCGGATGGTATTCCCCCCGTGCAGAAGGTGGAGATCCAGTCTGGTGATTGGGATGCGAAGACTGGCACTGCGACGGTCGCCCTGCGATTTGTTAATTTCCAGAATGTGACATCGCTGGTTGTGTTCTTCGTTGATGGGGATGGAGACAGCGAGAAGCTGCGCGTTGATCGCATTCGCGTTATTGGCGAGGCAGGCGCAAACCGATCTATGGGCAAGCTAGAGAAGATTGGTGATGAGCCTGGCGAGTAAACAACATAGACTCTGGAGAAAACAAGCCTAAACGCTATGGAGTTAAGAACTGTGAGATTTTCCTGTCTTATGCGACTGAGTTCTCAACAACAGAGAGAGCTTGGGCCGATCAATAGTGTCGAATTTATGCCAAGTGAGAGTACAGTTCAATGTCTAATAAAAGAGCCAGTGGGCTGCAAAAAAAAGTGTAAAGATTGGTGTATTCCATTCGTTCTATCACTATGAAGATACTCAAGAGTATATAAATAAAAGTATGTTTGACTCCTACCAGAGGGTCTCATCCTTGTGAAATCAGAAAGACCCATAAAGGTAAGAATCAATGTGCAATTCCCTTCGTCTGTGGCGCAACTGACACCTGGGGTACATCACTGAAAGCCAGACTAATGGCCGTAGATGTCCAGGCAACACGGGTTATCGAGTTGCGCCGCCGCACGAAGAAGAAAAGAAAGAAGAGGAATGGTGCTGGTTGAGATTTCCTTTTATGCTGAGTCCCGGAGATTTTGTTTTTCCGGTTGACTTTTTACGGAAGGTTCCAAGGTTTTCGGCACACACAGAAACCTTACGTAATCCATATGCGAGGAACCAATTTTTCTCGTCTGATGACTTTCCCTTCTTTTTCTTTCTTTTTCTTCCATAAACATGGTCGATGATGAGAAATATGGATTCTATGATAGGAAGAGACTGACTCCTTATGGAGTGTGATCTTAAATTTACCATTCCTGAGGCCCTTTGCTGTTTATATCTGGTTTATTTGAGGGCTCGACCTGCAACTACCTTGGTAGTGGCGAGCTTCAATATCCACTGGTTGCTTTCCAACCCTCAAGTTGGGATTGCGTTCTAGTTTTCAAACCTTGCAATTAGAGTTAGTAATGCATTTATGAGCACATTCATCTCAAATTAATATACGAAGCATCAATTCCTGCCCCTTAGCCCGTCCTAGATAGACGAAATATCCCAGTGGAGACCTAAGCCCTAAGGACAGGACCTTGGGAGACAAAATGTCAGCCGAAAGCTCGCTGTGAATACAAAAACAACATCCACCTGAGAAGCAATGAGACAATGTGACGCAAGCTTCAAAATACCACGGAGCCCCCATGTTAGGGCCGAAGGCTGGTACGCGGAGCCGTGACAATATCAAATTCGGCCCGGGTGCCACGCCGGACCGACCGGCGACCGGCGACCGGATGCACCCGACATCCTCGCCTTCTCACAACGCACACACCATACCTAGCGAGGTAATAAAGAGGACATAACAATCAGCTGTATTCCAGGATGGACATGGTGATTCCATTCGCGGGCCGCAGATGGGGTTGGAGCTCTTGGCACTCTATGTGTTTACGCGAGGTAATTTGCTTCGTCTCGTTGGCCATTTGCAGTAGGAGTAAACAGGCACTTAGCCGAGATCGCATCTCTTGTTTTTCCCCCCTCCCCACTCTATATCCATCTCCACTGTAGGTTCGGTATTTTCAAGTGGCGGAGAATGGGCTTCTGCAGAACCATTGGGCCACCTAGCCCAGGCGCACCAGATGAAGACTTGGCGTGGATGCGTTAATCTGTGTTAATCTGTGCTTTCGTGGTTGTTTCATGAATTAATATCCAATGTGGTGCTTGGAGACATTGTATGATGTATGGCATGATCGCTGTCTCAAGATTCGGGTTCGTCGGACTCCACGGTGATTTCCTCAACCCAAGATTGCTGATGAGGTTCCCTTGTTTTGTGTGGGTAGAAGATGGATACAATATTTTATGGTGGGCGCATGTGTGTGGATTTGGCATGGAGAGGCTTGTACTAACTGGATTGAGAACAACAGTAAGTCGCGTTGTTTGTTGTAGCGAGTCTTCCAAGGTACCTATACCGGTACCATGTCTTGATCAATGTTCCGTATAAGGTATTAAGACCCGCTCTAGCCCACATCGAGACGAGCACCATCCAGTGTTTTGCTGCGAACAACACACGCAGTTCAGATTGTGTACCCACTGTCGGAGACGTGTATTTCGCTCTCGCTTTTGACTGGACAGACTTAGGCCGGCCAGGTGCAACAGAAAAGACAAAGCAAGACAAGAAATCGGCTTGTCAGTGAATCGCTGGGAGGTTTGCTGGTCAGGTTTCATCTCAGCTTAGGCTGTGGTCTCAGCTCGAGAATCCAGAACCAGCTCCAAAGCCATTGCTGACGCTGCGTTGGACTCTACACACAAATTGGACCGTAAGCGACAGCCAGCGCATGCAGAGCACAGTGGTCTTGTCTCTCAGCCCAGAGTCATGGTTATCAGCTGAACTGAAAAAAAAAAAAAACAGTGAAATCCGTTACGTACCAAATACTGCGCGGGAAGAATGATGTGCTCGTGTTGGCACGGGCTGGGTTTAACGTTGGAAAAGAGCCACTTTCTTAGTCTGAGCCGCGGGATAAATACAATGAGAAATGGAACCTGCCGTCGATCCTGATAGCCCAGGGACTAATGTACATACATAGTCGCCAAAGCGGACCTCCCCGAGCTGGACATGCCTACCAATAGTAGTTACGTTCTGCATATATACTCCGCATGATTTACACGCTACGGACATCTATTTGCAGCTGTGGCCAGCGGGATTGGTGTGTACTCCGTACGGGGGAATTGGAATACGCGGATGGAGGTGTAGCCGCGCCCGTGAAAGGTGGGGACGGATGTTCACTACGGGATATAGCGCGGTGTAGAAAGTTTGCGAACCTATATGGTCATATTCGGAAAGTATGACATCTTTTCGCATGATAGGCGTTTCCTCGGGAATATGTACCCCAGAGATACACGAAAACATGCAAGATTAGATCAGATAGCGGTCGGGGGAATCACATCATTCCGGACCTCGGGAGTCTTTGCACGCTCCCCATTCGTACCAGAGATCCAGGTCCGAAAAGATACGATGATCCAAATTATTTTCCGACCCACCAGACCTCATCGGGAATCCCCCGGTAAAACTATATATTGTATAATTTATGTTGGAGTAATGGTATCTGGGCCAAGAACACTAAATTCCTTGTGATATTGGGGTCAAATGGGGACGGGTTCCAAAATTTGAAAGGGATTCGAAACCCAGCTATCTGGTTGGCGAGGGAAAAGTGCGCTCTAACGCGTATTCCCTCGGGCTGGGCAATCTACATATCTCCGCATTCATATATTTTCTTGAATCCTTCGATCGCACCTCGCTAGTTCCAATTGGTTCAATTTGTCTAATTTGTGGACTAAAGCCGATCTATGCCCTCAGTAGAAAGTGGAGATAGTGTTCGCACACCATTCCCCATTCTGTATGTTATACGGAGAGTTGAAGCTTTACAAAACTCTATGGCTGAAGATTGGAGAATGGAATATTAAGAACATCAAGAACCTTTCACTGGCCATACTTTAGCACTTTACCTGATATAGCGTTAGTGATAACCTTCCAAGGTTGGAGATAG